TATTTGTCATTAAAAAAATTATTATTAATTTCACACATATATAAATATAGTTTGCATTGTAGTAGTTATTAATTATTTTAATATAATTATTTACTAAATTATAATTTAATTTTTATAAATTTAAAATAATTAATTTTTATATGTAAAATATATAAATTTGTTAAAATTAAATCAAAAATAGAAAATATAAATATTATTAATTTATTTATATATAATTTTATATTAAATAAATAAAACAGAATAAATTTATTAAAAATTATAAATATAATAAAATAAAAAATTAATTACTGATGAACATAATAAATATATATATATATATATTTTTATTATATTATATTTTACACTATTTTTAATAAAAAAGCATTAATATTTTTTTATTAAAAAATAGTAATTATTTTTAATAAAAATATATTATTTTTTCAAAATTTTCAATATAATAAAAATAGATATTTTATAATATGTTCATAATTTCAAATAATTAATAACAAAAATTTTCAAAATTTTCAAAATTTTTAAATTCAAAAGAATACAATTGAATATTTTAAAAAATAAAATATAAATGTCCATTAACAAATAATTTTATACAAATAGCAAAATATATTTTGCATAATATAGAAAATTGTGTTTTTGGTATCATGGGCATGCACGATTGACAAATTTCAAAAAAATTGCGTTATTTGAATTTTTGTAAATTAATATTATTTTAAATTTACATAATTTTATGATGCAGTATAAATAGATATTTACGTTCATATTAAAGTTGTATATATATATATATGTTTGTACATCAGCTATTTCTGACCATACAGATCGAAGAAATTCAATCATTTAATATCAAAACCCACTTCCTTGCACGTTTCATATATGTTTATTCTTTTTGTTTGAATAGTATAATTTAAATATGTTTTTGTTTTTTTACTCTTTTATCATTTTCTTATTTAAAGTATTTTTATAAATTTATAAATATTATATACTTCATTCGTTTCATAAGTAAATATTCATTTACTTTTTGTGCGTAATTTTAGAAATATTAGCATTATATTGTGATATAGTAGGAATAAAGTAGAAATAACTAAAATAACTTTATTAGTACATGTGATATAAAGATAATGATATTTGTGTAATATATTGTAAGTTGTAAGGGTATTTGTAATGTTAGGCATATGGTACAGTTACTATAAATTAAAATGTACATAAAATTTAAAACTGTTACCAAAAATTGAAATATTTCATATATAAAAATAATAAAAAGGAAAATTGAAACAAAATATTAATTAAATACGCATATGTTACATCTACAAATATATATACTCTTTGATGTGTAATTAGGAAATAATATAACAGTTATTATATTATTTTACATGTAACTAATATTATTTGTAGTTTTAAATAAGAATTGTATATATAATTAAAAAAAATTAGAATATATATTAAATATTTTAAAAATTATATCTTAATAAAAATATGAATTCAAATATAATTATAAATATTTATTTATTATTTATTGAAAAAAATTGAAATAAGGGTTTGAGTGAGTTAATTAACTCTGTAGTTATAGAGTTAATTAATTTATTTTATATTTATTAAATATATTTTAAATTAATAATTTTGATCAAATATAAAAAATATCAAATAATATAATACAGATTAAAATATAAAAGATATCTATAAGAAACAAAAAGTATAAAGAAGTGAAAAGTAAAATATATATAAATATATATTAAATACGGATATTATAATTATATATACATGTACACAAAACAGTGTAATAGTGAAAGTAAAAATTGGGTCGTGGTGTTTATTTGTAAAATTTTATATTTGGTCATGCTATTTTAATTTTTTTTTTTTTAAATATCAAATCAAATATTATTTATTCATTTATTATATTATACTAAAATTTAATTTTACATTAAAAAAAATTACATCATTACATATTTATATTGTATTAAATAATAATTTCAATTCAAAATTTTACTATTCAAAATCAAAACTTTACGAATAAACACATTATGCTCTCTCTTTTTCCTTTTTGCACGCAGAGAGTTATTTACTTCTCTTCGTCCGCCTCTAAGGGTCACATTTACCTTTTGTGTCATTTTATTTAATATTAAAAATATTCTTATTATATTTTAAATATTTTTTTTTTATAAATATCCTTCTATTGGTATTATAAGACATTTTTATTGATATTATATCTTTGTAAAATGGACCATGAAGCATTTAGCCGGACGATTGTGAACTCAGAAAAAATAAATTTCAATGTTGTCGGATAAATAAATATATTTATTAATTAAATTTGCAGAAGATTGCAACTTGCAATTAAATTCCAAGCAAAGAATTCGAAAGATATTTATGGTGCATTTTGACGTGATTCAAGAACGAATAAGACACTGCATAAAAATATCACAATTGTGACTGACAAAACACGAGTGTTTCTCTCTTTCTTTTTTCTTTTTTATTTATTTATTTATTTATTTTTATTTGAATAATAATTTGAATGTGATATTATCGAGCAAAACCAATCGAAAAAGCAAACTCCAAATGTATGAATAATTAATTAAGCAAATTATATTAATTCACATTTAGGTTGGTGCATGGAGGGGTTGTTGAACCAATAGGGACAACCATTTTAGGAATCATGATATAATATAGTCATTGTCTGCAATAGATTTCTCATACAGTTTTGTAAAAATAGGCAACCAACCAAATTGAAAATTCCCAAGGACAAGCATAGGTAATAAACAATTCCAAGCTTGATATGCTCTTGCAATTTGCTAATATCAGAAAATTTCTGTTAGTTTTAATAGAATATACAATTATATAAATATATATAAATAATATATCAATTCCTCTAAAAAAAAAAAAAAAAGTTGCAGAGACAATAAGATCTGAGAATGGATAAAGAGACAAGATTCTCCATCAATTAACATTTTAAATGTAGAAACAAGATATCCCTTAAATAAATAATTATATAAATGTGTGGAGGTTAACTTGTGGTCGTAAAAAAATTTATTTACGCATTGTTTTATTACACTTATCATATAATTGTGTATAATATAGTCAAATTATTGAAAATAAAAATAAATATTTATTTTAATAGACGATTTAAAATATATATATATATCTTTTGAGTCCGCAAAAAAAGTATATTTTTATATTTATACTTATTTAATTAATAATTAAAACCAAATCAAATATTGTACTATCAAATAAAATTACATTTTTTTATTTTTATTTTATTCATAAAAATCCACCACCATCATAAATATTAATTAATAGTATAAAAAGGTTTATATTCTTCTTTTTATTCATTTATTTTCAAATCTTTTGATGTTTTAAATGATGACCTATATTTGAAGATACTTTTCTCCTTTATAAAATGATAAATTATACAACACTCATGTATTTTTTTTTTTAGTAAAATTGTATAAAATACTTTGTATTTCATTTATTGCGTGAAAATTGCTTTTGTTAACGTACAGTTTGCACGAAACATCATCCTTGTCCAAAATTGATGTTTGGTTCTAAATAAAAACTTAAATTAAACAAGTTTTTTACAAATAAAAAACGTAAAATATTTTAAATAATTTTGTTGAATAAAATAAATAAATAAATAAATGATCAATCATTTATTTTTATAACTTTTTGTAAAAATCAGATAACAATTTGTCTACAAAAAACTATAAAATGGAGGATTAATCAATTATTTATTTATTTATTTTATTTAAAAAATATTTAAAGTATTTTACGTTTTTAGTTGTATAAAATATGCGTAATTTAGGTCTTTATTTAAACCAAACATTAGTGCTGGACAAGGAGAGTGTTTCGTACAAATTTTACAATAATATAAAGAGTTTCACGCAATAAATAAAATATAGGGTATTTTGTGCATTTTTACTAAATCACAAGTGTTATATAATTTACTGGTCTTTTTTTTTATTGATTTATTTAAGATTTTTTTCATCATTATGGATGTTCTAAGTTTATTTATTTATTTTTGTTTAAATAATAGTTTAAAAATTCTATATTTTCTAAGAGAAAATGATAAATTTGTATAAGAATCGACTTTCATAGTAAAAGAAAAATAAAATAAAATTGAAACAAAAGCTCCACAAAAAGATATAATTTTTTTGTCGAATGACCTAGCTATGTGGTGAATGAGTTGTAACCGTGATGAGAGGTTTACATCTTCCGAAGACAGATTTATGCAAGTATTTTTACAATTTTTTCTTAATTTGTTATATATTTTGATATAATAATTAATATTATAGATCAATACACAAAAAGTAAATGAAACCTAGTCAGACAAAAGTAGTATTAATTAACAATAAAATTTCAAAAATATTTTAAATAAATGCTCTTCTGAGCTAATTATGTCATAATATCTTGATCATGAAACTAAAAAATAATACTAATATTTTAATATAAAAATGAGACAAGTAAAAAATAGTATTATTTGTTAAAATAAGAAAATAAAATTATTTACTATGAATGAAATACTCATTATGTCCATTAATTTTTTTTTTTTCAATTTTTTCTTTTAGTAGGTCTATTTCATTACTTTTTAAACTAAAAGATAAATATAAAATTTTGTTATCTAAATCATTTTACTTATATATCAATAAAATATTAATATACTTAAAATTACGTGAAAAAATAAATAAAAAGATTATCAATGATTGGAAGAAGTATTTATAAACTTAAGATACCACCGTTTTATTTAAAGCAGTATATAGTATTTTTTGAAAGTAAACAAATAAAATGTTTTAAATATAGATAGATCTATTATAACTACTGATACTTTTTCAAACTAAAAAATATACAAAAATGGTAACAATAACAATAAAAATAATAATTCCATATATATATATATATATATATAGATAGATCCATCCATCGTGTAATGCACCACCTACCAATCAACAGTCAACCGTTCCCCCAATTGCAGTATTATATAGTAATATGTTACTCGGCATTAGGTAGTTCAAATCGTCAACGACCAAACCGTAGTAGTATAAGTATTATTTATAACGTGTTACTGGGCTGTTCTTTAATGATTAAATCCTCAGGGCCAGGATAATTAAGGATCCATTATGGCGTTTGCACATGCTACTACAGCAGCCGCTTTATTCATTATTTTGCTGGCATCGTCTTCCTCAGCAGCACCACCTGCAGATCCCTTGTTTCGATGCTACGATTCCATTGTTAACTTCGGCGATTCGCTCTCCGACACCGGCAATGATCTCGTCCCCGGCCTCCACACCGGAGAGTGCCTCGCCGGTAACCCGCCCAATGGCCAGGCGTACTTCCACCACCCCACCGGAAGATTCTCCGACGGCCGCATCATCATTGATTTCATCGGTATCATCAATTAAATGATAGTATTATTCTTATTTGAATTATAATTAGAATTAGTATATACCCACCCAAACCCTGTTTTCAATTTCACAGCACAGAGCTTGGGGCTGCCTCTATTGAAACCCTACTTTCCCGAAGGTAACGCAGAGGCGGCGCAACGCTGCCGGGAGTTCAGCACCGGCGTGAATTTCGCGGTGTCCGGCGCGTCGGCGCTTTCGTATGATTTCTACGTGAGTATTGGATATGCGAATCCGTACACCACAATCTCTCTGGGGACTCAAGTGGAATGGTTCAGAGGCTTTTTGGCTGGATTTCCAGGTCCAAATTTACTATATCTATGAACTTGATCGATGATCTATTCGTATGGATTCTTACAGCTGAAGTTATGACATGTAGATGGTGGTCGAAAGTACGCGGAAAGATCTTTGGTTGTAGTAGGATCGGTAGGAGGCAACGATTACAACCATCTTCTCCTACACGGGTGGACTCTTGAACAGATGCAGTTGTTGGTTCCCAAAGTTACTAGCTACATTGCATCCGTAGTTCAGGTATTATATACGCATCATTTATTTATTTATCTACAAATATACCCGAGTCAATCAACATATTAGATGATCTAAACGATCGTCTCACCTAAAAGGTTAAGTTGTTAGAGATGCGCATAATTTATTGACACGATGATGCAGGAGTTGATTGAGCTTGGAGCTGTTACATTTCTTGTCCCGGGAAATGTCCCGTTTGGCTGCTTTCCTGATTATCTAACAATATTCGAACAATCTAGCACATCCAACGACTATGATCCGCAAATTGGTTGTCTTTCTTGGTTGAATGAGTTGTCCGGATTACATAACGATCTTCTCCAAAAGGAGCTGCAGAAAGTAAGGGAACTTAATCCTCATGCCAACATAATGTATGCCGACTTTTACAATGCCGCGATGGGAATGTATCGATCCCCCAAACAATTTGGTAACACTCCAAACCTCGAATTTTCAAATCCACTCCATGGAATTAAAAATAATGATCATGAACGTCGCCGTGTTTGTATCTTTATGCATAATGCAGGATTTGGAAACCAAATTCTTAGGTCTTGTTGCGGAATAGGAGGCCGGTACAACTACAATGAATCTGCGCGATGCGGCACTCCTGAAGCAACATGTTGTGATGTACCGTCGGAATACATCAGTTGGGATGGAATACATTTCACCGAGGCAGCTAACAGATTGATATCGAAAGCATTGCTCCAAGGGCGATATACCGATCCTCCTTTCTCAACCATCTGCCTTAATTCGACATCCAATCCTCGCGGCGCCATTGCCGACAACTAAGACTCAGCTCGACTCGACTCATTTAAGCATAATGTTTGTATGATTGTTGTCACAAATTGTGATGTACTTACAGGCACATAGAATTGATTTGCATATTTGTTCTTGTGTTTTAAATTCATTGTTCCCAAATCATCCACCATAGAGTGATAAAGACTTTTGTTTGATATTTGGAATAAATTTTGGAGGTAAAATTTGAAATCTCCAACCAATTTCTTCTTCTCGTTTTAATTTTCATTTTTACAATTGGCTTACGAAAAAGTCATACTAGACGAACTATGTGTAGTAGGTGACCTGATGCGTGCCAGATCATCCTACGGGACTTCATGTCAATAAGAAAACTGCACGTCTGCACGCACCCGCGGATGTAGACGTCTTGCCAAACCTTACAAATATTAGTACTTCTTTTCTATCACTTTCCCTAATATATATATATATATATTTATTGTATATCCGATCTTTAATCAATACTCAATAAAATTCTTATCTTTATTCTCAACACATCTTCCTAAAAAATATCCTTCCTTCTGTACTTTAGAAAAAACACGACTCTTCTGGTGGTTGTCTAGACACACAATATTCAAATAATTATTTTTTTAGTATTGATTTTTCTAAAGTAAATGATGACATGCATGTGGGTGTTTTTTTCTCTTACTATGCATAATCTAAACTAAACAAATCAAAATTGAACACATGAGAGGTCTATTTTAATTGCTTTGATATTTAACTTTTGATTTGGATTTAAAAATAGTTACACAATTTTGTTAATATAAATAATTATTTGATATAATATTTAAGTTAATTTATATATATAATATTATTTTTATTTAATAATGTAAAAAAGTAGTATTATAAATAGTAGTATGAAATTAAAATGTAAAATAGTTTTTTTTTTAAAAAAAATAAATAAATAAATAGTTTTTAAATTATAAATGTGAAAAAAAGTTATAAATATTTATTGACAAGATTAGCTTTTTAACAATTAATAAAATGTAATATAGTTTTTTCTTTTTTTTCTTTTTTTTTTTTTAACAATGTAACCATAAAAAAATTAAGCATCAAGCATCAAAAAATTGTAATTTTATAAACATGAAAAATCGAATATTGCTTCCTAAAAATAAATTAAAGTATGTAATTTTACCCGAAATAAAAAAAAAAAATTAAAGTATTTAAATATGTTGCAAATATGTAATAAAAATCCAAAAATGTAAATAGTCAATTCAACCTTGTAAAGTTTCAAAGACTTCCTTTTGATACAACAATGTTTAATTATTAAATAATAGTGGGTGATAGATATTATTTTATTTTATTTATATAATTAATAATATTGATATTTTAAAAATTATATGGCAACAATATATATAATAAAATATTATTTTATAAATAATAAAAAAATTTATAATACAAGTAATTAAAAAATATATTTATTTATTTAATTAATATAAATTAATTTTATAAAATATGTGAAATTTTAAATTAAAAAAATATATTTATTATTTTAAAAAAAAAAGATAATAAAATGGTTTTGAATTAATGTTCTGATATTTATATGTTAAATAGTTAATTAAATTGATTTATATTTATTAAATATATTTTGATTTAATAAAATTTATCAAAATTAAAAAATATTAATTATTGTAGAACAAAGAAAATATTAATTTTAATAATAATTATTCCAAAAATGAATCTACATCAAATTTAAAACTTTTAAGAAACTCAACCACTGTCACAAATAGTCAACTGTATTTTCTGATGGCCTCACCAAAACCTCACCTACTCCCCAATTAGTCGTCGGTATTGTCAATTTCTATAATATATTACAATTGGCTGTATGTCGTATTCTCTATATGGATAAAGCTTGATAAATTAATGGCTCTTGCACAAGCTGTTGCTGTTGCTGTTCCTTTTTTCTTCATCGTAGTAGCATCGTCTTCCTCGGCAGCACCTGCAGATTCCTTGTTCGGATGCTATGATTCAATTGTTAGCTTCGGCGATTCGCTATCCGACACCGGAAATGGTCTTCTCCCCGAGCTACACCAGGGTCCGTGCCTCGCTTGTAACCCGCCCAATGGCCGGACTTACTTCCACCGCCCTACCGGAAGATTCTCCGACGGCCGCATCGTCATCGATTTCATCGGTACGCACTGTATAATTACTCCAATTAAACGATAGTCTTATTTGAGCTTAATTTACTTAAGATTTCATCTGTTTTCAATTTTACAGCACAGAGCCTGGGGCTGCCTCTGCTCCAACCTTACTTTCCCGAAGCTTACGAAGATGCGGCGCAACGTCGCCGGACCTTCAGCGCCGGAGTGAATTTCGCGGTGGCCGGAGCTTCGGTGCTTTCGTACGAGTTCTACGATAAGATTTTTGGATATCAGAATCCGTACACCACTGTCTCTCTGGGAACTCAAATGGAATGGTTCCGAACCTTTTTGGCCGGATTTCCAGGTCGGTGCCGCACTTGATCATAGATTCCATGAATGTTCTTGAACAAACTTAATCCCCAAATTGAAAAAAGATTTCTTTTTTTTTTTTTTTCTTTTTTAATGAACAACTTAAGCTAAGCCATACAGATGGTCGAAAGTATTTGGAAAGATCTTTGATTATATTGGGGCCGATAGGAGGCAACGATTACAACCATCTTTTCATGCAAGAGAGGAGTCTTAATGAGCTGCGATCGTTGGTTCCTATAGTTGTTAGCAAAATCGGATCCACAATTCAGGCATTTTGTTCCCAAACTCGTCTTGTAATCGGAGCTTATCAAATTAACATGATTCTGATTATGATGATGATGATGATGCAGGAATTGATTGAGCTTGGAGTTATCACAATTCTTGTCCCAGGAAACCTTCCTTTTGGTTGCTTGCCTAGTTATCTAACACAATATGAGAATGACTATGATCCGCAAATTGGTTGTCTCTCTTGGTTGAATCAGTTCTCCCGTTACCATAACGATCTTCTCCAAAAGGAACTACAGAGAATAAGAAAACTTCATCCTCATGTAAACATAATGTATGGAGACTATTATAACGACGCAATGCGAATGTACCTCTCCCCCAACCAATTCGGTAACATACATTTCCATATCTCAAATGATCGAATTCTTCACTCCTCGGAAAAATATTTTCTTAAGAAAATGTATCTATGTCTAATGCAGGATTTGGGAACCAAATTCTTAGGTCTTGTTGCGGAATAGGAGGACGTTACAACTACAACGAATCTGCGCGATGCGGCACTCCTGAAGCAACATGCTGTGATGTTCCGTCGGAATACATTAATTGGGATGGGATACACTTCACTGAGGCAGCCAACAGTTTGATGACCCAAGGATTGCTCCAAGGATCCTATACAGATCCTCTTTTCTCGACCATTTGCCTTAGTTCCACATCCATTGCCAACTACTAAGACCCGACTCGATGTATCTGTGCAGTGAAAGTTTGCTATAAAGTCATGCACAATTGATGATCTTGTCACAGTTAATTGTGATGTATATCTAGGCACTTCAATTGGTTTGCATATTTGCCTAATTAATCATCGTCCACCATATCCAGTGATCAAGTTTGTTTTGCATTTTGGAATAAAATTAGGAGATGGCGAGGCATGTAAGAATATATTGTACACGCAATAATCTTAGTACGGATTATGGGAAAACTCTCTAAAGCTATCGATAAGGCAATCAAATGATTCCTTCTGGCAACAATCTCTATCTTGATTAGCCTCTTACTGATGATGTTCAATCTCTATCGATAAGGCAAGCTAAAGTTGACTTGTAAAAGAAACATCCTTTGTGAGGGATAGAATCCAAGCCCCTCGGATCTTGACTTCCTAGGCTGCAAGGGATACAATCAGCACAAATTTGTTGCAAAGTTTTGCGAGGAATGGAATATCGAGTCCAAAATTGTGGTTGAAATTAGCAAAAAAAAAAAAATTAATTTTTTTGATATTTTCAAAACTTGTTTCAGCCAATACTAAAAAAATTTAGTTCAATTCTAGAATCTACACCATTAAATAATCAAACCCATACGCATGTCTTGCAAAGAAAAAGTTCAATAAAGCAATCAACCAATGTTTCAAAAAAACATAATGTGACATGTTATTTACTTGATGTTCGAAAACAAATATATAACATTTGGTCGGAGCCTACAAAGTTCTTCCATAATGGTGAAATTAGTCAAAGAAATGCTCAACTGCTTATGCTACACACCCTTGACCAATATAAAGTTGCATGTAAACAAACATGAAAAAGTGGATAGTGTAGAGATAGAAGTTTTGATTGGATATTGATGCTCGATAAATTTTCGAACAAACAAAAAAAATAAAATAAAATAAAATAAACTTCAATTTGCTTATATATTAAATAAATTAGAATTTGTTTGATTTTTCTTTGAAATTGAAATTTTGATTAAACTTTCTAATAATAATAATAAAAAAATAACATTTCTATTGAAAACCATGTAATAGGAATAATGGTAATTTGAATTTGAAACTCAAACCAATTACACTCTATGGATCCGTTTGAATTGAGGTATTTGAATTTAGAATTTTGAATTTTTTTTGAAACAATAAAATATTGAGTGTTTAAATATTTTGTGAAAAAAAATAATAATAAATATTTAAATATAATATCTTTAAAACTTTTATAATTGATTATTAATGTCAAAATTTTCTAAATATATGTATTTATTTTATGTGAACCTGCAAGCTTAGGTGGTTATGACTTCATGATTATGAGCTCAGTCTACACCATCATCCATTTCTTACGGAACAATATGTGTATTTATTTTTTATTTTTATTTATTTATTTATTTTTTATGACGTGAGAATCCGCAACTCCTACCGAAAAAATGCGCACCGGGTAAACCTCATCGAACTTAATACCCTAAAAACAAATATGTGTTTTTATTTATTTTTTTGTGGTGTTTTATTATATAGGATATATATAACGAAGTGTTGTTTATAATATAAAAATTAATATTTTATGTTGAATAGTTAACTTTTTATAAGTAAATATATATATATATTATACCAATTATGTTTATATACTCTCTTCATTCTATTTTTCTGCAATTATATTAGTTTACAGTAAAAAGACAAAAATATCTTTATTAGTATGATGTAATATAAAAATAATAATTTATAAAAAATTTTGACACACTTTGTATAAAGTAATTGTATGTGTAATGATATGTTTGTAATTTAAGTAAAAGTTAAAGGGTATTTTATTATTAGCGTATGATTACTTAATCTAAAATAGAAAATGAATACGTTGAAGTGGGACAAAATAAAAAATACTAATGATACTTTAAAATAAAACCGATGGAGTATTGTAAATTGTAAAGTATTTATTATTTTAAATATGTGGTACAACAACAAATTTGCTTTGATACAGACAAAAATTAAAAAATAACACCCAGACAGGTGGAGTATTATGTTTTTAAATAATATTAATTAAAAAATATGTAAGAAAAAAATGTCGGATAAACATACTCATGTATAAATAAACAAAGCCCATGTCCCGTAAGTAAGGGATGACTCTGCGGTACGGGGTTGGATGGGTGACCGCAAAATTATTTGTAATACATTATTTTCGAGATAGCGATCGCTAATTCTCACGTTATTAAAAAAAATTAAAAAAATAAATAAATGCCCCACATTTTATCCACTTTTCATATTAAATTTTGTCAATGCCTTTCTGGCCGTACATATTAAATGAACGGAGGTTGTTCGAAACATTGATCCATCACTATCATTCACATGCTTGAAAATAAATAAATGTAATATGACAGACATACTTTCTTGCACATTTTAGTATTTTAATTTGAAATATAATTTTTTTGATATAAGATATAGAAAATTTTGTAAAATTATAAAAATAATATTTTATGTTATATATTGATTTTCTTCTTTATGATTTGAACCCTAAACGTTTGAGAAGGATCGATAATGGCGCTTGCACTTGCTGCTGCTTTCTTCTTTTCACTGGCATCGTCTTCGTCAGCGGCGCCAGATTCGTTGTTTGGATGCTACGATTCCATTGTTAGCTTCGGCGATTCGCTCTCCGACACCGGCAATGATTTCGTCCCCGAGCTACACCAGGGGCATACCCTCCCAGCTGCTAACCTGCCCTACGGCCGGACGTACTTTCACCACCCTACCGGAAGATTCTCCGACGGCCGCATCATCATCGACTTCATCGGTACGCACTATATATTTACCTCAATTAAACGATACTATTATTTGAGTTTAATTTACTTAAGATTTCATCTGTTTTCAATTTTACAGCACAGAGCCTGGGGCTACCCCTGCTCAAACCTTACTTTCCCGAAGCTTACGAAGATGCGGCGCAACGTCGCCGGACCTTCAGCGCCGGAGTGAATTTTGCGGTGGCCGGAGCGCCGGTGCGTTCGTACGAGTTCTACGAGAACATTTTTGGATATCAGAATCCGTTCACCAATGTCTCTCTGGAAACAGAAATGGAATGGTTTCGAACCTTTTTGACTGGTTTTCCAGATTGTCGAAAGTACCTGGAAAGATCTTTGATTGTATTGGGACCGATTGGAGGCAACGATTATACCCATCTTTTAATGCAAGGCAGGACTCTTGATGAGCTGCGATCGTTGGCCCATGCCGTTATTAGCTCCATCGGATCCACAATTCAGGTATATATATATATATATCAAAATTGTAATTGTAACTGTAGTTTCTCAACGTATAAACTGATGATGATGACGATGATGCAGGAGCTGATTGGGCTTGGAGTTGTTACAATTCTTGTCCCGGGAAACATTCCATCTGGCTGTTTGCCAAACTATCTAACCTTATATCAAAATTCTAGTACACAAAATGACTATGATCCGCAAATTGGTTGTCTCGCTTGGTTGAATGAGTTATCCATTTACCATAACCATCTTCTCCAAAAGGAACTGCAGAGAATAAGGGAACTTCATCCTCATGTCAACCTAATGTATGGAGACTATTATAACAGCGCAATGCAAATGTATCTCGCCCCCAACCAATTCGGTAACGTACATTTCTATATCTCAAATGATCGAATTCTTCACTTGGTGGAAAAGTATGTTCTTAAGAAAATCATTGTATGTGTATCTCTATCTATCTATATATGTATAATGCAGAATTCGGAAACCAAGTTCTTAGATCTTGTTGCGGAGCAGGAGGTCGGTACAACTACAACGATTCTGCGCGATGCGGCACGGCTGAAGCAACATGTTGTAATGTTCCGGCGGAATACATCAATTGGGATGGGATACACTTCACTGAGGCAGCCAATAGATTGATGACCCAAGGATTGCTCCAAGGACCCTATACCGATCCTCCTTTCTCGACCATCTGCCTTAATTTCACATCCAGGCCTCGCGCCATTGCAAACTACTAAGACTCGGCTCAGCTCGGCTCGGCTCGACTCGACTTGTGTGTGTGGTGAAAGTTTGCTATGTTGTCATCGCAACTAATTGTGATGATGTATAATAAATATCTAGGCACTTCAATTGCTTTGCCTACTTGCCTAGGCATTCATTGTCATATCGACTGATGACAAGTTTGTTTTGAATTTTGGAATAAAATTAGGAGGTTATAATAATCGGTTTGGATCAAGTGCTAGAATATCTTATTCATGCTAATGCTTGTCAATTGATTACATATAAATATATTAATTATATTATTTAATAATATAAATTAAAAATAAATAACTTTTACAATTCAGTACCACTTGAGGTCACATGCCACACATGGTTGACCTAGTGTGACTTGTCTTGTCAGGCCTACTTTATATAGTATTAGATTCGATCAAAGATTTATTCAGTGCGTACTTTCAATAGCTACTCATGGTACTCGTGTCATAAAAAATAATAATAGTGATGAGAGATGGTGAGGCATGTGAGAATATATTGTACTATATATCATTTCAATTTAAAGTGCAGAGTCTTCGGTTATAATATCTAAATATACTAATTTTCTTTAGACATTGTTTTCAAGTACCATTCATTTAAAATGTTCATAAACTAAAAAGAATGCAAACATATATATATATATATATATAAAGCACACACAAGTATAGTACAAACTTACTAATGAATATTTACTTATTCTTCAAATTAAATAAAGCTAATGATATCTAGAAATATTGAGTTTATTTGATTATATATATAGGTTTTTTTTTTTTTTTTTTTTACAATTTACTATTTTATCTTTTAGTTTTATAAATAGATATTATATTAAATAATCATATATATATATAAGAAGGATGTGTAGTCTTTTTAAATTTACTTTTCTATTTTTTATTGGTAAATATAATGTGGATCTAAGTAATAATTATTATATGTTTTCTTTTTAAATTTGAATAATTTAGAATAGTTTAACAAATTATAACTAGGAAAAAAAAGAATCGAATTAGATTTTGTTAAAATAACAATAAAATAAATAAAATAAAGAAAGTTATATATATCTATATATATACCCAACTTCTAGCATGTCAAGAGGTTGTTCAACTTACTCCAGTAAGAGATGGTCTGGTGGTGTAGAGATTGGACTTGTGACCGTGAGTACTTCCCCGTCGAGCCTTGTTTGCAGTTTTCAATTTTATATACTTCTTTCATTTCTTAACATATTATTCATTTTATTTTTTTTATTTCGGTCTGTCTCATAATAAAATATTCATTTTTTTTAAATAATATTATCTACATAACACCCTTACAACTTACAATATATTACACAAATGTCATTATCTTTATATCATACAATACTAATAAGATTCATTTCTATTTTATTTCTACTAAATATTAATATAATAATATAACTTAAACTCCGTGCAAAAAAAATAAATGAATAATTACTTAAGGGATGGAGAGAATATATCTTAATTTTTAATATTTTTGATGTAATTTCTTCTTAGGACCGTTTGGTCACCATATGACTACTAAAAGAAAGATGTTTTGTTTGTTAATCTTTGTTAGGTGAGACAATCATTTTGATCGTTTAACATGGTATCAAAGTCATAAGTTTTGAGTTCGAATTCGAATTTCATCGTCACCATCGATCCGAGAGATATTTGTGCAAGTCTTGGATACATCTACTATTTGAATCTGACGGGCGTATTGAGGACTCCCGTGTGTTAAAAATATTAGAAAAATATGACACTTATTCTTACAAACTTAAACTTTTAGTTGATTTCCGATCATCTAACAATCTTTAATGTTAAAATTTGCAAAATATATATGTACAAGGAGTGCCCACATTTTATTCAACTGTTCATATTAAACTTTGTGGATGTACTTTTTGGCCATACACATTAAATCAAGAAGTTGAAATTGATTGCTCAACATTTTTGGATCACTGTCGTTCACATGGCTGAAAAGTAAATAGTGTAAGATAACATCGTACAGAAGTACAAAAGTGATTTAAAAACATGATCAATAAATCCTCAACGACCAAATGGTAGTCTTTGGAGAAGGATCGGCAATGGCGCTTGCACTTGCTGCTGCTTTCTTCTTTTCGCTGGCATCGGCGGCGCCAGATTCATTTTTTGGTTGCTACGATTCCATTGTTAGCTTCGGCGATTCGCTAACCGACACCGGCAATGACCTTGTCCCTGGGCTACACCGGGGGCCGTGCCCCCCTGCTAACCCGCCCTATGGCCGGACCTACTTCCACCACCCTACCGGAAGATTCTCCGACGGCCGCCTCATCATTGATTTCATCGGTACACACCGCACTTCAACTAAATTAAGATGATGATATTTGAGTGTGTGTGTATAATAGATGATTTCATCAGTTCCTGTTTTCAATTTTACAGCACAGAGCCTGGGCCTGCCTCTGCTCAAACCTTACTTTTCCAAACCTCACAACGACACGGCTCAACGTCGCCGGAGCTTCAGCACCGGAGTGAATTTTGCGGTGTCGGGAGCGTCGGTGCTTCCTTATGAGTTCTACAAGAAGATGGGATGTCTGGATATGTCCACCAATGTCTCTCTGGGAACTCAAATGGAATGGTTCCGAACCTTTTTGGCCGGACTTCCAGGTCCGTGCATCTATTCTACTTGATTGATCGTGGACAGGACCGCTGGTCAATTATATTTCAACTTTCATTTAAAACCTCTCTCTGCAATTTTAGTTTTTTGACTAAGAATTGAAGTGTTTGTTCATGTGTGATATACAGATGGTCGAAAGTACCTGGAGAGATGTTTGTTTGTATTGGGACCAATAGGAGGCAACGACTACAACAATCACCTTCAGTTAGGGAAGACTCTTGATGAGCTGCAATTCGTGACTCCTCTACTTGTTAGCCACATCGGATCCACTATTCAAGTATGTCAAAACATCTATACCTTAGACACATCGAAATGTCAACAGCTTAATGTTGTACATTGCAGGAGCTGATCAAGCTTGGAGTTATGACAATCCTTGCTCCCGGGAATTTGCCGGATGGTTGCATGCCTATTTCTCTAACCTCATATGGAAATTCTAGTACACACAATGACTATGATCCGCAAATTGGTTGTCTCTCTGGGTTGAATGAGTTCTCCGGCTACCATAACGATCTTCTCCAAAAGGAACTGCAGAGAATAAGGGAACTTCATCCTCATGTAAACATAATGTATGGAGACTATTATAACAATGCCATGCGAATGTATCTCGCCCCCAACCAATTCGGTAACATACACTTGGAACTTCCACTCTATTGAAAATTGATAAGACAATCATTGAACATGTATCTATATCTATATATCTATTTAATTCATGCATGATGCAGGATTTAGAAACCAAATTCTTAGGTCTTGTTGTGGAGGCGGAGGGACGTACAACTACAACCCGGTCGAGCAATGCGGCAGTCCTCAAGCAACTTGTTGTCGTGATCCGGCTGAGTATATTAGTTGGGATGGAATACACTTTACAGAGGCAGCCAACAGGGTTATGGCCAAAGGATTGCTCCAAGGACCATATACTGATCCTCCTTTCTCGACCAACTGCATAATTAATTCCACATCGACATCGACGATTGCTGAGTACTAATTAAGAAGACTCAAGTAGACTACTCTATGTAGTAGTGCAGATGCTGAAGTTTGTTGTATGCTTTATGCGTACACGTATTGATGAATGATGATGATGATGACTTATAGTCATTAATTATTTGCCACACCATTTTTGCCATTTCTTGAAAACATCTATTTTTTTTATTGTTTTTATATTTTTTTAATATATGTATTGTTCATGAGTTTGATCTTGTATATTTAATTGGTGAAGAGCGTGAAAGGACTTAAAGAGATCCCATCCCCAATCAACCATTGCCAAATCGTGAAGTTGGGTGGTACTATTATATATTCAGCCTTCAGGGAATCAAATCGTCAACGAGGAAGTAGTAATATTATTTATAGTGTGTTACTTGACATCATTAGTATCAGAGCCTAGGCTAGGTCTTGAGTTCGAGTCCCGTCCGTCCCCATTTGTGGCATATGCATGTGCAAGTTTCGCAGACCCATTTGCACCTGAGGGGGCGTGTTGAGGACTCCCGTTTGCTGTATATGTAACTAATGTCTTAGTTTCCCTAACAAGTTCGAGCTGTCTTCAATAATCAATAATGGCGCTTGCATTTACATTTGCACATGCTGCAGTTTGCTTCTTTTTGTTGGCATCGTCTTCATCAGCGGCGTCAGATTCGCAGCTGTTTGGATGCTTCGATTCCGTTGTTAGCTTCGGCGGTTCGCTCTCCGACACCGGCAATGATCTCGTCCCCGGGCTACACCAGGGACCGTGCCTCTCTGCTAACCCGCCTTATGGTCGGACGTACTTCCACCGCCCTACCGGAAGGTACTCCGACGGCCGCCTCGTCATTGATTTCATAGGTACGCTCTCTCTCTCTATATATATATATATATATATTACTTCAATTAAATTAGATGATACTCATCAGTCAGTTCCTGTTTCAATTTTACAGCACAGAGCATGGGGCTGCCTCGACTCAAACCTTACTTTCCTGACGCGGCGCAACGTCGCCGGAGCTTCAGCACCGGAGTGAATTTCGCGGTGGCTGGAGCGTCGGTGCTTCCTTATGAGTTCTACGAGAAGATTGGATGTGTCGATATGTCCACCACTGTCTCTCTGGGAACTCAATTGGAATTGTTCCGAAGCTTTCTGGCCGGACTTCCAGGTCGGATCTGCCTTTTAATTTATTTATTTTTTTTAATAATGTGAAAATTCGCAACTGCCACTAGTTGAGTGCGTTTTCGAACCCTAATAGTATGCAAACTAGGTCTGACAAGTCAAATCACACTCGGTGAATCATGTTTGGCAAGCAAAACCTGAAGGCATTGAGGAGATTTTTTAACATATTAGATGATATAAATGACCGTCTTACCTAAAGTTCGTCGTCCCCCATTTTTCATTGTCCACGTGCAAATTTAATTTGATTGCATTTATTCCCTTGCCCATGAGGAGCATGTTAGTTTACTCTCGTTTGTAGATAAATAAATAAATGATGCATATTCTAACCGGTTAAGTTTTTAAGTAAGACGATCATTTATATCATCTACCATGATATCAAGTCCTGCCATCTTCCATTTGTGGTTGTCCATGTGCAAGTTTAGTACACAACGGATCTGAACTTTAAACTTGATTGACCATGGACAGGATCACTTGTCTTGTAACCGTAAACTTGGCCACTTTTTTTAATTTTTATCTAAAATACTTATACTATTAAAGAAGTTTATACTATTAGCTACGTACTCTTTCTCTCCAAGTTATAGCACCATATATATTCCCAAAACAAAAACTTGAATGAAGAATGAATGAATGTTAAAAGAGAGTGAAGTATGTATGTATATACAGATGGTAGAAAGTACCTGGAAAGAACTTTAATTGTATTGGGACCAATGGAAAGCAACGACTACAATCATCTCCTGATCCAGTTAGGGAAGAGTCTTGATGACCTGCAATCGGTGGCGCCTCTACTTGTTACCCACATTGGATCTATCATTCAGGTATATCATCAAATTATATAACTGTCTTCTCATATAATCAATCCTTAGATTAGAAAGGCTTTAATTTGTACATTAATTGCAGGAGCTGATCAACCTTGGAGTTGTGACAATCCTTGTTCCTGGGAGTTCGCCGAATGGTTGCTTGCCTTCTACTCTGTTCTTTTATGAGAAATCTAGTACACGCGACGACTATGATCCACGAAATGGTTGTCATTATTGGTTAAACGAGCACTTACGGTACCATAACGAGCTTCTTCAAAAGGAACTGCAGAGAATAAGAAAACTTTATCCACATATCAACATAATGTATGGAGACTATTATAACGACGTGATGCGAATGTATCTCTCTCCCAACCAATTCGGTAACACACAAACCTCACTCTACAAAATTTATCAAGAAAGCCATTGAATGCCTATCTATCTATCTATGTATGATGCAGGCTTCGGTAACCAGACACTTAGTTCTTGTTGTGGAGGCGGAGGGACGTACAACTACAACCCAGCCAAGCAATGCGGCGGCACTCCCCAAGCAGCATGTTGTCGCGATCCAGCCGAGTATATTAATTGGGATGGGGTACACTTTACAGAGGCAGCCAACAGATTGATTGCCCAAGGATTGCTCCAAGGATCATATACCGATCCTCCTTTCTCGACCATCTGCCTAATTAATTCCACATCCAAGCCTCGCGCCATTGCCGACTACTAGCTAAGACTCAAACCCACTAGAGGCTGAAAGGTTGCTTTTATGCTTATTATGCATACATGTATTCATGATCGATGATTTTTATCATTGCATAATTATATATATAATTTCTCCTTGAGGGAGTGTTCATTTTTTGTATACATAATTTCTCCTTGACCACCATTTTCGTGTGAGGTGTTCCTTTGAGAGTTTGATCGGTGAGATATTAGCAAACTATACATGTGCTTGTTCTATAGTTGGGGTTTAGGTTAGTTTTGGAATTGGTTTTTGTGTTTGTTTATGCTCTTCCAATCCAACATATTTTATTAGTATATATATTACATTAACACAAACTAATCTTGCGGTCTTTCGTGTAGATATTCATCTCAATTATTGTTACTTTGGGTTCATTATATTGTATCATTTTGAAATTACAATATAAAATTGTATATAAAAATATATATCATTAATAATTGAATACTTCTTCTATTCAACTGTTCATGTACTCGAATAATATGATTGACTGGCAAAATATCAGCCCATAAATCACATTTTATTGGACGATTCATAAATAAAGTTGGGTTGAGGTATAAATATTGTTGGGAAAGTGGTTTATCCAACAAACAAATTCGAACACTTTAAAGTGTCAATTTTCTAAGTGGTTTACAGTTATAATAATGTTTTAACAACGAAAGACAATACATAATATAAAACAACAATGAGACAAAGTATTTGTTGACCAGGTTCGATTATCAACAAATCTATATTCGAAGATACCAATTCAGGAGGAATTCCACTAACCAGTGCTAGGACACAAACAACCACAATTCATTTAACTCTAACATTGTCATGGTTAACCCAGGAAAATACCTCATCAGGTTCGCGTTACTACAATCTCGTACCCACACAGCAAAGAAGTCCAGAGCTTGATCATTCCCTCCGGTTGGAATTTCATTAATTCCGAACACCTTCGACTTCTCCAGTTGATATCAGTGTAGAATACACATTCAAAACGTGGAGAGTTGAATCGACGGGGGTGGTGAGAGCTTTTCTCAACAATCTTTTCACTAAGATATACGCACCAACTCACACACAACCAACTTGTTTGTCTTTTTTTACTGCATAATCTATGCATCCTTGGAAAGAACACACTTCATGTTAATTTCCCTTAGCATAAAAAATGATGGAGTGTTCTCCAATGATTCTGCACAATCATCCCCTAAATACCATATTTGACTCTTGCAGGCATTTAATGTTTGGACATAATGAATAATGCAAAACACACAGATTCATATTGCAGCAGGATTGCCGAGACAGCCTTCCTGCAACCTACCAATGCTAAAAAATACTCTCTCCGTCCCATGCCGTTTCTGTTTGTTTCACATTCCATGTCACTTTTTTTTTGGAAAATGATTACACACTTTAATCTCATTTTAAATTTTTTAGTTTTTTTTAATTTTAATTAAACTTTATATTAATCTTAATTTATAATTATTTATATTATAGATAATTATTTTCACTAATATATTTTTAATTATTTACTAATTACATGCCTCATAAAATACGGTGTCTACATTATTGCAAATATATGAGACAAAAGGAGTATAAAATAGAGTATAAAATAGCTGCAATATAAAAAAAGTCTGATGGACCATCAAGTAAAATAAACTTATGGAGTGTTTATTCACAAATATAATCATAATTTTCTTAAACCGTATCGTCATTCTATTTCTGACCACACAGATCATATATGAAATTAAGTTCAAATTATTACTTCCTCCGTTCATATACTAATGTCTTATTTTTTTTATTTAGGTCTTATTTTTTTTAAATACAAATTTTACATTTTTACCCTTCATTCATTTATTACTTTTAATCTCTGTTATACAATTAAAGACAAATTTATCGATTTATAGCAAAAAAACAATTATCTAAAAAACCGTACAAATATACTTTAGTACAATAAAAATTGAACGATGATAATTGAATATTGTTCAACATTGATCACTATCATTTATTTCTGACCATACACATCAAATCAAGTCAAGTTCAATATTGATAATTGAATATTGTTCAACATTGATCACTATCATTTATTTCTGACCATACACATCAAATCAAGTCAAGTTCAATATTGATTATGTATCATCTATCACATTGTACTTCCTGCACGTTACCTTCTGCATTTAGTACTATATTTTTTAAAGAAAATAATATAATTCAAATAGTACTGTTTTTTTTAGCACTTCTTCCTCTTCCTCTTCCTCTGTATCATAATAAAATATTTATTTTTTTATTTTAATTTGTCACATAATAAAGTATTTATATTTTTATTAATTGTACTATTTATCTAACATTACAAATACCCTTACAATTTACAATATATTACACAAATACCATTACTTTTATATCGCACATGCTAATAAAGTTATTTTAGTCATTTCTATTTTATTCCTACTATATCCCAATATAATACTAATATTTCAAAAGTTACGTGCAAAAAGCAAATTGATACTTACTTATGAGACAGAGGGAGTATAATTATATCCGTTTTTATTTATGGTTTGTTTGTTTGGGGGATTGGATTTTAAATTTACTATTCAATCTATTTTTTCACTCTAAATATCAAATCAAACACCTATTCTTTTTTTTATATTATACTAAAAATCAATTTTACATTCAAAACATCACATCAACACATATTTATATTACATCATACAACTATTCAAATTCAAATTTTAGACTATTCAAATCCCAACACAAAATCCAAAGCCAAGCAAAGTATTTTATAAACTTATAACAATTATGTATATAAAAAGAACAAAAAAAAAACATGTGTATATACAAATTATAAAAATATTAGAAAATTTTTGAAATATTTAGTATAAAAATAATAATAAATTAAAGTGTATTAGAACAATAGTATTTTTTTTTTTTTTTTTTTTTGATAATATGAAAACTCACCGTTGTTATCGAAAGTGCTCACTGAGTAAATAATTGGTCGAACTTAATACCTATGCAAACTAAACTATGTGTGGTAGGTGAACCTGTAGGCGTTGAGATTAAAACCCATCGTAAGATCATAAGTTCACTCCTGATCGATGGTTCATTTGGTTAGACGAAGATACAGTATTTAAAGTAATGTAATTTAATAAATTAATTATAATAGTTATAATATTTTTTTATTCAAAAAAATATATATATTTTTTAGTTGTTTAATTATAAAATAAATATTTCAAAAATATCTATTTTTTTTACAAATACTCATATTTTATTATTACATCATTAGTTTTGCACCGATAACAATAACAATTATTTTTATACTATTTTTAACTATTCATTATAATTAAAATGATATTATTTCTTAAATTTCGCGTCAAAAGTAAACATATATTTTATAGCGGGACAGAGTGAGTATTATTTTATTATTTTTTATATAAATAGTATTATTGGTATTTTTAAAGTAAAAATTAATATATGTATATATATAATTAAAAGAAATTTTAAATAGTGTGTGTTTGTTTGGAGGTTTGAATTTTAATTTGAGATTTAAATAATAAAAAAATTGAAATGAACTAATTGTATAATATGATAAAAATAGATATTGATGTGATGGCTTTGAATATAAAATTAATTTTTTAATATAATATAAAAAATTAAAAATAGATGTTTGATTTGATATTTTAAAAAAAATGAATGCATAATTAAAATCTTTACAAATAAATAAAAAAAATATATTTACTTATCTATAATTAACATAATTAATTTTATAAAAATAAGTAATTTAGATATAGAAGAGGAGAGAGAAAAATAAAATAGTTTTGAATTGGTCTATCATAATTGAAAGTATTATTTTTATTATTTTGGTTTGTTTCACTTCAAAATATTTCTTTTGTAGGTAATCATAAGTTAGTATCAAAATATCTTTTAACTTTTAGTTAAATTATAAATATACAATTACACACACAATTATTTTATGCATAAAAGTCAAAAGCAAAAATGTCAAAAAACTTATCTACTTCTATTAACTAATAAAATATTATTATTTTTTAATCTATTACAAAATCTCAAATAACCATTTTCATTAGTGACAGAGGAAGTATTTATTTATGGTTAATACAAATTAATTTTATGATATTATATGTTATAAAGCTAATTAAGTTAGATTTATAATTTGTATATATATTTTAAATTAGTAAATTTTATTAAATATAAATAAATATTGTTTTTCATAAAACATAATAAAATAAAAATAGTACTTCCTCTTTACAATCTCAAAGTATCATTTTTACTATTTTTGTCTGTCTCACTTTCTAAAATATTTATTAATTATATACTAATATCAAAATATCTTTAAATTTTATCAAAATTTCAAACATACCATTAAATATACAATTACTTTATAAATAAAATCAAATGACAAAAATATCAAATCTCTTACACACTTTCAGTGACAAATTAAATATTGATATTTTTAATTTACTACGAAGCCCTGAAGGATCTCTTTGAGGTGAAACGGACATAATATCATTTGTTATTGAATGAAAAAAAAAAAAAAAAACATTTCATAAAATTAAATGATTTAAAAAAATGAAATGAAGAGTACCTACCAACACAATATGTAATGTACCTAAAAAAAGACAAAAAAAAAGGCATTTAATATAATTAAATGATTTATTGCATATTACTTCAAAAAATGAAATGGAGAGTAGATACCCATACATTATGTACTGTACCACCCACCAGTCAACCATTCACCATAGTACGTACCCATAAAATTAAAATTAGGTGGCATTATTAGATGTACAGACGAAAAAAGTGTATTATTATTATTTTGGTAAAAGTTATACCCCTACGTTTGTCATAATTATGCTCAAGCATTGAAATTAAAAAAATTAAAGTAATATTTCAATATATAAAACAGAATAGGTAAAGATAAAATGAAATATTATAAAAAAAGAAATTATTAAAAAATTAATAAAAAATAATAATAAATTCGATTAGTATTTATTGAAATAAAGAAAAATAAAATTATATATAGATAAAATTATTTATATATAAATTTAATAAACAGTCAGAAGTGACAGAGTCATTATTAGTTGGGGGAAGCAACTCATTATTTATAGTGTGTTACTTGACACAGTCATTGGGTGCTATTTAATTCTTCAATTACCAATAATGGCACTTCCACTAGCATTTGCACATGCTGCACTTTTCTTCTTTACGGTGGCATCGTCTTCATCAGCGACGTCAGATTCGCAGCTCTCTGGATGCTTCGATTCCGTTGTTAGCTTCGGCGGTTCGTTATCCGACACCGGCAATGATCTTATCCCCGAGATATACCCTGGACCCTGCTTCTCTGCTAACCCGCCCTATGGCCGGACGTACTTCCACAACCCTACCGGAAGATTCTCCGACGGTCGCGTCGTCATTGATTTCATCGGTACCGTACGCACTACATATCTATATATTATAGATTTGAGTGTATATATATATACTCATCAGTCAGTTCCTGCTTTAAATTTTACAGCGCAAAGCGTGGGGCTGCCTCCACTCAAATCTTACTTTTCCGAAGCTCACGAAAAGCCGGAGAAACGTCCCCGGAGCTTCAGCAGCGGAGTTAATTTCGCGGTGGCTGGAGCGTCGGTGCTTCCCCATGAGTTCTTCCGGAAGATTGGAAGTCTGAGTATGTCCACCAATGTCTCTCTGGGAACTCAATGGGAATGGTTCCGAAGCTTTTTGGCCGGACTTCCAGGTCGGTGCATCTATTCTACCTCTTTATTCATTGTCGATCTTCCCGGCCTTAAAATTATTGTGTTTCTTTGACCATCAAACTCCAGATCTTTTCCGGGATTATAGGGAAAAAAAAATAAAATATCTCATTATAAATTATTTTAATATACCTAAAATTTTCAAACTAAATTAAAATAAACAGACAGTATGTTTTATTTAAAATATTATTTCATCAATCCAGTTAAAAAGAATACATATTTATTTAAATACAAAGCTTTTTTATTTTTATTTTATATCAAATCATTACTTTTATTACAAATAACATGAACAAATTATTTGTTAAATTCAACGCCAAAAGTAGATGTATACTTTTTAACGGCACCGGGGGAGTATAGTACAATACAGTCTCTCCAATTTTTAACACCATCCAAAACCAAAAGTTATGTTTACATAGGTACTCTTCTTTATTTAAATTTTTGTGCAAATGTTTATTAATTTTATTATTATTAAAATTCTCTGTCTAAAGAGGCAAAAAGTAGAATGATCAACGTTAAATATCAGATAGACTATGAAGTGATGTGTGTATGATACACAGATGGTCGAAAGTACTTGAAAAGATGTTTGATTGTATTGGGACCACTTGGAGGCAACGACTACAGCCATCTCCTGGTTCAGTTAGGGAAGACTCTTGATGATGCGCGAATGCTTGCTCCTTTACTTGTTAGCCACATTGGATCCACCATCGAGGTATATATGTCGAAAAATCTCAAATTACCTTTAGACTAATCAAAATCATCTTGTCATATAATCCATCCTTGGATTATTAGAAAGGGTTTAATTTGTACATTATGTGCAGGAGCTGATCAAGCTTGGAGCTGTGACGATTCTTGTTCCTGGGAGTTTGCCCGATGGTTGCATGCCTGCTATGCTACTCTTTTATGATGAGATATCCAGCACACGAGATGACTATGATCCCCAAACTGGTTGTCATTATGGGTTAAACAAGCACTTACAGTACCATAACGAGCTTCTCCAAAAAGAATTGCAGAGAATAAGAAAACTTCATCCTAATGTCAACATAATGTATGGAGATTATTATAATGCAGCAAATCGAATGTATCTCTCTCCCAACCAATTCGGTAACATATTATATATACTTCTCCAACTCTGCAAACATTATCAAGGAATTGAAGCTATTGAATATATATGTACCAATCTATCCATTGGATGATCCAGGATTTGGAAACCAAGTTCTTATGGCTTGTTGCGGAGCTGGAGGGACGTACAACTTCGAGCCAGCCAAGCAGTGCGGCGGAAATCCTCAAGCAACATCCTGTCGAGACCCGGCCGAGTATATTAATTGGGATGGGGTGCACAATACAGAGGCGGCCAATAGATTCATAGCCCAAGGATTGTTCCAAGGACCGTATACCGATCCTCCTTTCTCGACCATCTGCCTTAATTCCACATTGAAGCGTCGCGCCATTGCCGACTACTAAGACTCGACTCGACTTGTCTCTGTAGTAGGCTAGATGCTGAAAGTTTAGTGCATGCATTATGCATACATGTCGTTTATTGTTATGGATTTTCTTTACAAAGTGTTTTTTATTTTACAAAATTTTGGTTCTACCATAAAAAATCAAATCCAACGCATCATATATATATATATCCATCATCATTGAGCACAGAAATTAAAGATCAATAGTAGTGTTTCGACGAGCAAAAACAAAAATTAAGCCATCCCTTAAAAAATAACAATGGAATGAAAATTACTATTTCCGTCCCAAATTAAAGGGTCAGTTGAAATTCAGTTGAAGTTTTTGTAACAAATTAAAAAATAATAGTATTCTATTAATTACTGAAAGTGGATAAAATATTTTTAGCAATGATGGGCGATCACTTTGCTCCGGCGACAGGCTGGGTGGCGACGGGAATTGCTTTGATTACGAGGGAAGAAATGAACATTTCCTAAGTTGGGTCAAATTTGTAAAAAATAAGATTTCTAAAGTTTTATAAATAAATAAACAAGCATGCTGCCACTTGTCGCTCTTCTATTGGGTCGAGAGGATTCGAAGCCCCCTTCCCTATGTCGTAGTATAGATGGCATTATTCAGCGAATCAGATCTACCGACGAAAAAGATATTATTATTAGGGTACAATATATCATTCATACCTGTGTTATATTTCTTAAGCATATAATACCATATGTTATTTTTTTTTTTAGCATAATTCACCTTCTTGATAATAGAAAGTGCGTGAGACACACATGCTATTAATGCGAACGATATTGTATCTTGAATAAAAATTTTATAACAAAATGACTGAAATACCCTTTCTTATTAATTTAATTAAGAAAACAAATAAGCAAATACACAAACCCAGATCGTCTGCTTCTATTGAACACTCCGAGGGAGGTTTTTTGTTTCCACTTTGCTGTATTTAAGAGAAAAAATATTATTTATTTTTTTTTTTCTTTATTAACTTTTTTAGCTCACCTTTTATTCGACTTCGCCATTGCTGATGAGGGCTTCTGCTCCAGCACAATTTCCTAAGGAGAAATGAGAAACTTCGAAATTCCGAAAATATTTTTTCAAAGTTCTAAAAATGTGGATCCTCCTAGAAGATCTGGTAAAATTAATCTGAGCAGCTTCACACCGTGCAGTGAGAAATTGAAAATTGATTCGCTCATTTTTCGTGTGTTGCCTTAAATCGGCTGTTTTGAATGCCTTCAGTTTTTTTAGGGAGAAAAAAATCTAACATTTTGGTTGCCAAGGACTGCCGGTGTGAGGAATGAGGATGATGTTCACGTTAGACGAGATTGAATGTAGTTTATTGTTTTTTTTTTAAAAATGTTTTATATTGCACCCGAATATTGTGTTGAAGCAGAAGTCTTCAGTTGAATTGTAGAAGTCGAAGACGAAGAAAAAAAACTAAATTAAGTGTGTTCGTTTAAAGATTTTATACAAAATTCTACAATTTATTTTTTTCCCAAAAAATATCCAATCAAAAACCTATTTTTTATTTTTATATTATATTAAAAATTAATTTTACATTTAAAATATCGGGCATAACACTTATTTATATCACATGATCATACGACTATTACAATTCAAAATTTTTACTATTCAAATCACAATTCAAAATCCAATTCCTCAAACAAACACACTACTTCATTCGTTTCTTACAGAAGTAACTGTTTGGTCTTTGTACGAAATTTAAGGTATATTAATATTATATTGATATATGATATAAAAATATATTGTAAGGATATTTATAATTTTAGAAAGTAGAGTTACTAAAAAAGAAATGAACATTTTATTATCTTTTTTATTACATATATTGTTGTTTTAACATTTTAAATTCAAATTAATATTATTTATCCGCATAAATTTTAATTAAAATTATATTATATTCCTTACAAAATATTACATCAAAATAGTATTTAAATAATAAGTTAATATTTTATTTTATATCAATTTCAAACTACAATTAAATTAGTAATTCAGACAAAAGACTTTTTTTAGTTAAAATATAAATTAAATATTAATTATATCACATTAAATCATTATTATAATATATAGTTAAAAAATTCTAAGAAAAAATATAATTTTTACAATTTAAATTATTTACCTCTCCAAATTACATTAAAAATACTAAAAATAGACCAAACACAATCTTTACAAACCCTACATTTATAAAAATAACATAATTATTTGATATTATATATGTATCTTATATAATTGACTATGAAAGATGGAGTATTATTATTTTACAGAAATTAAAAAAAAAATGAATTGGATAATAGAAGGGTAAAATAGGTACATATTATATGTATGTGACTTTATTAATTAAAATAGTCAAATTGGGAGCGTGTGAAAATTTAAGAAAATGTGAAGGATATTAGGGTGATTTTCATAATACAGGGTATTATAAGCTAATATATAACACAAGTGTTTTCTATATTATTATTACTACTACTACTGTGTCTAGAGATTCCTATTTATAGTGTTACTTGACATTGGGTGGGTGGGTGGTATGTATGAATTCTTCAATTACCAATAATGGCGCTTGCACGTGCTGCGCTTTTCTTCATTGCGGTGTCATCGTCTTCAGCAGCAGCGTCAGATTCGCAGCTGTTTGGATGCTTCGATTCCGTTGTTAGCTTCGGCGGTTCGCTATCCGACACCGGCAATGCTCTAATCCCCGAGATATACCCTGGACCCTGCCTATCTGCTAACCCGCCCTATGCCCGGACATACTTCCACCACCCTACCGGAAGATTCTCCGACGGTCGCGTCGTCGTTGATTTCATCGGTACCCACTATATATATATGCTCATCAGTTAGTTCCTGCTTTAAATTTTACAGCGCAAAGCGTGGGGCTGCCTCCACTCAAATCTTACTTTTCCGAAGCTCACGAAAAGCCGGAGAAACGTCCCCGGAGCTTCAGCAGCGGAGTTAATTTCGCGGTGGCTGGAGCGTCGGTGCTTCCGCATGAGTTCTTCCGGAAGATTGGAAGTCTGAGTATGTCCACCAATGTCTCTCTGGGAACTCAACTGGAATGGTTCCGAAGCTTTTTGGCGGGACTTCCAGGTCGGTGCATCGATATTGATCGTGGATCTTCCCGGCCCTAAATCTTTGTTCCTTACGAGTATCTTCTATTTAAAATGTTTTATTACAAGAATCTATAGCATCTCCTACCCATCATATAGTTCTTCTTATTTTTAGTTTTTCAATTATAAAGTTTAAATACTTTATTTTCATTTTATAAATATTTTTATTTTACTATCTTGTCTTCGTTACTTTTACATAATAAAAACTAAAGATAAAAATATTTTTAACTATTTTTAACTAGTTATTATAATTAAATATTATTTTTTTTTTTAAAATTTGACATCAAAAGTAAATATTTATTTTATAGCCAACGGATGAAATATAAATAAAGAGAAATAGCACTCTCCCTGATTTAAATTTGTGTTCTAATGTTTGGAAATAAATTTTCATAAAATAAAAGTAAAAAGTTTTTATTAATTTATGCCTTTTATATGTAAAAAATACTATAAAAATAAGAATTTATTTTTTAAAACAACATAAGAAGAATAAATATAAATTTGACCGATGGGTACTTTATATAAAAATAGATTGAAATTTTTACATAGCTTATAATATAAATTTTAAATTAAAATACAATAATAGTGTACATACATGAAAATAAAAAATAAAAAAATTATTAGATATGATATGAACACTTTTGGTACCATACTATTATACTCCATTAAATATTAAGTCTATACTATTTTAATTATTATTATTATTTTTTAAGTTAAAAACTTTGGGTCTAAACAAGGCAAAACATAGAATGATGAACGTTAAATATCAGATGGACTATGAACTGATGCATGTGTAAATTCTAATACAGATGGTCGAAATTACTTGAAAAGATGATTGATTGTATTGGGACCATTCGGAGGCAACGACTACCACCATCTCCTGGTCCAGTTAGGGAAGACTATTGATGACATGCCAATGTTAGCTCCTCTACTTGTTACCCACATTGGATCCACCATCCAGGTGTATATGTCAAATAAATCTATCCTTAGATTAGAAAGGCTTTAATTTGTACATTAATTGCAGGAGCTGATCAACCTTGGAGCTATGACAATCCTCGTTCCTGGGATTTTGCCCGATGGTTGCATGCCTGCAATGCCTACTCTTTTATGAGAGATCTAGCACACCCGACGAGACGACTATGATCCTCAAACTGGTTGTTATAATTGGTTAAACAAGCACTTACAGCACCATAACGAGCTTCTCCAAAAGGAACGGCAGAGAATAAGGAAACTTCATTCTCATGTCAACATAATGTACCGAGACTATTATAACGCCGCATTTGCGAATGTATCTCGCACCCGACCAATTCGGTAACATATTATATTGTTAAGAAGGGATCTGATCTTTCAATCTAAAACCAATTGATGATACTAGGTTGTTTGGTCCTTCACTCTTGTAAATTAGAAGAGCTCAACATCAATTCTTGTGAGACAATATTCAAAATATATATATAGATATATATATATATATATACTAATGTATCCATTGTTATATGATGCAGGATTTAGAAACCAAACTCTTATGGCTTGTTGTGGATGCGGAGGGACGTACAACTACAACCCAGCCAAGCAGTGCGGCGGCACTCCTCAAGCAATATGTTGAGAAGATCCGGCTGAGTATATTAATTGGGATGGTGTGCATTATACAGAGGCAGCCAATACATTCATAGCCCAAGGATTGTTCAAAGGACCATATACCGATCCTTCTTTCTCGACCATCTGCCATAATTCCACGTTGAAGCGTTGCGCCATTGCCGACTACTAAGACTTCATATATATATATATACTTTAATATATCTCATTAATTCATATATATATATATATACTTTTTAAATATTCATTCTTTATATCACACTAGTCAAATAAAAAATTTATTAACGGACGAAAAAAGTATGATATTCATTAAAACTTCATATCGTGCTCATGTAGTATACTTGTCGTGATCATATGGAGTATAATATAAATTTATACTTATTTGTTATTAAATATATTAAATAAAGATTATACCCACCATCAATCAGCTTAAATTTTCAATATAGTCATTACAATATGTAAAAATTATCCAAATATCATCTCAATAATCTCAATTTTTTTTTCAGAAAAATAAATAAATAAATAATCAAAATTTAAAAACAATCGCAAAAACCCAAATAATAGATCGTAAGTTTATTATTAGTAATATTATTTGATAATGTGAAACTAGCTGTTCGACGACTACGTTTTTACTATACTCTCAATCAAATATAATAATATGTAAATTAGGCTGACAAATGACACTAAGGTTGTGTTTGTTTGGGGATTTTTTCTCCAATATATTATCCATCCAATTTTTTTTCCTAAAATATCAAATCAAACATCTATTTTTTTTTATATATTATACTAAAAATTAATTTTACATTCAAAATATTACATCAACACATATTTATATCACACGTTATATAACTATTTAAATTCAAAATTTTTACTATTCAAATTTCAACGCAAAATACAAACCCAAAACAAACATACCCTAAGGGTGTGTTTGTTTGGAAGTTTAGATTTTGAATTGAGATTTGAATACTAAAAAATTTTGAATTGAAATAATTGTATAATATAATATAAATAGATGGCGATGTGATATTTGAATGTAAAATTGATTTTAATATAATATAAAAAAATGATAAATAGATTTGTAATTTAAAATTTTTTTTCAAAAAAAATGGAATGAATAGTTGAATTTTGGGGAAATCCTTTAAACAAGCACACAAGTTTAAGTCGCCTACAAATATTGAATGATATCCACAAGCCATCATTTAATGAAAAATAATATAACTATGTCCCACTCTTTTTTATATTTTGAAAATTTTAATTATTAATTTTTAAAGGTTTTTTTTTTAAAAAAATAAAAAAACATTATATTCATACATAGCATTTCGTTTTGCAATAATTGATGGATTTGATTAGTGACAAAGTATTTAGTAAAATTAAGTTTAGTAAATTAATAATATTATAATATGTCAATTTTGTGAGGTGGCGTGGGAACTGTATTCTCACACGATGTGAACTGTCGTCGGTGTTACGTGAAAATTAAACATGTCTTATCCGCCTTTATATTTTCTTTCTAAAAAATAGAAAATTTAAAGCATAAAAGTAAAATTAAAAATAAGAATTAGACATAATAAACACGTGCTGTCAACCTTTATATGGATACAGCGGGACGTAATGCACCGGGATCGTTGGTCAAAATATGGTGTCGCGAGAGATAAATTTAAAATGAATCTGGTCTAAGAAAGATAAAATGATTAAAATGCAATCTTATCTACTCAGTTCATCCAATCAGGAAATAACTAACGATGTGTTTGTGTGGGAGTTTTGGATTTTGAATTGGGATTTGAAGAGTAAAAATTTTGAATTTGAATAGTTGTATGATGTGATACAAATAGGTGTTGACGTGATGTTTTGAACGTAAAATTGATTTTTAGTATAATATAAAAAATAAAAAATAAATTTTTAATTTGATGTTTTTAAAGAAAAAAAAAAATAGGATGAACGGTGAAAATCTAATCCAATCCCAGTACAAACACACCCTTAGTTATTTCCTGATTGGATGAACTGAGTAGATACGATAACTTTTAGACGGATGATTCCAACCCGTAATGCAGCACGTATCAATCATTAATATTATCATTTACCAGTTTACTTCATTTGGAAAGAATCGATAACGGCGATCTCAAATCCTGCTGCCTTTTTCTTCATTTTACTGGCATCGTCTTCCTCGCCACTACCCTCAGCAGCAGCAGCAGATTCCTTTATTGGTTGCTACGATTCCATCGTTAACTTCGGCGATTCAATATCCGACACCGGCAACGATCTTGTTCCCGACTTACACTTCGGACCGTCCTCGCCGGTAACCCGCCCAATGGCCGGATGTACTTCCACCACCCTACCGGAAGATTCTCCGACGGCCGCATCATTGTTGATTTCATCGGTTCGCACTAAATATATTTACTTTAATTAAACGATAGTATTATTAATTTGAGTTTAATTTACTTGAGATTTAATCTGTTTTCAATTTTACAGCACGGAGCCTGGGGCTACCTCTACTAAAACCTTACTTTCCCGAAGCTAACGAAGCTGCGGCGCAACGTTGCCGGACTTTCAGCGCCGGAGTGAATTTCCCGGCGTCTGGAGCGTCGGTCCTTCCGTATGAGTTCTACGAGAAGCTTGGATATGCGAATCCGTAAACAACTGTCTCTCTAGCAACTGAAATGGAATGGTTCCGAACCTTTTTGGCCGGATTTCCAGGTAAACTTAATCTAAAAAAAGATTGTCAATTACATATTATATTAATAGACTTGAATCTACTTTACCACTTTGTTGAGTTTTCAACAAAGTTTGAGCAAGTCTGATATATTCTCTTAGTTTATTTGAATAAATTTAAAGATATATAAGTAATATATAACATTGTGGTCCTAAATAAATCTTTTTTTTGTTTTTGTCCGTGAACGTAGTCAAAACATTGTCGGTGAATCACGTAATTTGTATTTTATTTATATTTTCGATGATTAACCTTAATCCGTCACAAAATTATATATTTGTCCAATAATATGAAATGAAGGAGGCTTTGTATGTCTAATCAGTCTGTTCACTCAAGATTTTTAAGATAAATTTTTTTGTATAGTATGAGAAATTGTGTTGATCATAAAAAATTAAAAATAATAATAATAATATTTTGAGTTGAATGATTGACTTTGTATGAGTTGATGATATATACTTCATCCGTGTTCTATTTAATTTGTCTTCTCTTTCTATTTTCGTCACTTAATTTGTCTTTCTTTTTTTAAAAAAATATAATTACACACTTTAATCCTAATTTAAAATTTAAAATTTATAACTTTTTTTATTTTAATTAAACTATCTAGTCATTTTAATTTAATATATAATTATTTTTATTAAATCATAATTATTTTTACTAATACATTTTTTAATTATTTATTAATTCCACAATACTTATTATTCCGTGCCTAAACAAAATGGAACAATTTAGTTAAGGACGAAAAGAGTATATTTATATTAATATGAATATATTTGCATTTTTTTAATAATATTTATAGAAAATTATTTTATTGAAAAATGCTAAGTAAACAATGAATATATGTCAAAATGGATTGATCTTAACAACTCAAGTTATAACTATACAGACGGTAGAAAGTATCTGGAAAGATCTTTGATTATATTGGGGCCGCAAGGAGGCAACGATTACAGCCTTCTTTTCATAGGAGGCTGGACTCTTGATAAGGTGCAGCCGTTGGCACCTCTAGTTGTTAGCGGCCTCGGATCTACAATTCAGGTATGGAAAATCTAAACCTTACAATTGTAATATATATAGAAAATTGAAAATCATCTATAGATAGAAAATTAGGCTTGTATGAACATGATGATCGATGATGATGCAGGAGTTGATTGAGCTTGGAGTAGTTACAATTCTCGTCCCGGAAAATTTTCCGTTTGGTTGCTTGCCGGAATATCCAACACTGTATGACGAGTCTAGTTCGGAGAACTACTATGATACGCAAAGTGGTTGTCTCTCTTGGTTGAATGAGTTCTCCCGTTACCATAACGACCTTCTCCAAAAGGAAGTGCAGAGAATAAGGGAGCTTTATCCTCACGTCGACATAATGTATGGAGACTATTATAATGTCGTAATGTGAATGTTTCTTTCCCCCCGACCAATCCGGTACACACATTTACAAATTACAAATTAATGTTGTTGATAAAGAAAGCTACTATATGTGTATTCATTTTTGTCTATATACATGTATGAGTGATGCAGGATTTGGGAACCAAGTTCTTAGGTCTTGTTGCGGAGTAGGAGGCCGATACAGGTACAACGAATCGGAGCGATGCGGCAATCGTGAAGCGACATGTTGTGATGATCCAAGTGAATATATAAGTTGGGATGGGATACACTACACTGAGGCGGCCCACAGATTGATAGCCCAAGGGCTGCTCCAGGGAACGTATACTGATCCTATTTTCTCGACCATCTGCCTTAATTCGGCATCCAAGCCTCGTGCCGTAGCCGACTACTAAGGCTCAACTCGACTCGACTCGACTCGACTCGACTCATCCGAGCAATGTCCAGACTCTGTAAAGTTTGCTGTAGGTTATGAAGAGTATGAGTATGTTTGTCGTCACAATTTTAAATGTGATGTATATCTAGGCGCACTTTCAGTTGGTATGCATGCTTGTTCTTGTGTTCGACGCTACAAAAAAGAAGTTTCTATATTTGTGACACTGATTTCCGAGGATTGTATATATTTCCCTTGCAATTTGCAACGGAAGTTACCAGTACCGAAGGTGGAAAAACGGGTTTTGTTATTGACATTATTTGCTACGGATTTTAGCTAGGTGTTCATATATTTTGAATCTAGTTTGCTATTTCGTTGAATTTTTATGGAAGTTTCGCTGCCCGGTCAGCGAGTTGGGGTCAAGGGGCAAAGTTCCCTTGCATCGTCCGGGGGCGCGGAATGACCCCGGCCGATGTATTCTCTTAGTTTATTTAAAGAGATTTACCGATAATTGTAAAATTGTTGTCCGTTTATGCTCATGGATATAGCATTAGAACATATATGCGACCTTACTGCCTTTCATTACTCGGTCGATTCGACGGCGGCGCTACTTCGTTCTTGTTTTCATTCAATTACATTATTATTATTATTATTATATTCTTAACTGTGGCTTTGAATTCAAACTTTGTAGGTTTTGTTTTATAATTATCATCACCATCACCGTCACCGTCACCGTCACCGTCACTTGCAGTAAGATTATCTTCATTCTTTGTTTTTTATTTGGGTATTGACGTATTGTTCTTAGGCATTGTCATTTATCAACCCAAAACTGCATTTTAGCAACAACAATTTTATTTGTATATTTTGTATAGTATTTTTTATTTTGAATTTGAATATTCTAATAGAAATTTTTAATCTAATATTTAAAATTTAAATTTATTTTTTTAATATAATATAAAAAAATATTTTAAGTAATAAAAACTCTTAAAAAATTCTATAGCATAAATTAGTATTTACTAATTTGCAGGGTATTAGTTTCGGCCGGGGGTTTATTCAATGCGCACTTTCAGGTAGCGGCTGCGGATTTTCACGTCATCAAAATATAAATAAATAAAAAATAAAAGTGTTTTCATATTTTTTGAATGTGTTTGGTTTTTCTTTTAAATAAAAAAAATTACTAATTATTTTATGAGAATTTTAATAGAAATATATTATTTTCTATAAAATATAAAATCAAAATATTATTTAAATAAAAACTTATATCATTTTCTTAATTTCCCAATAAAACAAAACAAACTCTTTCTTTGCCATAAAAATTCTTTAAATAAGTTAAATTAATAATGACCATAGATGATATATATTTTAAATAGATTATATTATATATTATATTATAAATATTTGATTTTTTTATAAAATATAAAATCAAAATATTATTCAAATCAAAACTTATATCATTTTCCTAATTTCCCAATAAAACAAAAAAAAACTCTTTCTTTGCCATAAAAATTCTTTAAATAAGTTAAATTAATAATGACCATACATGATATATATTTTAAATAAATTATATTATATATTATATTATAAATATCTTCAAATTTATATTTATATATATCAATATTATTACAAACATAAATTGTCAATCTTTTGAGTTTATTATAAAACTTTTTTTAATTTTAATTACACGCATTGTATTTGATATTTCTTTTTTTTTTTACCAATAAATGATGTTTTAATATAAATTACAGAATCATTATCATTTTATTTTACATTTAATATTTTAGGTTTGTTTAATTTTTATTTGAAATTAGAATATCGACTTAAGTTTTTAAATATTATTTAATATAGTATAAATCCACGTAGGAAAGTCAATATTTGAATATTTTCGTCAAATGCCTAAATCCCGCATTTAATAAGAGGGCAGGCGTGAGGCGTCTGCCAGAAATTACGTAATAGAATAGTAAGTCTGGCCCGACACGTTTGCATATTTCATTCTCACACGATTAAAAAGTGATAATTTAAGTAATTATTATTAATAATTTTATAAAAAGTACTTTCTTTTTTACGGGACAAATGATTATTTTTTTTAAAAGAAAATACGACATTTTAGCTGATAAATGAGTAAGTTATTAATAAAATATTAAAATATTATTTATTATATTTTTATATAAGAAGTTGTTAGTATTTTTAAATTTTTAGTTTTATATCTTAATAAAATATAATATTATTTTGTAGATAATAATAAAAATTAATAAAATTAATAAAAAAATATATTTTTTTTATTTCTAATTAATTTAAAATTAATTTTATAAAAAAAATGAGAATTTTAAATATAGATAAAAATATTTGTTTACTAAAAACTAAAAATAAGTAAAAAAAAATTGAGTGAATTGTAGCTTAAAATTTTAAGTAAATTAATTTATATTTTTTAAATATATTTAAAATGTATAAATTTTTTAAAAAAAAAAAAACTTATCTTTTCTAGAACAGACTGAAAGAAAAAATAAAAATCACTTGTAATGGAACGAAAAAAAAAAAAATAGTAATTACAAATATTTAAATAATAAATTACAAATATTTGAAGAGATTCTATTAGGAGGGGATTGAGATTGAGGGCTGAATTTTTATAAACAACACCCATATTTTAGTGTAAATCTAACTATATTTAATTATATAATTTATAAAATAAATTATTTTTACACTATCACTATCAGCATGGTGCTCATTTTGAAATCCAACACTCAATCCTCTGCCCATTCTACTCTACATAAAATAAAATAAAGAAATATAATAATAATAATAATAATAATAATAATAAAGAAATATAATACTCCCTCCGTTTTAATATTTTTATTATTTTTGTTCGTCCCAAAACAATATTTTCATTTTCATAAATAATTATATCATTATAAAACTATCCTTATTTTTTTATTATTATTACACAATTCCACTACTTTTTACACTAATACACTCACAAGGACAAAAATATTTTTTATTCGTATTTTTTACCTATTACCAATATAATATCAACTATTTCTTAAATAACGTGTCAAGCATAACTCAAACAATAGTTTCGAAAGGTAGAGAGTAAAAAAATTCAAAATAAGATCTGTATTAATTGTACTCCTATCAACTACTCCCCATCATTTTGAAAAACTAAAAGGATATTATAAGTATATAGTAAGCAAGCCCTTTACGGCTTTTTTTCCTTGTTGCTATTCTCACCTACCAATCAACCATTAACCAAACCCATTTAAGTGGTAATTATTTAACGACAAAACTCAACGCCTCCCCTCTCCTTTATATAATAACCCCAATTTGGTTAAGGATGAAGATCTTAAATGGCACTTGCACTTGCACTTGCCGCTGTCTTCTTCACTTTAACAGCATCGTCGTTGTCAGCGGCACCGGCGCCGGCGCCGGAGTCGTTGTTTGGATGCTACGATTCCATTGTCAGCTTCGGCGATTCGCTGTCCGACACCGGCAATGATCTTTTCCCTGGCCTACACCAGGGAATCTGCCTCCCTGCTAACCCTCCCTACGGCCGGACCTACTTCCACCACCCCACCGGAAGATTCTCCGACGGCCGCCTCGTCATTGATTTCATCGGTTCGCACTATATATATATATATATAATTGAATGATGTTATTTGAGTGTGTATATATAGTTATATACTGTATAGAGTGACTACACTAATCAGTGAGTTCCTGTTTTCGATTCACTTTCACAGCACAGGCCCTGGGGCTGCCTCTGCTCAAACCCTACTTTCCTGGAGCGTACAAGGACGCGGCGCAACGTCGCCGGAGCTTCAGCACCGGAGTAAATTTCGCGGTGGGGGGATCGCCGGTGCTTCCGTATGAGTTCTACGAGAAGATTGGATATGAGAATCCGTACACCACTGTATCTCTGGGGACTCAATTGGAATGGTTCCGAAGCTTTTTGGCCGGACTTCCAGGTCGGTGCCCACTTCAAATTTACCTTAATCATGGCGTAGCCGCCTTTGTTTTTTTTTCTACTCCTTCCGGTGCCACATGTTTATTTTTGTACCTTTCGTATGTTTCACATTTTTATCTTTTTCCTAAAATATATTTTTTAATTATATTTTAAAAAGATTATTCGAATATATATTTTCTATTGCCATATAAATTTTAAAATTTTTAAATTTTTTAATTATATATATTAAATTTATTTTAAAATTATAATATTATTAATTAATAAAAATAAAAAATATTATAATTTATTATTATACATTTGACGTGACTAAAATATTGGAAAAAATAGAGTATTAAAAAATTAATTATTAATTGAAATGCCAGATGGACTAACAACTAATTAAATGTCGTATAGATGCACGAAAGTACTTGGAGAGATCTTTGATTGTATTGGGACCTGTGGGAGGCAACGACTACAATCATCTCTTCCAGCAAGGGAGGACTCTTGATGAGGTGCAATTGGTAGCTCCTCTACTTATTAGCTACATCGGATCGGCAATTCAGGTTTGTCAGAAAAAAAACAAAAAGTTTGAACCTTAAACTCACCGAAATAATCTTTTAATATGTATGATCAATCCTTATATATAGTTGTAGTTTCTCATAGTAATTAGTATCACATTGTAGGATATGATCAAGCTTGGAGCTGCGACAATCCTCGTTCCCGGGAGTTTGCCGGACGGTTGCATGCCTATTTCTCTAACATTATACGAAAAATCGAGCACGCCCAACGACTACGATCCGCGAAATGGTTGTCTCAATTGGTTGAACAAGTTTTGCCGGCACCATAACCATCTTCTCCAAAAGGAACTGCAGAGAATAAGGGAACTTCATCCTCATGTAAACATAATGTATGGAGACTATTATAACAATGCCATGCGAATGTATCTCGCCCCCAACCAATTCGGTAACATACACTTTCCTCGAATCCTCTACATTGAAAAATGATCGAGACATAAAATTGAATTGAATGTGTATCTAATATCCATCCATGTATGATGCAGGATTTGGAAACCAAATTCTTAGATCTTGTTGCGGAGCCGGAAGGATGTACAATTACGACCCTGCCGAGAGATGTGGCACTCCTCAAGCAACATGTTGTCGCGATCCTGGCGAGTATATTAGTTGGGATGGAATACACTTTACAGAGGCAGCAAACAGATTGATGGCCCAAGGACTGCTTCAAGGACCCTATACTGATCCTCCTTTTTCGACCTTCTGCCTTAATTCCACGTCGAAGCCTCGAGCCATTGCCGAGTACTAAGACCTGACACGACACGACACAGCTCGTCCTGCTATATTATAGATACTGAAATTTTGTTGTATGCATGATGATATAGGGATAGTGTTGTAGCCACTGCAAAATTAATGCAGGATTAATCGAACAAACAATAATAGGTTTGTTCTTTTATGTTTACACAATTTCAAATAATTTTTTTCAGCATTTATTCCCTCCGTCCTCCTACCTATTTTTCGTATAAAAAAAAATATATATATATATTCTTAGGAAATTTTTCTATCTAAACATATTTAACTAATATAAATTAATTTAACTGCTTTAGTTCTATCTCTCGAATCAATAAATAAATATTTTTATCTATATTTAAAATTTTTTATTTTTTATAAAAATAGTTTTAGATTAATTATAAATAAATAAATATTTCATCCGTCTCATTGAAAAGTTGTCATTTTTTATTTTTATCCGTCCCAAAACAATGTTACCATTTTCTAATTTAGTAATTGTGCTACCTACCTACCATAATAAATACCCTTCAAACTTACACTATATTACACAAATGTCATTACTTTTATATTATACAATATTAATAGGGGTATTTTTGTCTTTTTCACTACAACTTATTATAATACTAATATTAAAAAATCTACATGCAAAAAGTAAACGACAACCTTGCACCGGGACGGAGGGAGTATATTTTTTATTTATTTGTATTATATAAAATTTTATTATATACAAAATGATATTCATATTGCATAAATTTTATTGAGAAATAATCCAAAAAATATTTAAAATACTAACAAAACTACTCATAAAAAATAATATTATAACTTAATATTAATAAATTATTAATATAAACTATCTAAATTTTTTTTTCTGATTTTCTCCGAAATATAAATGCCGCGCAGGTTTGATTCTTGAAGGATATCGCATTCTCGAAACCTACAAAGCATATCGTCGATAAATTAGATGTTCAAAATAAAATAAAATTCAATATTAAAATTAAATTAGCATTAAACTCATTATTTTCCAATTAAAACAAAGATACTAGGTTTATTCCCGGCAAAAGCGCCAAAATTTGATCAAAGATTTTTGAAGATTAAAAAATATCTTTTAAAATACAAAAAAAGATATACGTATAAAATGAAAATAGTGTCGTGTCTGTTCGTGTAGTAACTCCAAAAACTTCGTCAAAAATAAAAAATCTCTTTAACCGGTGAGTGTCCGGTCGAACTCAGGGAATATGCGAATATCCTATATTTAATTAGAAAAAGTGCAATGAGTTGATGCAATCGAAGAAACTGAAAAGATAAATTGTAGAAATTAAATCTAACTAAAAAACGATAAAATATACGTATCTCGAAAAGAATGAAGCAAGGCGTTTGTGTCTGACTTTTGCGTTCCTTAATGGCTAGATTTCCATGGATGAAATGAGCGGGATAACGATGGCGTGATAGCAAAAAATATATGTATAATTGCGGGGCGGCTCGGAGGAATGAACGTGATCGCATTTGCTCGCTTAAGCCGATTCCTGACTCGGTTGGTACTCGACCTTAGAGGATTTACAACGAGGCTTCAACGACACTCGGCGAAGAACATTATAAGCAAGAAACTCTACTGTCACTAGAAATTTCTGTGACCCAATAGACCACCGCCTATGCCCCAAGAATTATTCTTCCAACCGTTCCGCTAGTGGCTCTACCCCTCTGATACCTCTCTTTAATCGGAATCGAATTCAGAACAGCAACTAAGCAGGTCGACAAGGCTCCCGCGTACTTAGCTACGTTGAACTACCCGAAATCTGCTTCTGACACGAAACAGGGCTGAAAGAGTCGATTCTTCTATCGCCCTTCCGCAACCTTGTCGAAATCCAACTTGAACAATTCAAATCGAACATGGAATTTTTGGGTGAAGGTGAGGCGAAGAAATATGATCAGATTTTACTAGCTAAAATAATATGCATGAATTAAAAGAAAATGAAGAGAAAATCAGTTTGTTCGCGATACAAAACCGAAAAATCTCGTATTATTAAACTAGATAAAAATATGGGAAAAAAGAAATAGAGAAAAATGGAATGTATATTATTGTGTATATATGGTGTGTGTATATGGTACAATTAGAGGAAATATTTATAGGGGCAAAAGCTTCTAAAAGCTTGGCGGTTAACAACCGCTAATAAATAACTACTTTTAAAAATAACTACTAAATACCTTTAGAAATAACCATAAATAACTAGCTCTAAAAATAGCTACTAATATAATTACTAATAACTACCTATTTTCTAAAAGGTTTTAGAATAAAAATTACATAAAAATAGCCAAAAATTGGATAAAAAGTAGTGCATGAACTTAATTAAGGGAGTTGGGAGAGTGTAGTAAATGCAGGAGCTGTGGGTGTAAGAGACATAAATGTAGCCGAATTCGGAGTAATCAGCGGCAATAAAATGCAGCGAGAATTAATGCAGCCGCCGCTCATGGAGTCCGCGCCAGCCGCCGCTCAAATTCCGCACCAGCTGCCGCTTCGCTCACTTCCACGCACGGCCTTCCGCTCCGCTCACATTTCCGTGTCAACCGTCGTCTGCCTTCCGTGCCGCCATCTTTTCGATTACTTCAATGCCAAAGTTTCCGTGCATCCGTCATCGCTTCGCTCACTTCAACGTCAAAGTTTCCATGCAGCCGTCACTTGTTTCCGTGCTCATAAATACAGCCGCCGCTCGCCTTCCGCGCTCGCTTGTCTTCATCGCTCACGCACTCCTATGCAGCCGCCGCTTGAATTCCGCGCAGCGGTTGACTTTGACTTTCACGTGTTGACTTTTCTGTGTTGACCGTTGACTTTTATTTATTTTCGCACATGTGACTGTTTTTTTCGCTTCTAAAGCCATTTTTTTGCTTTTTAAGACAAGTTTTGAACTCCCATGTCAATTTTCAAGTATTATTTCACATATATAAATAATAAACACCTTATAAATATTTATGTAAATAAATAATAAAATTAATTTAGCCAAAATTAAATACTTAAATATCACATAAATAATGCCTAAAAATATAATTTAAGAAACACATCAATTAATTTAATTTATACACCAAAATAATTATAAATTTCACTTAAAAATTAATAAATTAATATTATACAAACAAGATGAAATGAATACAATTATTAGAATAAATTAACATAAATAATACCAAATTCGACGTAAATAAATAAATAATTAAATAAATATAAGTTATAAAAGAAATTAAGAGTTATCAGTTACCCTTACCGGGACGGGACAGAGTGAATACTTTTTAATAATAATATATTAAGTTTATTATAAAATATTACAAATTAACAAAATGCAATTAACCCTAACAATATTACTCCTCCATATTTTTACAATTCTTAATATTCTCTTTGTCTCATAACAAAGTATTTAATTTTTCATTTTAGTTTATCTTATAACAAAGTATCAATTTGTTTTTTAGTAACTGTATTATCTACATAACATTACAAATACCCTTACAACTTACAATATATTACACAAATGTCATTACCTTTATATTACACGTACTAATAAGGTTATTTTAGTTATTTCTACTTTATTCCTACTATATCCCAATATATTAGTAATATTTCTAAAACTAAGTATAAAAAAGAAATGAATATTTAATTTCAAGACGGATGGAGTAATAATTATTGATATATGCTAATTTTGTAAAAACATCTGTTGATTACGACAAAATATACTGTGCTAAAGTCATAATTATATTTTATTACTTATAATTATATAATTTGCTATTAAAATGTTATTTTCGTCTGACTTTAAGGGTCTCATTTACTTTTTACGTGTTGATATTTGAATATTAATTATTATATCAAAATATAGTACCAATTAAGAAAAAATTGATATGAGGTACAATGACCCACAGCTAAATGTGACCCTTAAAGAGGACGGAGAGAGTATTTGTTATATATTACTTTATCCGTTCAATGATAATCTTTTATCCTTAAAAAGTAATATGAAAAAGAAAACAACACAGGTATTTTGATATTTAGTTAAGAGGTATTTTTTTAAAAATAAAAAAAAATAAAAAATTTTGATTTGGACAGAACAAAATAAAAAATGAGAAATTTAATAATGAACGAAGAGAGTATATTAATAGTGTTACTTATTTTAAAATTTTTTATTAAAGATGAATTAACCCAATCAACATAGTGAGTGAAACTATAATTGGATACTATATAAGAATACTCAATAGTCTTTTAAGTTTAAGTTTTTTATTAAAAAAAAGAGCAAAAATTAAAAGTAATCCCATTAAAATCTTAATTTTTCACTTTTAGTCTCATTAAAAAAAAATTTTATCAAAACTAGTCCCATTAAAACACTTATTCATCAATTTTTTATTCATCAATTTTGATCTTTGGCAGTTAATTCGGATCCAACATGGGATGCCAGACCTACCGCCCAGCTAAGAAGGTCGCCGGAGAGTTTCGATCAAAATTGACATTATGAACAATTCAATTTTTTTGTTCCTTGACGAGCCGACCTCCGACTAATGTGTGGTGGTTTTTGGTGTGCTTGCAGAAATACTTGAGCTGCTCCAGCTTGGTGCTGTCGGAAATATGCCGCCCCTTCCTAAAACTTTTTCTGCAGATCGAACTCTATCTCCAACTTCTGCTCGCATCACCGGAAATGTACGGTACCGCGGATGACGGTTATCTCCTTTGAAACCAAATAACAAAGGTTGTGGATCGCTGTCCGACGGTTCATCGCAGGCTGATGTTCGGGTCCCTTTCCTCAATGGCGCTCCGCGCTGATCTCCACCGCGAGACGGGAGGATGGGCTGCCGCCGACGCGTCTGGAGGAGAAGGCGGTGGAGAGTAACGGAAGGGGGACATGGAGAGGGTGAGCATATGGCTATCTTGATCTACGGTGGGGATGTTATAGCCTGCGGCGATGGGCAAATCTGTTATGGTAGAAATTGTCCGGCTCCATTCTCAATCAAGCAAAAATTGAAAAGGACATGGACTGGTCGAAGAACATAAGAATCAGACTGTGGAACTGAAATTCCGATGAAACTCGTCGGCGCTCTTCCTCCTTCGCAGGTGGACAGTCTAGAAATAAAAAAACGGGCGTGTTCTACATAATACGCCTATATTGGATCCGAATCCGAATTAACTGTCCAGGATCAAAACTGGTGAATAAGTGTTTTAATGGGACTAGTTTTAATAAAAAAAATTTGAATAGGATTAAAAATAAAAAATTAAAATTTCAATGGGACTATTTTTTATTTTTGCTGTAAAAATAATAATAATAATAAATAAAATAATAAAGAATAAAGACCAAAGATAATTATATATATATATACACACATATACATACATGTAATATACCACCTACCAATCAACCATTCCCCAAATCGTCGTGTTAGGTTGTATTATACAATTCCTCAACGACCAAATAATATTAATATGATTTATAGCATGGTACTTACATTACGTGAAATTCTTTGTTGAGGACTCCCGTTTGCGGGATATGTAACTAATGGCTTAGTTTCCCTAATAAGTTCGAGCTTTTAGGTGAGACGGTCATTAGTTTCCGACATGGTATCAGAGCCTATTTTACAGCACAGAGCATAGGACTGCCTCTACTTAAACCTTACTTTCCCGAAGCTCACAAGGACACGGCGCAACGTCGCCGGAGCTTCAGCACCGGAGTGAATTTCGCGGTGGCTGGAGCGTCGGTGCTTCCCTATGAGTTCTATGAGAAGATGGGATGTGGTGTTATGTCCACCAATGTCTCTCTGGGAACTCAATTGGAATGGTTCAGAAGCTTTTTGGCCGAACTTCCAGGTCGATCGATCGGATGATCTGCCCTCTGTACTTAATTCATTGATCATGTGCGTACACGAACTCTTTAATATCATATAGACTAATTAAGAAGTGCTCTACGTATATGACATACAGAGAGTCTAAAGTACCTCCAAAGATGTTTGGTTATATTGGGACCCCTAGGAAGCAACGACTACAGCTATTTCCAAATGTCAGGGAAGAGTAGTCTTGAAGATCTGCAATTGGCGGCTCCTATACTTATTCGCCACATCGGATCCACCATTCAGGTATGTCAAAGAAATATAAATTAACTCTACACTCATCAAAATTAGAAAGGGTTTAATTTGTACATGAACTGCAGGAGCTGATCGAGCTTGGAGTTGTGACAATTCTTGTTCCTGGGGGCTCGCCGGATGGTTGCATGCCTGCTATGTTAGTCCTTTATGAGAAATCCAGTACGCGAAATGACTATGATCCACAAACTGGTTGTCTCGATTGGCTCAACCAGCACTTACAGCACCATAACCATCTTCTCCAAAAGGAACTGCAGAGAATAAGGGAACTTCATCCTCAGGTCAACATAATATATGGAGACTATTATAACGACGCAGTGCGAATGTATCTCTCCCCCAACCAATTCGGTAATATACACTTCAAATTCCTACGCTCTGCACAAATGATCAAGAAAGCCATTGAATGCCTATTTATGTACCTACTATCAATGTATGATACAGGACTCGGAAACCAAATTCTTAAGGCTTGTTGTGGCGGCGGAGGGGCATACAACTGTGAACTAGACAAGAAATGCGGCACTCCTCAAGCAACATGCTGTCGCGATCCAGCTGAATATATTAGTTGGGATGGGGTACACCTTACAGAGGCAGCCAACAGATTGATTGCGCAAGGATTGCTCCAAGGAACATACACCGATCCTCCTTTCTCGACCATCTGCCTAATTAATTCCACATCCAAACCTCGTGCCATTGCCGAGTACTAAGACCCGACACGACTCGTCCCTGCAATAGTGTAGATGCTGAAAGTGTGTTGTATGCATATGCATTCGTCCACTCCTTTCAATTGTGGATTAAATATAACTATTTGCAGAAGCCATCAATTAATAATAAGAGATATATATTAGGATTGTAATTCTAGATCTAGACCCAATAACTATTACTTTTCATATAGAGAGTACCGGCGAGGTTTCTGCCGATTTTCTCAAGAAAGATTGCATCATAGACTTAAAAGAAAACAAACCCTACATCTTTACATATGGTGGCAGTGTTGTAGCCACTGCAAAATGAAGGATTATTCGAACAAACAGTAATAGGTTTGTTCTTTTATATCTACAAAATTTCAAATAATCTTTTTAGCATGTACTTTTTAATAAAAATATATATAAGTTTCTTATAAAATAAATAATATTAACAAAATGTATTTTATCCGAACAACTAATCTCAATCGTCAAGCTGCTAACAACTAAACACATCATATTTTAATATAACAATCTTTCCAATTTTTTTATTTATTACCAATTTGAGGAGAGATGATCACCAACAAAATATTTGAGTGCTAGTTGTTTCAAAGACTAAGACGCTCTCCCTCAAACACAAATTACTAGCACTACCCGTACAATTAAATAAATAAATAAAATTTACTTTAACATAACAAATATTCTTACAATTTACAATATGTAGTAAGAAATGACTAGGGTGTATGGAATGAACTTGTGACATATCGTGGTAAGAAATGACTTGGGTGTAGGAAGTGAACTTGTGACATATCCTGAGACTATGGGTACAAATCCCAACGCCTTCATGTCTGTAGACCTGCCACATATTAAATAAATGAATATTTGACGTCACAGTAAAAGAAAATTATATTATTTATTATTATTTTTGAGGAATCGCAATCGAAAATTTTGTTGAAAGAACAAAGTCTAATGTATTTGAATCTGAGTGAAAAAATTTTTAACTAAGACTAAAGGAGTATAGTTTTAAAGGAAATTATAAAAATTAAATAGTAAAAACATGAATAAATAAAATAAAAACAAACCAAACCAAAAAAAAAAAAAAAAAAAGAGTAAACACACATTCATGTTTTTAATTTTGAATTTTTTCGTTTTTATTTTCTTTTTTTTTTTTTTTTTTTTTTTTTTTGCGTTTTTCACACATGGTTGAAATAAAATCAAAATATGATAAAAAAAAAAAAAAAAAAGTAATATTAACTATGCATTATAGCGTTGCAAAACTAAAAGAAAAATAAACAATATATATTATAAAAACAATGCGATAAACACGCTCTAATTATGAAAAAAAAAAAATATTTTAACAAAGTGGATCCTACGCTGAATTATAAATTCAACACTCAACTATCTGGAAAGGTAATCACATCATTAGACAATCAATTATTAATTATATCATATTATAATATAATTAATTATACATCAGCAGAATTAATTAGCATCAGCAAGATTAATATTAATTACTATGCATTATAACGTTGAAAAATTAAAAAAAAAATATTATAAAAATAATGCGATAAACACGCCCTAGTTAATTAAATTATCCTTAAACCATTCCCACCTACCAATCAACGTTCACCAAACCGATCGAACTACGTCGTAATTATTTAACAGCTTGAATCCTCAGCCTTTGGGTAAGGATCATTAATGGCACATTCACATGCACGTGCACGTGCACTTGCTGCTGCTGTCTTCTTCACTATAGCGGCATCGTCGTTTTCAGCAGCAACGGCGCCGGATTCCTCATTTCGATGCTTCGATTCCATTGTCAGCTTCGGCGATTCGCTGTCCGACACCGGAAATGATCTTTTCCCTGGCCTACACCAGGGACCCTGCCTCGCTGCTAATCCACCCTATGGCCGGACCTACTTCCACCGCCCCACCGGAAGACTCTCCGACGGCCGCCTCGTCGTTGATTTCATCGGTACGCTACGAAAATATATATATATAATTAAATGATAGTCGTCGTCTTTCCATTCCTAAACCCTAATTTCCAATTTTTTACAGCTCAGAGCATAGGGTTGCCTCTACTCAAACCCTACTTTTCCGAAGCTCACCAGAAGGCGGCGCAGCGTCGCCGGAGCTTCAGCACCGGAGTAAATTTCGCGGCGGCCGGATCGGCGGTGCTTCCGTATGAGTTCTACGAGAAGATTGGATATCAGAATCCGTACACCTCAGTCTCGCTAGGAACTCAAATGGAATGGTTCCGAAGCTTCTTAGAAGGACTTCCAGGTCGATCTGTGCCCACTCCAAATCTACCTTTTTGTACTTAACAGTGGACTAAATTAATATTATACTATTAAAAAGTTAATTGTACTTTTTGAAATATCATACTGTGCTAACTACTAACAACTAAACTATGATTGGACATACAGATGGGCTACAGATGGGCGAAAGTATCTGGAAAAATGTTTGGTTGTATTAGGACCACTGGGAGGCAACGACTATAACCACCTCTTCCTGCAAGGGATGACTCTTGATAAGGTGCAATTGGTGGCTCCACTAGTTGTTACTCGAATCGGATCCACTATTCAGGTGTGTGTATATATATATATATATATATATGTAGAAATTAAAAATCTAAACCCTAATTAGATTCACCCAAAATCAAATTGTCTTGCAGGAGTTGATCAAGCTTGGAGCTGCGACGATCCTGGTACCCGGGAGTTTGCCGGATGGCTGCATGCCGATTTCTCTAACAATACATGAGAAATCCAGCACGCCCAATGACTATGATCCGCAGAATGGTTGTCTGAGGTGGATGAACCAGTTTTGCCGACACCATAACCACCTTCTCCAAGAGGAACTGCAAAGAATCAGAGAACTTCATCCTCATGTCAACATAATGTATGCAGACTATTACAATGCCACAATGCGAATGCATCTCTCCCCCAACCAATTCGGTAACATACAGTACTTCTGAACCTCAAATAAATACATACACTCGATCGATCTATTGAAAAAGGATCAAGACAGACAGACAGGTATCGAATTGAATTAATTAATGATGCAGGATTTGGAAGCCAAATTCTTAGGTCCTGTTGTGGAGGAGGAGGGACGTACAACTACGACCCAGACAAGCGATGTGGCACTCCTCAGGCAAAATGTTGTCGTGATCCTGCCGAGTATATTAGTTGGGATGGGGTACATTTTATGGAGGCAGCCAACGGATTGATTGCCCAAGGATTGCTTCAAGGACTTTATACTGATCCTCCTTTCTCGACCATCTGCCTAATTAATTCCACAGCGAAGCCTCGCGCCATTGCTGAGTACTAATTAAGACTCGACTCCAACTCTTACTTTCATTGATTTATTTTGTTTCAAAAATTCAACTTTATCTTCTATTCAGTAATTATGTAACCATAATAGTCACTGTCTTATATTCTCTCTGCATTCTAGGTAATTACTAGTTTTTATTAATTTATTAAATATATTTTATAAAAAGATATAGTATATAAATCCTATAGGTAATAATGGAATGAGACTGAGGTGCGGGTGGAGGTTCTGATCTCATACCTTTGACGAGGTGTTGGCATGCAAAATTCGTTTAAAAATCCAATTAATGCAGTGATCATAAATCTGGTTTCATTTTTCACTGATCAATTCATTGCAATTATGAATGTATATAATAGTCTTATTGTACCTCATTATAAATTACAGATTTTCTAATTAACTAAATTATAAAAAATAAAAAATAAATAAAAAAAAAAAAGAATATCATATTCACCATTTTATAATAGCCAAGCTAATTTCAAGTGGCAGCTGCATATATAGCCGTTCACAATGTCTTCGTTTTATTCAAAATTTTAATTAAGGAGATCGAATTAACCTTCATATCAATTCAAAAACCAACTATAGTAGTAGTGCCTGATATGGTGACAAGCAGAGTCACCATTGACATCATGCATGCATACATATTAGTCCAATTCAAGCTTTCTCAAGTTAAAATCAAGAAGATTATACTTCATTTTAATTTCACAATGCAAGTAATAAATTAAAATTTATCAGTGACTGTAATATTTGATGACGAATCAAGAATCCCAAATGGGTCCGAAAGCAGCAATTCCTGCGTTCTTGCACGCATCAACGACGTCCCTACTTCCCTCTGGATTGCTGGTCACGATCACCACCTCCGCCCCAAAACTCTTCGCCGTGTCGACGCTCATCTGCGACACGTTCGGGCGGCCCTGCACCGCCGTGTCGTGCACGATCACTTTATCCTTCGGCTGCCCGCTCATCCACTCCTTGATTTCTTTCCCGAAGTTTTGCTCCACGTTTTTGGTGATCCAAAGCAGGCAGACCTCGCCCCGGCATGGCTGCAGAAGGAACGACAGGAACACGCAGATGCCGGAGCCGGTGGCCACCAGAAGAGCCCTGTTGTACATGTTTGTTAGATATGGAAGTCCGGCGAAGTGGACCTGCCGGACCCAGAGGTGGCTGGGGGGATTCGCCACCAGGGATTTTGTGAAGTCCCCGACGGCGCCGGCGAGCATCATGTGCTCCTTCTTGTTGTCGGAGATGATCCCGAATGCGTGCCATTCCGACAGGGGTGACGGGCTGATCCTTCCGAGTATTCCGGCTTTGATTCCGCCGTCGAATTTGATTATCGAAGCGTGCCCGGATGGTGACGAAACCCTAACGGGGACTCGCCGGACTGTCAGCCAGGGAATGATGATTAGGACGGTGATTCCGACGGTGAACCAGAATTCTTGTCTTCTTACCAATCTTGACCCCAAATCGTTTCTGTAGGATTTCGTCAGCGGGTCGTAAGAAATCGTGAACATTACGAAAGCCCAGAGGAGGATCAGCGAACTCCAGCCGGCGAAGCGGTGGATACGTTCGAAGAAATTGTGGTGCAGGTGGCGGACGAGAGGGAACGCCGCCAGAGACGAGAGGCAAAGGAGGCCGAGAATCGCCGACGCGACGGCGATTATTTCCGGGCTGGTGTCTTCCCTGTGTTTCAGGGTCAGAACCAAGGCGTAGATCAGCCAGGCTATGGAGGATACCCCGCAGCTGCTGTGGATTCCCCCTAACGACTGTAACAACGACGTTGTCATAGTTTTGACAGGCAACGGAATCCAGGGCCATCCCAGGACATTGACAGCGAGCCAGAAGACGATCCTGAGGAAGGCCTCGCTCCGGCAGAGAACCAGAGCGAAAATGTTGGCGATGGAGAAAAGAGCAGGCCTGTCCCTGGCGTAACGGAAATTCCCCGTCGCTGCAAGAATCAGGCCTGTTAAGTTCAGCGCCAGAGAGACTGCGAACAGGCGTTTGTATACAGTGAAAAGTCCTTGGTCGAGGAGTATGACCGACAGCCTGGACGAGGCTGTCTTCTTTTTGGCGGCCGGCGGCGGCTGCTCGCGTTTGCTGGCGGCGGCCGGAGGGAGTTGCTGATCCACGTGCTTATCATCTTCGTGGCCTTCTTCAATGTCGGCTAATAACTGGTCGTCGTCGTCTTCTTCGTCCTCGACGTCGCAGAAATGGCTGCTGGCTCTGCTCATTGACCTCTCGATTACATCGGACGTCGACGGGACGACTCTGGAAAAGCTTCCCCATGGCATCCACGACCTTCTGGAAGAGCTAGGGATTGCAGGAGGTGCGGGAAGGGCGAAGGGGTTGTTATGGGGTTTGATTTCGAAAGCTACCCCTCTGCAGCTCGAAAACCTGTTGATCTTCCCCGAGCTTTCATCCATGGCGGAATTGGTTGTGTGGAAAGAAAGCTAGAAATGCAAGCGGATGTAGAAGATGATTGGAGAAGTAATTAATGGCTTCGTTGTGAGGTGAGAACTATTGCTTCTGCTGTCTATTTATAAGCCTTAATTCTGCTTGTCGCCTTCTGCCCTAATTAAGAAAAAGTCTTACATACACGCACATGCATACATATATAAATATATATATAATTTTTTGCATTATTGGATAATCCGATTATGTAATTCCATTTACAGTTGACTAAGTCCGTCACGATTATTGCAGATATTTAGATCATAGATGGTCACATTTTCTGTCTTAAGGATTTGTTCTTAACCTGTAGAGGGTACTCGTACACTGCTAAATAATAATAATAATAATAATAATAATAATAATAATAATAATAATAATTTTGGGAAATGCATTTATTATCTTCAAACAATCTCCAATGGCGGCTATATGTCCCCAAATTGATAGGATCGGATGAATATGTTGTAATTAATGTCATAACCACCAACTAACTATACATATTATTATAGTAAATTCATATTTGTATTGTAAATAATTATTATGTAGATTTTAATTAATCATACAAATAATTAAACAACGGTAAAAAAATGTAAAATTGATTGACTATAAAAACAGCAGAATAATCTCTAATATTTAATCCTTTGGTTGTAAATTGTAATTATATGAAACAAGCTAAGGAATAAGGTGATCATATCTAGGGTTTCAATTTCCATGCAGATAAGATATATTATTATTAATCGTCATCAAGTTTGATCAGGTCATCGCATGCACATAATTAATTATATAAATGTTTTTTTATAGTATTTTACTACGAACCAACATAACAACTTCGTGTTAGTAAATTTAGTGGTTCAATTGTGATGCATTAATTTCACAGTAATGAATAAAATTTGTCGAGACATGATATATATTGATTAATTAAAATAAGAGGTTTAATTATATAATTGCTCTTGGATTCTATCACCGATATCATTAATCTATATATCTATCTATCAATCAATTCGGCAGATTTTAGTTTGTTCCTCGATCGACAGGAACTTCCTGCTGTGTTGTCCCAAAATTAATTAATCTCTGGCTTTGACAATTTCTTCCCAATTAATTTCAACATTAAAAATCTTGCAAACATTTGTTTTGGAGTAATAGTGGAAGACCAAATCCGCTTAATCTGTTCTCTGTCTTATTTGTAGACATTGTCCGTAGATTTGTGTACTTGATGTTATATATATATATATATATATATATGAAGTGAATTAATTCTTATATATACGTTTATTTATTTGGCTTTAGGTTTTTTTTTTTTTTAGAGTGAAATTAAGAAATTAAATACTCCCTCCGTCCCAGAAGTAAATATCCATTTGCTTTTTTTACGTAGTTTTAGAAATATTAGTATTATATTAGGATATAGTAAAAATAAAGTAGAAATGACTAAAATAACTTATTAGTATGTGTGATATAAAGGTAATGACATTTGTATATATATTGTAAATTGTAAGGGTATTTGTAATGTTAGGAAGATAGTACGGTTAATAAAAAAATGAAATAAATATTTTGTTATGGGGCAGACTAAAATGGAAAAATAAATATTTTGTTATGGGACGGAGGGAGTAATAAATAAAAATAAAAACAAAAGATGCGAAGTGAACAAGCTCTATTGTTGCCATAATTCTTAATCTCAATTTGTCAAATTAAATATATATATATATATATATTAAAGCAAAGTAGCGTGGAACATGACCCGTGAGTCCGTGACAAAGACTTGGTAAATTCCATATACTGACCTCTTACTGTTGTTTATATAGCAATTAATCAATGCAATTACACTATTATTTTAATGGTGATCTAAATTCACCTGTAATTTCTTTTGAATTTCAATATGCCAATTATTTAGCCTACTTCTAAAATCACCTCTACTTTCTTTTGAATTTCAATATTATATAAAATATATATATATATATATTTTGTAGGAAATCATATTCATATACATTTAATATATTTTATTGAAATATAACTTTTAAAATATTCAAATATATTATATATTTATTTATAATCTAACATATAGATACAAATTACATCTTACAATTAAACAACATCTCAAATACTCAATGAGCTCAAAGTTGATATGATAAAATCTCAAATTGAGTTTTAGAATAAAATATTGTAACTCAAATAACAATTAACTATAGAAGAGTTGAAAATACTGTGTGGCTATAGACTTAAGATTTACAATTTTTTTTTATATTATTATTATTATTTATTTATTTATTTATTTTGTTTTTTGGCAAATAGGGCCTTGGCTTGCCCAATTGGTGCAGCATTTATTGAATTCAAGAAATATGTACATATCGAATCTACAAATATATATATATATATATATATATAAAAGTGGAAGTCCAACAATCTAATTAATATTACACACACTTTCATTACAAGTGGAAGACTTCGAGTATATATCTTTAAGGTTTCGTTTTAATTTTTTTTTTTTTTTTTCTAAATAAAATTATTAAATCAAATCTTGATTTTTCATTCAATTAATACGTTACATTAAGGGTGTGTTTGTTTGGGGGATTGGATTTTATTTTCACTATTTATCTCAATTTTTCCCCCAAAAACATCAAATCAAACGCCTATTTTTTATTTTTTATATTATACTAAAAATCAATTTTACATTCAAAATATCACATCAATACTTATTTATATCACATCGTACAACTATTCAAATTCAAAATTTCTACTATTAGTTTAAATTTTTATTAATTATTCAAAAACTTCAAATTTAATAGCATTCCGATTATGTAAAACGAGTTGAATTAATCTCGTCAATTAGCGGACCTGAATCATCAATGGTCCTTGTATGTATGTATGTATTTCAATTTGAAAAATTAAAAGGATACACACATAGATGGATAATTGGTCCGATTTGTGTGAATAAATCAACTTTCCCAGTCAACGCTGAAATATGTAAAACGAGTTGACTATCGTCCCTACTTCCATTCATTTCAATAAATTTGCAATGGAATGTATTAATCACGGTCAACACTATGAATATTGACTTTGCCAACTTTGCATGTAGATACATTCGGCGATTGTTACGTACATAATAATAATAATAATAATAATAATAATAATAATAATAATAGTTCATACAATATATATCTACAATTATCTCATCATACAAAATATATTTATACAATACATGTATATTATTGTAAAATATTAACATGTGCCGTCGAATTATATATTTCAATATGTTAATTAGGGATAATTAGCCCTAACGATCATTCTAACATTCCATTTGTCAGTGGGTTGACCCTAGCTATGTAGATCCTACGCACTGTCTTGACTGTTGACAATGAAATTGGTCAAAAGTAGGTTGCAATTTGAGGAGCTAGAATGTAGCCTGTAGACAACTTTTGATCATTGCATCTAATTGCAAGTGCAGGCCGCAGCCGATATAGTTGAATTATATATATATATATATATATATATATAACAGTAACCCCTTCCAAATAGTTGAGTCTTAGGTAAAAAATAGTTGAATCTTAAATAACTTTTATTATTATTATTATTATATATATCTTCGAGTGTCATAAAATTAATTATAAAAAATTAGAATACTATATAAAATAATTTTCATTTCTTGTTGTTTGATTTTTAAGGGTGTGTTTGTTTGGGGGATTAGATTTAATTTCCATTATTCATCCCAATTTTTTTTTTCAAAAAAATCAAATCAAACACCTATTTTTCATTTTTTATATTATACTAAAAATCAATTTTACATTCAAAACATCACATCAACACCTATTTATATCACATCATACAACTATTTAAATTCAAAATTTTTACCATTCAAATCCCAACTCAAAATCCAAACCCCCAAACAAACACACCCTTAATTAAACACGCACAATGATGATAAATAATTCATGTAATATCAATTGCCGGTAACATATGTATTGTTTTTTAATTTTTTCGAATTTTCCTAATTCTATTCACAAGATGTAGCATATATTTGAAACAAAATATAACTCATAACTTTTCAAATTTGACAAAAATTTATAGTTTGTCCGTTTAGTGTTTTGAGATGAAATTATTTTTTTTTTTATCTTTGATATGAAAATTTGTGTTAGTTAATATAAAAAATAATAATTTATGTTGAAAATTTGACTATATCTATATTATATATATTGTATTAATATGTGTATATATTGTATTCTAAAAATAATATTTATAGACAATTATGCTAGTAAAAAACACAATCTGAACAAACCCATATAAATCCAACTGAAAGATGTTTGTTAGATCAAACCCTGACGGCACCTTTGTTAGATCAAACCCCGACGTCGCCAAGTCTTGTTTGTCACACATGGTTCGTCTAATGTAACTTGTCTTGTCGGGCAGGTTGGATCGAGAGTTTACCCAAAGCACACATTCGGGTAGCGGCTGTGATTAATCGACGTTATCAAGAAAAATAAAATAAAATTGTTTGTTTTTGAAATATATATATTGATGGCAAGAATGACAATGGGTCTAAGGAGACCCGAGATCCGACTTGGACCTGACTCATTTATTTGGGGTCGGGTCCAGTTATTCGAATATGGACCCTATCCGAATTTAAACTCGACCCATACTTGATTAATATATTAGTTATATATATAGTAATACTTTTAGAAAAATATTTCTTCAGTTTAATTTATTTCTTATTTTATTGTAATATTTTTTAATAAAATATATAAGTTTTAATACATGTGGAATCCAAATTCGGATCTAATTTTAAATTATATATTAAAAATTGTAAAAAAAAAATTCAGATCATCAAATTTTGTTGAATATTGTTCAAGTTGAATTTCGGTCCGAATAGACCCAACTCATTGTCATTCCTAATTGACGGCCGTATTTGATGGCTCGTCCGTGTGGATCATACCAAAGGTTTAATTAATTTGAATTCAAATGAAATTAGAAAATGTTCTTTGGTATGGATATAATTAAATAATTATTTCCAAATAATAGAGGGGAACGGGTGCATGGATCGATCAGTCGTCATTAATTTGATTATATATATATATATATATATGTTGCAATCAATCATATAAATCAGTTGCACGCATTACAGCTAACCAATTATTAATGAGCCAGGAACCCAAATCAATAATGCATACATTCGTATATACACCAAGTAGCATTACGTGTGTTTGGCAATCAACTGATATCTTTTAGCTGTTAGCGTTTAGTTGATTTAATTAATAGATTTGATTAGCTGATTCAATTAGTTGTTTGTATTAAAGTGTTTGGTAAAATAACTTGTTTCATATTAGCTGTTTATATGTAAAATGACAATTAAAGACATTTATATTTTAACTTTTAAAATTTTTTAATTGTGTTTTTTTAAAAAATTTAAAATTTTGTTATTAGTTATTTGAAATTACGAATGTATTATAAAATATTTTTTTATTAATTTTAAATGTGAGAAAAATAGTAGTATAAATTTTTATTAAGAATGATGTAAAATATAAATTAATAAAATTTCTGTATATATATTTATTATATTAATTATTGATTAATTTATCATATTTATAATTTTAAATAAATTTATTCTATTTTATTTAATTTTAATATAAAAATAAAATAATAATAATAATATAATTATAGTTTACCAATAAAATTAATTATATATAAAAATTAATTAATTTAAATTTATAAAAATAAAATTATAGTTTAATAAATAATATATTAAAATAATTTATAATTACTGGTTATATGTATGTGAAATAAATAATAACATTTTAAGGTCAAATAAGGAATAAAGAAAATTAAAATGAAAAAGCTCTTTCAAATCGCTGGTCATATAACTTTTTAGAAATTAACTTTTTGGGGCCAATAAGCTATTTCAAAAAGCTAATTTATCGAACATTTGAATCAGCTTTTTGAGTGGTCAAACAACTAAAAGCTCTTAAATAAATTAAAAGCTCTTGAAAAAATTATTTGCGAAACACCCTCATAATCTATATATATATATATATACATATGTATCTATGCATCTAGATTTTTCATATAATTAAACTCGATATTCAATTTTAACTTCACGAAAATTTCGTATATAATCTAGACATATATATATATATATATATATATATATATATATTAGAACTGCAAAAAGTAAATTATTTCGTTGGAAATATTTTGGGCAAATTACCATTACCCAAACATGGCAGGCCCAAGGCCCAACACGAAAAATGAAATTCCTAGTAAATATAAATCTATAAAATTATAAAAATAATAACATGATTTTAAATTGAAATCAAAAGGGGAAAATAATGATAGGAATAAAAAAATGGGCTTTTTATTTTTTTCTGCTTGATTTGTTGCATATATATCTCCCAAAGTTCATTCGTATTTATTTATTTTTACTACTCCATCCTTCATTAAATGTATGTTTTAAAATTAGCGCACAATTTTTTAATGAAAATAAGTAAATATTTTTGTTTTCTATTTCAAAAATACAAAACATAACATAATTCTTTACTAAAAAAATATATCTTGTTATAACAAACCAAAAAAAAATGAGTATTGATTTCAACTATATAGAGTTAATTTTTATATAAAAGTGCAATTTCTGGTATCTATCAACTAAAATTTCAAATATATTCTGAGCAGTTCAATTTTCGTTTTCCACACTTAATTTGCTTAAAAGATTGTTTTTGCATGTGACATTGCACGTACCAAAATCACTATTATATACTAAATAAAGTTGTGTCCTACTAACCAAATATATAATGCAATAGTTTATTAACAATTATCAAATGTACTTCACAATATAAAAATAAATTAAATACGAATTTGACCACATTGGCATGTCCCAATCACTATCCCATAATTTTAAGGAAATTGAATATATTTAAAGATATATATATATGTGCATGTGTGTAAGGACCACATTTTATTTAATTTTATCATTTATCAGTCACATCCGTCAATGCCCTTTGCCTTATCTCACGCCTTCTATTCATTTATTAAAACATATACATCCAATTATATTACATTAACAATTGCAAATTTTTTATATTAATTTATTTATTGAATACAATAAATATAAAGTGGCAAATCAGACTTTTTCGAAATTTCCTTCCTGAATTAATTAATTAATTAATTAATTTATTATGCTGGTGTGGGTGTGGGTGTGGGCAATTCATGTCGTGCGATGTACACTCAATCTGTCCTAAATAATGGCCCAAATCAGATTTCATACAGATCTCTCTCATTATCCAAGATTTTTAATTTATTTCTCCAATTTTATTTTTTTTTTCATTTTTAGATTCGTGTCATGAAAAATCATAATTGATAATAATAATAATAATAATAATAATAATAATAATAATAATAATAAAAAATTTTATAAATAAAAATAAAACTGTTTCATTACCAAACATTAATGGCACAGATATTTTCATTATTCCTTTATTAATACAATGTTGGTGGAACAAACAACACAAGGTCCACTCTTCATTCAAATCACTATTAATTTTCATTTTTTAAAATTATTTTAGTCTCTCTAATTACAATTTATCATATAGATTTTTATTCGATTACATTTTCTTAAAAAAAATAAATAAATAAATGATAAAGTGGTTGCACCTACACAACAAAATTAGTGGTCTCAATAATATTTGCTAGTAAAAATAAATAAATAATATTGGGCAGTGTGTGTTGCATTTTGGGGCAACCAAAGACTATAGAATGGCTACAAAATATCTCAAAGTAAGAGATGACACAATTTCTTTAATTTTACTACACAATTAGTAATGTAATCAAAAGAGTTCGATTCAATAATCATCAAAAGACTCATAATTGGGTCTTTTTTTTTTTTTTTTTTTTGCTTCTCGAAGCAATTTAATTTATTGAGTGTTTTCCATTGACAAATGTGCTTATGATCGTGATCATCATCATCATCGTCACTCATTAGTTAATAGTGAGTTAAATTAATTCGTGTCATTATTTTGGGCAGCAGAAAGTGAAGCATTACCAGTAACAAACAATAATCCATCCTCGAATTATTACTACATGTTTATTAAGATTTAAGACAAATCCCACATTCCTTAAACGCACAGAATTAATCCTTACTGATATTGTAATAATGGGAACAATAGCAAAAGGGCATTTCTTCACACATCATTTTTTTTTTACAGATTTATTTTATTTTATTTTTCAAAGAAATAAAGCAAGTATTGTGATTTTTTTACTTCTTTTTTAAAAACCCATTACGAAAATAATTATAATATATTGATAAAATAAAAAAAGAGTGGAGGAGAAGAAGAAGGTGCAAAGGTTGGTTAATTGTCACACTCTGCCCTTATTACGAAAGAGATGCATCAGCCAAAAATTTTACCAAGATCCATTTTGCTCCACCTAATTTATTTATTTACTTAAAAAGTAACATAGTTCACATTTCATTTAACTTAATTTCATTTTATTTAATCCAATTTTCCACCTATTCACATATATCAAGTTAAGGGGTCCTCCTCACTTCCAACAATCTTCTAGAAGCTATATATATTACCACTCGTTGTAAATTAACATCCATTTAGTCACAAAAAACATATAAGAAAATTATTAATGTTTATTAGTACATTATAAGTAGTAAGTAGGGCATTGACTTATCTCAGACAATCCAAATTTGGAACTAAATTAAAATAAAGTGTACGAATAATTAATTGCGTCTTACCAAATATTTTAATCTAATAATTATTGTGATTTCGGAAGCCGAACGTTCGAAAGACCTTTTTTTTTTCTTTTTTTTTTTTAATTGACTGAAAAATCAAATTTAATAAAAGCAAGGATAAATACCACCTTCAAAGAAGCGCGTGTATCTCAAACCTATTATTTTGCATTTTATTTTCTAATTCGAATATAACTTTTGTGACTAAATTGTAAAGCAAATATATTCCATAATTTAGGTATCACGTCCAGGAGTTACATCAAATAAAACGACCAAATTTAAATGCTAAGCAATTGGTGATAAAAAAAAAAAATAAATAATAATAATAATAATAAATATATATATGTCTATGATGAGTCACGCACCGACCGTTCAATGGCGCGTGACGCAATTAAATGTGGGCTTTCATGACTATTACCTACTGCCTTTGAGGCTTTAGCCCTAAAGGCAGATTATAACCGTTGGATTACTTTTGTTGATAAATGGCCGTTGGATTGGTCATTCGTCTACGATCGTCATCGTCTCCATTAAACCTGAGACTCCTCTCTCCTCTCACATTCATTTAGAAGGAGGAGGAGTAGTAGTAGCTGTAGTACTTTCGGAGTTGGAGCAGTCTTATTTTATACAGTTAGAGGAGACAGTGACCTATGTAGAGCTGTCTTTCTCGAACCAGATTTCGAACCTTTGGCGTAGAGAAGGGGAGAGGGAGACCGTAGAGTTGTTACTGATTGATTATAAGGACGAGGGCAAACATGGTGGCTGGTAAAGTGAAATCGGCAATGGGATTGCAGAAATCGCAGGGCAGCACGAAGCTGAAGACTGAGGTGTCCTCCAAACCGCCATTGTTATCGACGCCGAGTTCGGCAAAGCAGCAACAGCAGGTGCAGAAGGGGTCAGGGGCGCCGCTGTCCCGATCGTTCGGCGTTTACTTCCCACGTGCCTCCGCTCAAGTCCAGCCGCGGCCGCCGGACGTTTCGGAACTCCTCCGTCTGGTGGAAGAGTTGCGGGAGAGTGAGTCGCGATTGAAAACGGAATTATTGGAGCAGAAGCTGCTCCGGGAGTCGGTCGCGATTGTTCCCGTTCTGGAGAACGTGATTTCGAACAAGGACGCGGAAATCGAACGGTCTCGGAAGAAGATCGAGTGCTTGGATTCGGAGAACGAGAGGCTCAGAGAGGAGAACGAGTTTCTGCACATGGAGCTGAGTAAACAGAATCATAAGTATGAAGAGAAAATCAAACAGATGCAGGCTGAGTTATCCGACATTAAACGAGCTGTGGAAGAGAGCGAACGAGAGAACGAGGAGGAAGAAGAGGAAGACGAAGAGGCAGCCTCGAATGCTTCCGCCATTGCTGCGAAGCTCAACGACAAACATAGCGTTACTGTTGCATCAAAGTGTTCGACGAAATGCGTGACCACTGTTGATGGGGCGGGGGCCGGCGTAGACTTGAAGAAAGACGAGCTTATAAGTGCAGGGGACGCCGGCGACGGGACGAGCCATTCCAGGAGTAATTCCGGCGAGATTTTAGAAACTTCCGATGTGTTGACCGGCATTAGATCCCGTATTCCGCGCGTTCCTAAGCCGCCTCCGAGGCCTATCTCTGCACCTTCTTTAAGCGGTTCTGCGTCTCACGCGCCGGCGGATATTCTCGCCGTTCCCGCACCGCCACCGCCACCGCCACCTCCACCGCCGTTTAAATCAAGCAGTTCTCCTCGCACTCTTCCACTGTCACGGCGTGGGTCAAGTACAGCTCCATGTCCGCCGCCGCCGCCACCTCAGAAGGGATGTAAGCCTATTCCGGCGAAGGTTACTAGAGTCCCGGAGGTGGTTGAGTTTTATCACTCCTTGATGAAGAGAGACATAAATGGCCGACGCGACGCCTCCGGCGGGGGCGCGGACGCACAGGGCGGCGGTGCTGCAACTGCGAAGGACATGATAGGCGAAATTGAGAATCGCTCTGCACATTTGCTAGCTGTAAGTTCCTCGTTTCCATGTCCGGTCTTGATCTCTGGATTATTTACATTATTGCCACTGACTTTATGCCATCCTGTAACTGACGCTGACCTTTCTCCGGCGACCTTTCGGGAACCCCCTGATGCTTTTTGGATTTTTGGTAGGTTTCTTGGTAGATAAGACAGGGTTTGGATTTCAAAATCTTAATTGGTACTGCAGAAAGTAGTCGATTCATGAAGCCACGTGGGGTTACATGACATTCTTTCCACATTGATTTTGTTCAAATAGAAAAACTTTCTGAATGACAAGTCGCCATTGACGACCTTGGTTAAATGATACTGGAGTTTCTTTTTTCACGACGAATCTTTCATTTTGATAATTACAGATCAAGACAGATGTAGAGACCCAAGGCGATTTCATCAAATTCCTGATCAAAGAAGTCGAGGCTGCCGCCTTCACAGATATTGAGGATGTCGTTCCCTTTGTCAAATGGCTCGATGATGAACTCTCTTACCTGGTGCACTTTCTAAGAGCAGCAGCTACTATTTCATTTTTTTTTCCCTGATCTTTAATGACAACATCTGTTTTACCCTGAAGGTTGATGAGAGGGCAGTTTTGAAACACTTCGATTGGCCGGAGAAGAAGGCAGATGCATTGAGAGAAGCTGCATTTGAGTATTGCGATCTAAAGAAGCTGGAAACTGAAGTCTCTTCATTCCGGGACGATCCCCGACAGCCTTGTGGTCATGCTCTCAAGAAGATGCAGTCTTTGTATGAAAAGTCGGTATATTTCCAAGATTCAGTAGATTCTTTTTAATCTCACATTTCTTATCTAACCCAATTATGATTGTGCTTCAGATTAGAGCATGGTGTTCACAATTTGTCCAGAATGAGAGAATCAGCTGCAGAGAGATACAGAGGGTTTAAGATCCCAATTAATTGGATGCTCGATACTGGTTATATCAGTCAGGTAAAATTAAAATTCATCCTCTTTCAATCATTGGAGTATTAAAGATTCTGTTTAGCACTGTGCTTGCACGTCGACTACATAACTTCGAATCCATTAATTTACCACAGAAATGTGCTACATAGCTATAAAGATTGTTTCTTTTCTAGTCGTTTTTGGTTGAAATTTATAGCAAGTCGTGGTCCCTCAAGAATCACTTATACAACTGGAAACTTGTGGGGAAACGAAAGTAAATTCTTGGGGCGACGGCTACCAAATGCCATACTAAATTAGGGGTTAGGTGGATGACAGAAGAGCTTGAGCCATTTTTGTAATGTCCAAACAATCATGCTCGCATGTGCATAGTTCCTGATCTGTAGCTGCCCCAACCTATCCTAACCTATCCATGGTGTCCCGGTTTTGTTTGTCTCTGTGTGGCGGCTAGTCAACCAAGAAGGAATTTCTTGTTTGTTTTTTACTTTTTTCGGCTGTATTCATTTTGATATTAACTTTAATATGAAATTTATCTGTTTGTCGTGATGGATTGATTGCATTCAGATTAAGCTGGCGTCGGTGAAATTGGCGATGAAGTACATGAAGAGAGTGTCGGCCGAACTCGAACTCGCCGCCGGTGGCCCTGAAGAGGAGGAGCTTATAGTTCATGGCGTCAAGTTTGCATTCAGAGTACATCAGGTGAGTTTTTTTTTTGTTTTTTGTTAAATTCAAGACTCTGCAACTTTGTATCGCCCAACATTTTTACTACAACATGTTTGTAATCTTTTTTATGATCAGTTTGCTGGAGGATTCGACGTCGAAACGATGAGGGCATTTCAAGAACTGAGAGATAAATCAAGAGCATTCAATCCGCAGCATCAACACAAGATTGTTTGCAGATCGTCTTCTTGCTGTTGATAAAATTCGATCTTGTAGCAAACTCCGCTGCCTTTTTGTAGTAAAACAGGATTGAAGATATGATGGAATTTCAAATGACGACACCATTCCTTTTGTGCTCGAATTTATAGATATATCTCTATATATAGTGTGGGTTTGAAAAGATTGCTGATTTTCCGACCATAGATTGTAACCTGGCCAAAGTTTTTCTTGGACAGTAGTGGATATTTAATTTGTGTATAATTTGGGGAAGAAATTAAAGATAAAATCAGTACTGCTCTTTGTTTTTTTATCTCCCAACCTATGGATTAATTTAAAGTAAATAAACAAAGAAATAAATAATCAGGATGGATTCACCAAGCCCAATCAATATTTTATTCGAAAGCCCAAACAGTGGGTGGGTTTGTCATAATTTTACAGAACCTAAGCCCAGAAACTCCGACGACCTCTAATGGCGGCGGTTTCTGTGAATTTCCCTTTTCTTTGTGCTCCATCGAGGCGTTCCGGTCGATTAATCTTCACCGACGCTCCTTTATCGCAGTCGCAGTGTGCAATCGAGAACAAATTGCCCAATTTTGTTTCTCGAACTTCAACGATACTGAGGGCAATTCCGATGGCGAACGAACGACAGTGTTCGATCAAACCGGTTGACCTGGTGCCGGATTCATCGATCAAGCTCTTGTTTGTCGAAATGGGCGTCGGCTACGATCAACACGGGTATTAATTTACTCCATCCTCTTCTTAGGGCAATACTTACACAATTTTAATTTGGATTCGATTACAGGCAGGATATTACCTCGGCTGCTATGAGGGCATGTCGGGATGCCATTTCATCAAATTCGATTCCAGCTTTTAGGAGAGGTACATACTTCGTCAATGCCCTAATATTTTATGCAAATCCAATTTCATTTTCTTGTCCTGATTCCTTAAAACTTTTCAAGGTTCAATTCCGGGCGTTTCATTTAGTGAGATGAAGCTACAAATTAAGCTCGGAGTTCCTAAACATCTCCAGAATTTGCTGGACATTGAGAAGATCAAATCAGTTTTCCCATAGTAAGTAAGCCTGCCACATTCATATCAAACATGATCTTGTCTGTCGAACCACAACCCTTGATCCTGTCTGATCATCTTAAACAGCGGATTAATATCGAAAGTCGAGGTTGTCGATGGCGGCCTTGTGTGCTCCAGCGGAGTCCATGTCGAAGAAATGGGAGATAAGAACGACGATTGCTACATAGTGAACGCAGCCGTGTACGTTGGCTATTAGATTCATTCAATATATGATCTCAAAAATCGAGTCTTTTTAATGATCAAATCTCGTGTAAGAATCAAGAAGCTTCATACATTTTGCAGAGCATTCATGGAGTAATTTCTTTTACAGTTGAATCACGAAAGCCCTAATAAAATTTAAGCAGCTATGGACAGACAGACAACAAACGACAGAAGTCGAATCCTAGTTAAGAATGAATCACATTACAAGGGCTGCATAGAGCAGCTGGTTCCAGGTATCGGGTAATCCGGGGAGGCACCAATGGCTGCAATCGACGCCGGAGTGATCTCCGCTGTACGCCGATGGATGCGCATCTTTCCTTAACTGAGACAGAGTCGTAATATCGAGCAGAAACACAGGTTTCCTGATTCTACTCAGTACTCTGTTGACAACCTCGACTTCTGGCGGTGTCCCCGCCGGATATGTCGACCCTGTCAACGGCTGTTGCTCCCCGTTGCAGTTCTTTGACACTGATTTCCAATCTCTACCCCTGTTTTACGACGAATTCTTGATTTTAACTTAATTTTAGAAGTACATAGGATGATGAATTGTTGCGGAATTGCTTACTGGTAATGAGTCGGAGAAATGCCCTGGAAGAAGACCTTGGTTTTGACAGGATCGACGTTGAGGTCGATCCATCGAGCCCACGTCGTCAGGCCTTTGTAGAACGCGACGAGCCGGTTCATGTCTTTGGTTATGGTCGCACCGTCTTGAATATAATCCCACCTGCAAGAACAACACGTTGTCATAATTCGCTCCCCGTCTTTATCTAAAGCGACGAATTATGACATACGATTGCGCTCTTCCTTTGTGCGTCCACCAATGCCACGAGTTGAATACGAGCATGTCCATTCCTTTCCAGGCATTGCCCTGTTGAATCGAGTCCAGCTTCAATACTCGCCCGATCGATTCTCTTGTTATGTCGACCAAATACGGCGACCGGTACAGCATAATCGACACGCCGTAATCCTGAAAATGTGCATAATTCATTCATCCCCAAGAACGATCAAGATTCAAGTGCAGATCTTGTCAACAAATTCACTCACTTCAGTCCGACGTACGTTCAATATTTTTGTATTGGCAATAAATGCTTTTATTATTTACTATTCCTATGTTTTAGTAATAAGCTCTGCTCTGCGCAATGGAAGTTTCTCTTTTACTAAAGAAAGAGAGACAGAGAGAGTGGCGGCTGGGGAAGAAAGTGCGAGAAGAAAAGCAAGAAATGGAAAAGAGACACGCCGACATTGAAATCATTGCAATAAAAACTTTAATGGATAAACCTGGAATGTAACGGATGAAAGCGACTCCTTTCTGATATAATCGATCTTGGAATTTGGGACTGAGGCATGAATCATACAAGCAAGAGACTGCCATTGATTCAAGCTCAGTGAATCTCCAACGAACATTATCTTCTTCCCTCTCCATCTCCTCAAGAACTGACCCCCATCGAATCTGCACTACCAAATTACAACTCAAAACAACAATCCACCATTGCCAATCGAACTAAAGAAACACAGAAACCTGACCTGGGCAAGATGCAGGAATCGGGCCTCCAAGAAAACTTGAGGTACTGTCTATCGGGGCGGCCATACTTGATGCAGTCGAATTCAGGGTCGATGAAGGGACAGCTAGAGGATTCATACAGAGGGTAAGAAGGATCGATTGCCCATTTACCCTGAAACAAATTGCACCCAATAGCTGAACTGAAATTGGTTGCAGCTGCAGCTGCGGTGGAGTTTGGGGCGCGAAGCACGACCGCCATTAAAGAGGATGAAAGCAGCATAAAAAATAATCTCATTATGGCTTTTAAGCTTCTTCTTCTACAGAGAATTGGGATAATTAAACTAAACCAAATCAAACAGGCAAAAGCAAGGAGAGTGTTCGAATGCAGAATGGGATTTTATTCAAATGGTGTGATGTGAGTTGGAAATTTTTTGGGTCTGTCCCATTTCATGTCGTTTTCTTGGTGGGTTTTTTGTCAGTTTGTTTTCTGCCTCTGCCAAGTCTACAATGCAGAGTTTTGGGAGTGTATTTTGTATTTGTATGGCGCATCAAAAGTAGGAATTTTTAACGTTTTTGTTGCTGGGGGGAAAAGGCTACGCATGCTGGGTTGGTGATGGTCATCCGCACCGTTCATTTCACTGAATCAACGGCTCCGATTGTTTCGGGAGCTGACGTCCCGGGAGTTGGTGGCATCATCATCCACGCGTGTCACAAGCACTGGTACAGGACAGTGAGCTGTAGTTTTTATCTCGGGAAGATTCTTGGGAGGACCATGGATCTCTGCGCCGGATAGATCCACGCCGTTTATTCGGCGGGGACCACGTGTCATTAATGGTGGGGATTGTTCTGGCAGTTGGGTTCATGGCGCAACGTTTAGCCTTGTCCTTTTCTGGTGGAGGCAGCGCCGCCGTGGCGGTGGCGGTGGCGGTGGCGGAAGTAGGCACTTACATTCAATTATTTTATTTGATATTAAATAAAATAATATTTAAATGAACTGGATTGCATGAATACGAAGCAACCTAGTCTAGAATACTCACCAAAAATAATTATTCAATCATGTGCTATAATTGCAACAAATAAAACCAACTCCAATTGCACAATGCAATATATATGTATGTATTTATGCAAAACTTTATTGCCAACTTATTTGCTTCAATAACAATAGATCAATAAAAAATAAAAATGCAAAAATGATTTATTTATTTATTTATTAATACTTTTATTAATTTATTTTCCCCTCCTAGTGGAAAATTGTGGTAGTGTATGGGCCAGCGCAGTGCACCAGCAGCACCAAATCCAATAATAGAGAGAGCATTCTTGATAAAGCAATGCAAGTTGCTCCAACTCATTATTACTAAATATTTACTTGTATGAAGATTCATTAATTCATTTCTTTTACAATTCCTATTTTTTTTTAGTGGAATCAATTTTGGAGTTTGCCTACAAAACTTGTGTATGGTTTGGATTATTGATTCCGACATTGAAATCAACACACAACTAACTGATTTACTTACAAATACTTATATACAAATAGATTGAGACAACCTTAGCTTGTTGTGTGTCCAAAGAAAAAAAAAACAAAAAAATTTCTTGTGGTGGGCATGGATGTAATATTAAAATGATCACATGTATGAATCTACACTATAATTGAGTGGATACAGCTTTACAATTAGTTGGATGGTTTGGCTTCAATAATTCTCTTGTCTGTTAGTTATAAGTTTATTATAATGAATAGTTCTAATTAATTAAGAGCCAGAGGCGCACACACACACACACATATATATGTATATTATTAGCACATTAACCATTGTCATATTATAAATAAGGGAGTTGCGAAACTTAATTTCAGTCATTATTGTTGTGTTCGTTAATTACTATTCGTAGCTGTATAAGTTCACACATTATTGCTACTATATTAATGACTCATCCGACTGGCAACCTTTTGAAGTGATTAATAAATCACACGAACATAATTATAATAATAATAATAATAATAATATTAATAATAATAATAATAATAATAATAAACTATATACATGCATATATATATATATATATGCGTGTGTAAAATGATAAAAGAATAGTCAAAATTATTACCCCAATATATGGAGTCTGACCTGAAGGCGATGGTTACAAATACACAAACGTACAGACAAACAGACGTGGACAAGTTCAGAAGTCAAGTTGTTATTATAGTCTAGTGTGTGTGTGTGTGTGTTATTATTGAATTTTAATTTTGTGTGGTGTCTAACAAAATGGGAATCATCAATCAATCAGTGGAGTCATGGCATTAACAAAATTTGTATTGTATTATATAAAACAAGAGCAAATATTACAAATTATCATACATGTGGTGATGGAGGGATTATATTTCAATCTTAAAGAAGAACAATCTTATCAGATCAGGGAGAGGGTGCACCTTTGAGCGATTCAATTCGATTGATTTCGTCGGCATATTATTTGAGGTCATGTGTCGACGACTTCCAGAATTCTGCACGACCCTGCATCAACTAGCACACACTAAATTAGCCACACACGTATACTAACAGACAAGAGGGTAATTATTGTTTGTTGTCTTGAGTTCAAACCGCTTTCAGCAGTGGGGTAAGAAAATGCCTGAATCAAAAATGCCACAGGGCCCTTCAGCAGTATTGATACAATGGTCTGATCTCTTTCTTCATATTGGCTTGGCATCTAGAAGAATGGAAATAATCAGTGCATGGTTGTGCTACACATTCTCTAAAATGATTTGATACACATTGTGCATTACATTATGTGGCCGGGAGCCAAATATGTCAAGGTACATACCTCTGACTCCACAGTTGGATCTCAAGTTTAGGGAGTAGATCCATTCTGTATAGACTCCACATTTTTTGCAGCTCATTAGGTGATATGACCGTCCAAACTTGCAAGTACGGATATCCCTGCCTTCTATAGCACAATTCAATGCACTTGGAGGATATGTTTGGATCTCATACCTTTCTCCAAATCATCTTCTGTTTCATTGTTTTGTGTCAAAACCATTGATGCCCGATGCAAGCAGGCCATGAATTGCAAATCCCACATTGCAGAAATGAACACTTCAATAAGAACAAGTTTGTCCACAGCAGCCATTCTTAACCTGACCATTAATGAGCAGAATATCATTATTATATAACCAGAGTCACAACTAGCAGAGCTGTTGTGTAATTGCACCAGGAGCAGGTATTTATAGAGTTCATCCACACCATTCCTGGAAAGATGTCAAAAACCCCTGGTTTTCTGAATAGAATATGTGGTATAGGAAAGGGAAGCATATGACATCAGCAAAAATCTGGCACACTAGGTAACATAGTTGCATTCAGACAACAATCCCAGCAAGAATGGAAAAATAGGGATATTCAGAACAAAGCTTCATGAAGCACTCACATTTATTCTCAGAACATTTGTAGATCTCATAACAAGGACCTCATTGGCTCAGAGTTAGAATTTCACATATACTATAGTTCTGAGGAATTTCACATATACTACAGTTAGACAATAATAAGTTTACGACTGCAGAATTGTCATGTCTGTCTCTTGCCTAAACAACTTGCATTTCTCTCAAATGGTTCATTTTTACCACCAAAAGCAATTATCTTTCTCAAGAAAAACTAGGCACATGCAACTTAAAGATGGAAGCCAAATCCATTGCCAAGATAAATGGCTACAAAAATGTACCTGCAGAGAATGAGGATGCACATAGTTGGGGAACAACCATTTGCTGTTAGTCCAGATGCAAGCGCACCAGCCTTCCAGTTTTATTCAAGTGGTGTTTTCACAGGCCAGTGTTGCACGAGCTTGGACTATGGAGTTGTGATCCACTATGGTACTGAACCAAACTTTAGCACTGGTACTTACGAGCTCCTGGGGTACCACTTGGGAGGTGGAAGGATACATGAGGCTCCAGAGGGATATTGATGACAAGCAAGTGCTCTGCAGAATACTATTTATCTTCACTTAGCATATGTAATTTCATTAAACCTTTGACATATCAGACTGGGAATGCAATCCTGCCCATCAGTCTAGACCAAAGCAAAAATCACCATTTGTTTCAACAAGGATAGCAGACAATACCTTTTTCCATGATCCAATAGTTTTGGTCCTTGTAAAATTTCCCATATTGATTCTTATTGACCAGAACATTTAGTCAAGATTTGCAAATGGAAATAGAAAAGTACCTTCCAATTAATGTGAACATTGGAAGTGTCCTGCACAATTTGAGTAAAGAATAAACATTAAGTCATATAGATAATAATCAGAATCTAAAGTACGCTAAGTGATGAAAAAATTAGGCTTCCTTAATTTTCAGGATCAGAATAGATTCCCATGCATCAGTTGCCATGACAGTAGAATATTGTGAGTCAATTGGGATACAGCAATAAAGTTTGCCTCATTTTGCATATTTTACAATTGAAGTGTGCTACACATCTTGCAGAAGGAAGGATGCCAACACCACAACAGAAAACTCAAACAGCACCTATATGAATTCAAGCAAATCATATACTCATACCTACAGAAACTAAGTCCACAAGGCTATTGCATGACTGTGTAGGCTTGTATAGCAAATATTTACAGCAATGATATAACTGACCAATTGAATCTATTACATATAATGATCTACTTCAACATGTTATCCCTATAATTTCATTATGCCAGGCAAACAAAAACTCCACTGGTGAGCCCATGTTGTGAAATACATAAACAGCAGAAGGGCTCAAAGAACCACAGGTTACAAACTAAGCAGCAGACAATCACAACTTGCTTGATGCTTCGCATCACAATTTGGTGGCAATGACATTGTTTCATTTGCCACATAAAGCTTTCATCCCAGTGGATGTTAATTTTGCTCAAATCATATTTTGAATAGAGGCTTCAAAGTTACCCAACATTAAGCACAAGCAGCAGACATTGTGCAACAAGGTATTCCAGTTTTTTTTTTTTATTATTATTTTTATTTTTATAAAAAAAAATAAAAATAAATTAACTTTTAGAACATCATGATGCTCATCATACTGAAAAGTGTAGATGCTTCTGCTTCAGCTACATTTGCACAGCAGCATTGCAATACTTGCTTCCCAGTGTACCCTATATCCAGAAGTGGGGATCAAACCCTTCATTTTACAATATAATAAATATTAGTTTGGCATTTAACTTGTACCTAAAGGAAAAGCACACGAGTTCACTATCTCATATGACTAAATTAATCAAAAAGCAATTGGAATATCACCTCAAAAATCTTAATCTCACCAGGTTATTGAAAGATGAAGACAGATTTGCCATTCAAGTCCAAAACATATCAATGTTTTTTATGTCCTTGTCAGGCAATAAAACACATCTAAATTACTAAGACCATAATTAAGACATCAAATAAATACTTTGCCAACAGCCATTTATATCACAATATGGCCATTTTCTTGTCCCTTAAAACATGCAACTAATCATGATGATAATAGAGCTTTAGTAACATAAAGAAATTCCACTTAAATCCCTTTCAAATAAATAACATGCAATACACAGTAAAACACATCAGAGCTCACCTCCTAAGCTCAAGATAGGTGAGTGCAAAGGAGCTAGATCAGATCAAGCAGCAAAAGGACAACCGTTGCTCAACCATTTTAACAGGGCTAAAAAACTTAATCAATTTATATTTTTGTTAGAAATTTAGGGAACTGCAGGTGAGATCATATAGCCTGAAAAACAGGTCAGAGTTCTTCCTTCACCAAACTGTTTCAATTAAGAATTATACATAGAGGATCTGCTAAGTTTGTGATAGCTGAAACACCATGGTAAGAAATATGGCCTGAACTTCCGAGCAGAACATTTCCCAAAGAAGATTGTAAAGTGATGATAAATTGAACATCAATAATCATACTACAAGTTCATACTTATAAACAAAGCTATCTTTTGATTCAAAATCAAAACTATTAGTTCATGTAGGGTGTGTTTGTTTGGGGTATTTTCCCCAAAATCTATTGTTCATAAAAAATTTTCCCCCCAAAATTTTGATTCAAAATCAAAACTACAAGTTCACATCAACGCCTATTTATATCACTATCATATAACTATTTCAATTCAAAATTTTTACTATTCAAATCCTAACTCAGAATCCAAACTTCAAAACAAATACACAAGTAGTAGAAACTGTACAGAAAGATGCAACTTCTTGTTATTCTTATCATCTTCTTAAGATTACTGTATAATATATTTCGGGTGTCAAAAGAACAAAATAGAAAGCCAATTGAAGTGTAGCAAAATGAACAGTTAATGTAACTTACAGATCAGATGAGAATATCAGAAATACACATATACTTGGCAGGGTTCAGTTCAAAGATATGACATACAGAAGCAGGGAAAACAGTTGAGGTGCCAAGTTGCACCAACAGAGAAACATTGGTTGCCAAATTCAGTATATCAAGATACTAAAAAATAAGCAACTAGAATTAAAATGATAGAACATTTTACAAGCAACTACAAATAGAAATAGAAATGCAGCAACCTGGAGCCTAACAAATGAAAAAGTAAATGCAAATGGAGAATATGTCATCATAGCCACTTATCACATAGTACACCAATGTCTCAAAACATGGAGTTCATTCTAGGACTAATACAGCTCATCAATCCAACACTCAAGCAGATAGAGTGAAGCAGCCAAAGATGCACAGCAGTCCATTTATCAACCAAAGATTTCAAGTCGGCAATCATATAATCACCACAACCATTTAAAACATTTGCGCCCAACAAGCTGTCAAATTACCTGAACACATGAACATGTAGAATTCAATCCATAGTCAAAAGTAAAGAAGACCAAAAAGTACTTACAATAAAACCATGTGCCAAATTTCTTACAAAAACACACGGGAAAACAATGCAATCTTCCATTTAGTTTCAAGTGAAAACACTATTAGGCATCCACAATAATATGTTTGTGCGTGATTAAAACGAAATTTTAATAACAGGTTGCCAAATGAAGTAGTGTATGATCTGCAAAAGCTTTTAAGCATTATGCGAAAGCCTGAAACAACAATTGAAAGTGTCTTACTTAATTCAACCAAATCATAGGATTATCTCCAAAAAAATTATCATGAACATTTACATCTCATTCACAGGTTATGATTATGTGATACTAATGACATTTGGACTATAACAATACATTTTAATAAATAAAGTATACCTCAATACGGTGGCATAGTCTGGTAATGAGGATGCCTTGGCCCAGGGCCAGTAGGGTGGCTTGGTTGAGATGGATATCCACTTTGAACCCCGTAGTTCCCACCATCCGGGTACCCTCCTAAGCTCTGCACCCCGCCACTAGGGGGCATTCTGTAACCTCCAGCACTTCCTAATCCTCCACCATACTCTCCAGGTCCAACCCCTCCATCATACATTGATCCACCAGCCCCATATCCAGTACCATAACCTTGCCCACCAGGACCGCCCATTCCTGTATTGTAGGCCGCATTCTGATGAACCATTCCCCCCTGCTGTGGAGGAGGCTGTGGCATATTTGGCCCCGGTCCATAGCCCATATAACCTCCTCCCATTCCATAATTCGGTGGCGCCATTCCCATTGGTCCAGAATTAGGCATTCCCGAACCCATCCCACCAGGTGGAGCCATATTTGGCTTCTGTTTCTTGTTATCTGTAGCCAACTTACAGATAACCTGATGTCCATCGATAATCTTCATGGGATCAACCAGTGACGCTCTTGCACCCTCCTCAGTCTTATAGACAAAAAACGCGAATCCCTTGGCCTTACCACTTTGTTTGTCAAACCCTAGCGGCCCTTCCTCGATGTCACCATACATCGCAAAGTGAGACAACAACCGCTCTGAGGAAATTTCAAATGGGATATTACCAACATAAATCTTCCTCGACGCCACATCGACAGAGTAAGAATTGTTCGAATTTCCAGTGGCCGCAAGCTGAGCCACCGTAATACGCCCGTCGATCTTCTTATTCGGCTCTTTGAGAGCCATAATTGCTGCATCGATGTGCTTAAAGGTTACGAAGCCATACCCCTTAGATTTTCCAGTACCCTTATCGGTAATCACGATAGTATTAGCCTCATCCAGTTCGCCGTACGTAGAGAACGCTTCCCGGAGTTTCTCCGTCGTGGTTTCCCACCCAAGCCCACGGACAAATAGTTTACGCTGAACCGGGTCAGCGTCAGCAACGGCACGCACCGCCTCCAACACATCGGGATGACGGAGTACGGCAGCACGCAGGATAGGAAGGAGCTGTTCCTTCGTGAAGGGTTCGAGAATCTTCTCAGCATCTTCGGGATACATAGTGCCCATCGGCGCCTGCGACACATCAGCCCCAGTATTCCCATACTCCACACTTGTAGAGTACGCTCCACCGTTCTCGTCAGCCTTCCGTTTCTTGGTAAGATCCATTGCAGAAAAAATCAAAAGAACCCTCAAGACGACCCTTCCCCGAAAACCCTAACCAGAAACTAAATTTATAGCGCAATTTCCTCAACACCCTGTCAAATTGCAACCATGTCGCCGCCTTCTCAAAACGGCGTCGTATTACATCGTAATGGGCCGTATTACTTTTGGGCCATCTTGGGCCTCAATTTCATTGGCCCAATCAAATTCATACTTGGTTGATCAATTTCACAACTTCTTTTATTACAGAACAAACCTAAACCAATTACAAAAATAAAATCCTATCTAGTAAGGCAAGCTCTTAGAACTTGAACTGATCACCAAAGCCTTAATCCTCGAAGAAGAATCCTCAGCACCACTTGCACGACGTGTGATGGTTTCCATGTTTTTGTTCAAACTCTGCTTCACAATCTTCTTCATCAAAATCTTGCAGTTCTCACCAACATCGGGTGATCCAAATGAAGACATCCTCCTCGTCACCTGTGGCTTCTGCCTGTCGTCCTTAAACCACTGCAATATCTTCATAGCTCTTTTCTGAGCCAACGGGCTGCCCAGCAGCCCCACTTCTAGAAGAACCCGAACAATGCCGGCGTCGGCCATTTTCCGCCGTTGTAAGGAGCTTTGATGAGCCAACATCATCAATACGTATGCCGACAGTTCTTGGCATCTCGGCCTCTCTCCGCGCGTCATGATCTCGATAAGACCTTCTGGCACGGCGTGGTGGCGCTCTATTGCAGCCCTTCCGGGCGCGGTTATAACGAGGTTGGCGAGTGTGGATAAGGCCTTTTCCGATGCTCCTTTGGCAATGGAACAGGACATTGTAATAAGAATGTCGATGAGTTTTGTGGAGGACAATGTTGCAGCATTGTCGAGAAGTGAGGATAGGTTGTGCAGTGTGGCTAGACATGCTTGTGTGGTGTCGAGGTTTGGATTTGATTGGAGAATGGACACCGCTGTGGGGATGATTCCAGGTGGTTGTAGGAAAAATTGGGTTTTGGATAGTGATGATATGGAGAGGAGGAGATGGGCTAATTCTTGATTGGATGATTCGTCATCATCTTCTATGGCTGTTGTGTTCTTTGGTAGTCTTGATAAGAGTCCTGCCTCCACCATTGATGCCTTGTTCCTGAAATAATTTGGAAGGATATTATAGCCAACATTATTTCTTTTATTTTAAAAATTAAATAAAAAAAAAAAAACTGGCTTACGTGGAAGAGCCATTGGCGACTTCGATCAACGCCTTGACAGCCAATCTCCGACGCGCCGCCACTTCCGAGCCGACCATCGCCACCAGCGGCGGAATGACACCGAGCTCCGCCATGACCCTCCGCCGCTTCACGTCTTCCTCCGCCAGCTTGGCGATCACTTTAGCCGCCTCTTCTTTCTCCTCCCACTTCCCGAAATGAAGCATCGTTACCGCCCTGTGCAAACCCGCCGCCCAATCGACCTTCAGACTTCCGGCCGCCATGCCCTTCTCCAATACAGGCTTCTCCGGCGGCGTCGGCGAAAGCCAAGAATGTGAAGAAGAAGAAGAAGAAGAATGTCAGAGCAAAAAACTGAAAATAGTCAAAGAAGCAACTGAAAATACTATATTGTATATCTTAAGGACTTGTGGCTTAATTTGAATTGGATAAACTGGTGGATGACTTTTGGTTGGGGGAAAGTGAAGAATCAGACAAAAGGGTAGAAGACGACTTCGAGAGAAAATACAAATTAGGCAGACATCACCACATGTAGGCGAGCTAACACATCTGTCTGCGAATGGCTGGTGAAATTATGCTATCTGCTACAAAATTAAATTCTATAAATCTTGAGGGATTTATTCAAATTTTCTGATCTACGGTATGGTGTGTGTATGGGGTTAGGAAATCGAACAAAGCTGCGACCTTTACTACACAATGCCTCCATTTTAATGGCGGTCTGTGAACACGAACATTGTCTGACCGACACGTGGATAAACCGGATTGGTTAGTTGACTTCGTCAAAATTGAAAGAAATAACAAAAAATAAAATGCACCAGCCGGGAATCGAACCCGGGTCTGTACCGTGGCAGGGTACTATTCTACCACTAGACCACTGGTGCTTATTGAACATCTAAATAAAATGTATTTAATTATTTAATATATTTTTGAAATTATTTTTGAAATTTCAATACACAGAAATTGCAAACAAGCAATGCAATACAATGCAAGGATCATCATGCATAGAAGCAACTCAGATCTTATTATTCAACATTTGGGATTATTTTGGAAATTGGAACTAAAAATTTTCCATGTTTCCTCAACATTCACCGGAGACGAAAACCGACACGGCGCGGCGCGGCGTGGCGTGGCAGCAAACAATCCAAAACAGAGGAGTTCAAACAAGCAAGCGAGCTTTCACGACGAAGAATTGAGGTAGCGAATCCGTTGCCTTTTCTGCGGATAAATCAACGGCTGAGCATAATCGGCAGAAGCCGAGACCTTATCCAATACGTCATCCAACGCTGCACGAACATCGCTCAAAATTCGCATTTCATCACCATTGCTCGTCGTAGTAGCCGAGAATACAGTCCTCACTCTGCATCCCAATGTCGAAACCTCAAAATGCAACAGATTTAAAGGAAGATTACTAATGGCTTCTTTAATGTTCAGCAGTAGATCGGGCCTGTAGTCGCAGCAAAGAGAAGCACGAACCAAGAACGCGCCGTTGTTTTGATAATTTTTCACAACTTGTATCTCATCGGTGTCGACTGGTATGTTCTGATCTTCGCTGGCTTGTCTCGCCGTTTTCTTCAGCTGTTTTAGTTCATCGATGACCTGTGCCAGCAGCGTCGCTTTGTCCATCTGGAAAACGACATTTAGGATTCGACAATCAGATCGAATAATCTATAGAAAAACAGAGGAGGGCTAATCGTCATTTTTGTGCGGATATATTGTAACGACAAAAATTGCGCGGTCGAATGATGTGTTTAGAGAGCGACGGCTGCAGGGAGAAAATTAGAATAGCTTGTGGCATAACATCGAGCAGGTAGCCAACCATGTTATTACAATAATGCGATGAACTGCGCAATGCAAAATGGTTTTGACCTTAGAGATGATCGAAAGCGAAAGAAAGCGACGAACTATTATATATGTATTAGCCAGCAATGCAAGAAAGCGAATTTAATAAGCACAAGCTATGTTGACATTGGGAATTCACAATAGAGAATTTTCTGTGTGTTCTTTCTGCACTTTGTAGAACAAATTAATTTGGATAAAACCTGAATTTCGAAAGTTGACTTTGCCTTTTTTTGATGATCATATTCATGGTTTGAATTTGGTAAAGATTGTAAGAAGAAGACAAGAAGAACATAAACTGACCTTTTCATTGCCGGGAAGAAGACCTCTGAGTTCACTCAAATGTGCATTGATTCTTTCCCTTCGTCTTCTCTCGGCATCGCTGTGGCTCTTCAAAGCAGACTTCGCCTTCACCAATTTGCCCTTTTCATCTTCCGCCATTAGAGGCTGCTTAACGGACATCGACAGATTCTCCCAATTTTCTGACAACTTATTCACGGGCTTGAAATTAAAAGAATCCCCAAAATACATACTCTCGATCACAACAAATCAGGTCCAAAAAGACTTGAAAATTGAAATTAAATGAATCCCTCGAATAAGAAACTTCTTGGATCTCTTCAAGAAGATAATGTTTCGCGAAAGGCGACACGAAGATGGAAAAACCCTAAATCTTGAAAAGAGAGAATATGTCTGGTGCGTGAGTAATATAATTAGGGGTCGAGACCAGGAGGACGAAGGGCTAGTGAGAACCAGAAAGAGAGCATTTTTGAGCGAATCCTGAGAATGGCGATTGAAGGGATGATGACTGGAGTGATCAACAGAGGTAACATTATTTTCTTCAAAGGGCAATCAAGGCAGGAGACGATTATGTACATATATATTATATATAGATACAGATTTTGCAGGAAGAGATTCAGTGAGAGAAAATCCACATTTTTTTCTTCTTGAATTCCTGCATTTCTTTTTGCAATTTGAATGAATCTTTGCAGAATTCGATGAACAGTAAGAGACGAGGGTCAGATTAGGGCAAATTTAAAGGCAGAAAGAGGGAGGCTTAAAAAGGTGTGGCTGAAGGGACAGTTAAACACCATGGGAGAGTTTAGGGGTTTGATGATGGAGGTTTAGTGTGTTGATTTTAATGAATGGCAGAAAGACGAAGTCCACTTTCCATGATTTGATGTTGATTTTGATTTTGATGTTTGGATCTAACCACTTTTACATCACTCTCATCCACTGGGGTTAGCTTCTAGACGTTAGTTTACCTGTAATCTTGAAAACTCCGATGCCGACATTCTTGAAAATGCGGCTGTGTTTTTGTCAAATCAGCGAGACTCGCTGCACTGATCATATTGTTATACTCACTCATCACCTAGAAAATAGAAATAGAAATATGCTCAAATTGTTTTGTCATAAATTTTAGTGTGTATATATATATATATATATATATATATTGCTTTTTATATTAAATCTTTTTTAAATTCTTAAATAAAAATATTTTTACGTAACCAAATAAAATACAAATTTAGGTGATAAAAAAGTACAAAAAAGAGACAACAAATTTATTTTAGCATATCCTATCAAATTCACATATTTTCAAAATGCATTAAACTTATTTACGATGAAATTGTATATAAAGGTGTACAGTCTTTTGTAAATCATTCAAATTTAAAATATATTTCTTCCGCTCTCTACTTTTTCTTTAGAGTTTGATTACAGAAATATTCTTGAAGAATTTAAAGAAAGACTATTGTTATCTTCGAATATTATTTGAGATAAAATAATATTTAATTTTCTATTAAGATATTAATAGATTTGGACAAAATATAATTTTAAACTCATCTAAATTTGATAAATAATACTCCCTCAGTCCCATAATAAAGTATCTATTTTTCTATTACACAAATATTATTACCTTTGTATCACACATACTAATAAGGTTATTTTAGTCATTTCTATTTTATTCCTACTATATCCCAATATAATACTAATATTTCTAAAACTATGTACAAAAAGCAAATGAATATTTAATTTCGAGACGAAACGAGTAATATAAGCAGTATTGAGACACAAAACCCCTCTCTCTCCTTTTTCTTTCATACAAATTTTAATTTTTATGTAATTTACTTTCCTTCTTATTTCCATTTTCTCTCTGCTTCTTTAATTTCTTCTATTTTCCTTTTATTTTTTTTACTTTCTTCTTTATATTTATCTCATTTTTCTAAGAGGATTTTTTTGCAAAAGTTTTTACTTTCTTCTTCTTTTATTTTTATCCTATTTTTTTTCTTTTCCATCTTTTTTTTTATCTTCTTACCTTTTTTTTTTCCCTTTATCTTTATTCTCTTTATTCTCTCTTTTTTTTTAATTTATTATTTTTGCGATCACAGTTTTGGATCTTGTTAGAGAAACTCGGAGAATTCATCCGATTTTCGACAAGCTCTTCCGATAATCTGTCAACAAATATTTTAAGTTACAACAACTATATTACTTCCTCCATCCCATTAAAAGGTTACTATTTTTTATTTTCGTCCATCCTAAAACAAGGTTGCCATTTCCTAATTTAGTAATTGTACTACCTACTTCACATAATAAATATCATTTCAACTTATAATATATTACACAAATGCCGTTACTTTTATATTACACCATACTAATAAGGATATTTTTGTTTTTTTACTACAATCCAATATAATACTAATATTAAAAAATCTATGTGAAAAAGCAAACGACACCCTTCCAACGGAACAAAGGAAGTATATATTCTAAAGTGTCCAATTTTTTTTCTCTTCTTTTTTTGTTGTGTATTGTTCTTTGTTTTTTATTTTTTAATTTTATTTTCTTTACTTTTTATTGTTCGATTTGCAAATTTTTCTTTTGTTTTTTCTATGATTTTTTCTTTATTACTTTTTTCATTCTTTCTTCACTTTTCTTTTTAATTTCTCCTTGTTTTAAAATATGAGAATTCACCCTTTTTTATTCTTCGAGTGCACTTTAGATAAATCTCATTTGAACTTAACAATCTGCAAATTAGGTCTTGTGCTTTGTGATAAATCATGATCTGTCGAACTTAATAGTTTACAAACTAATTTCGCAAGATCAATCACTGTAAGTGAATCTTAAGTGGTAGACAAGACTTATAGGAGTCGAAAATTTGACCTTTCGGTTATAAGTCAACTTCTGCCAACAGGTAGGTGTCGATAATTTGCCTTCACTGTTTCCACACCAACACGTCATTCTTAGGGGACATTAATTTTTCCATCTCTTGACTTTCTTTCTTTTGCATTCTTCTTCCTCTTTGTAAATTTGATGGAGGGTTCACTCTTAATCTTCGAATGATAACAAAGCTGCTTGGGATTTTGATTTTTTCATTTTCTCTCGAGCTAACGTCTAACTCAATGTCATACATATCTTTTAATAAATGTATATAATATATTAATTTTTTATTTTTAGTAAATTTGTTTGTTTATTTTCAAATAATAATAATAATAATAATAAAATGTGTGTGCTCTATGGGCCAATTTCTTGAAAGTGGGCCGGAGCCTGTCAATGATAGAAACCCTATTTACCCGTTCTTGGCGAATCCTTTTTCCATCGATTTCTTGTATTATTAAATCACTTTCAAAAGTCACTTCACATTTACATTACAGAGACGCCTGGTAAGATGGAGAAACTGCTGAGCATGAAATTGCTTCGATTGAATGATCAGTTGGTGCACTGCTTGTTATTTCTTGCCGATTTTTCTCTAATTGGTCTCAAGAATTTGTTTTTGGATTGGAATGATAAGTTTGTTTCGCTGCTTTATTTTGTTCTTCAGTGATGAATCTACTTTTGCGTTCTTCATATTAAATTACTGTAAGATAAGGGGATTTTCGGCGCTGTATTCTCCTTCATCATATGTTACCATCATAGGAAAGAAGTGGATAGTGGTCTCTAGTGATTCTTGCAAGCAATTCCACTTATCAGAATATACTGTAAATTTAACTGATATTATACAATTCCTGTTCTGATTCCATTATTTAGCTTTTGAGGTTCTCTTTTTGTGCAGTTTGTTTAAACAATCATGGCTCCTATTAGCTCCCTTATTCTCATACATATTAGACTTTAATGATTTGTTTGTTTATGAAGATTTAGTGAATGATATTTCTCAACTCTGCACACAAAGATGATCATTATGAAGAAAGCTTTAAATGATTTGTAATAATGTCAGAGGCCATGGAGCCAGCAACGGATAGCATTGATTCAGGTTCTGATCCAAACCCTCCGCTCATATACCGATGCAAGAAATGCCGGAGAATTGTTGCAACAAAAGATCATATAGTAGCCCACGAGCGCGGCGAAGGTCAAAAGTGCTTCAAATGGAAAAAGAGAGATGATGGCTTTGATAGGGATAGTATGCCTGACTGCTCCTCCATTTTCGTTGAGCCCATGAAATGGATGCAATCAGGTTAACTCTTAAGCCTTCCAAAAGTTTATGATGTATGCTATATGCATATGTCTGTGTGTTTCACCAAAAGTATATCTATTTGTCCTAATTCTGCTGGTGCTGTGCATTGGCAGTGGGAGAAGGCTGTGTGGAAGACAAGCTCCAGTGCATTGGCTGCAAGGCCCGACTAGGTTCTTTCAACTGGGCAGGCATGCAGTGCAGTTGCGGAACATGGGTTAATCCTGCATTTCAACTGCACAAAAGTCGATTAGATGAGTCGCGTGTTTAATCTAACTTATCTCCTGTAAAAGTTAGCCATGACATTGACACATCCTTTCTTGCCAAAGATATCAGAATGATTTAGCTATCAATCTGTTTCGACATTTCCTTAATGCCATTATAATCTCCGGTCTCAAAATGTGGGGTTGGAAGTGGCTACTCATGTTGCAGACACCATAAAGCAACAAGATTCTTCAGCTTGCAACGGTGCCAGTTCATAGCTATATATTGACAGACAGACCAGAAATTCTGGTATGTTAGACGCTTGATCTTTTTCCCTTGCAATATACGATAGAGCCCTTATCATAGATGGAAACAATATGTCGATATTGTTGTCTTCTTTAGTGAAATAGTTTTTGTATTTATTTTCATTTATCAAACATAACTTATTATAATGATTGGGGAGTATCTATGAACACATTATCTGAGGTGTGTTTTTACATCAAAAACAATGAGATGGAATGCGAAACAAAGCAACACTGTATATGTAATTATGTATAGTAGTTGATGTAGATGAAATACACACACGATGAGGAAGCAATTCATACAATTGTTCCCTTAAATACGACAAAAATCTGCAGAAGAATTCCTCATTCGATCTTTTTATAGAGTAGCCAGTAGCATTGTCATCGCTGAAAGTCGTGGTAGACCTTTCATAACCCGATAGCTGATGTTAGCCATTTTTTGTGCCCATTTTACCAATCTTTGCAATAGTTATGGATCAAACGGAAACAATGATGGAAATCGTGAAGAAGACCAAGAGCTTAGAAAAGATTATCATTTTTGGCCCATTCACTTGCTGGATTAATTGCACGATATGCTGTTGTGTTTTGTGTACACCTAATGTCTTTTCTGAACATATCAGAAACACAGATTCCTCCATTGCTTCACAACTGGAAACTTATTCAGCTCCTGCTTTGATTCCTGGATTGGAAGCAATTACTTTTACCACTTTCAGACCAAGTCATATTTCGATGTGTTTAACTTTCACATGTTTCATTGAACATAGTATGGATGTAGATCAGTACAACCTATATATACACTGTAATGAACAAGAACATCAAGCAGTACATTTTTCGGACCCGAACCGATTCAGGAACAATAATTGACATGCTATGTACAGATAAACAGCGGATCGATGATCCAAATCATAGTCGACAGCGAGTTCTAAGCTGTCGGGTAGGAAGCCTGCATAGCAATGCCACACAGCCCTTCTGCAGCATCAATGTCCTTCTGCATTCGAATGTACCCGCTCTCGCCCCAGCTCGTTCCCCACGAGTTCTTGACGAGCCAATAATTGGTCCCGTCGCTGCTCTTCCCATACCCAACGGCCGTGACACCATGGTCGAGCTCGGTTCCACACTCCCCCGTGAAAACTCCACTCGAATAGAACTGGAAGTCTGATCCACTGGCATCAATGGCAACAGATACCGGCTGTTTCGCCACGGCTTTCATCAACGACGACTCGCTGTTGGCGGGGACATCCTCGTAGCCTGTAATCTTGGCGACTCGGGAGGATTCCTTCTTGGTGTTGCAGGTGCCGTCAGTTCCCTCGTACGGGTAATTCGATTCGGTTGTAAGGCCCTGGTTTTTGATGATGTACTCGAAGGCGTAGTCCATTAGTCCGCCGTTGCAGCCCTGATCCTCGCTGGTGTCGCAATCCACGAGTTCTTGCTCGGATAAGGAAACCAGCTTCGTCGTTTTCAGCTGGTGGATTCCTTCTGTCGCTGCCACCGCCGAGAACGCCCAGCAACATCCTGCATTATTACATACGTCGAACGTATTAAGAACAGATCATCAGTCGAAACAAAATTCAGTCAGGTAGTTGTACTAACCGCATTGGCCTTGATCTTTGACAGCGGTGACGGCTCCCTTCTTTCGCCAGTCCATGCTCGACGGAGCAGTCACATTAGCATACCTGAACGACGAGTCTCCAGATGATTTTGCACGGGACATTATGTATCCGTTGCGCGATTCTTGAAATTCCTTGTTCGTCAAATCGGCGAACTGATTAACGGAGAGTTTGTATGTCCGGGACTCTGCCTCATTGAATGATTCGATGTACTCGACGTTGTTCTTGAATATCTGGAATCTTTTCGCCTTCTCTGCGTCGTCTTTGTAGGCTCGTCCATACTGCACCATCCACGCCTCGTGCCTATCAACCATTGATGCATCGGATAGTAGCCGGGCTGCGGTTTGGGATGGCAACATCCCCAAAACCAGCACTGCAGCCAATATAAGCATCGAAAAGCTCGTCGTCGTCGTCATCGCCGCTGCCATTCTGCTATTGAGAATATGGATAGATAACTTGGGAAGTGTTGATGAAGTTGCTGTGTGTGGTGAAGTTAAAATGAATCCATTGAGGTATTTATAGAAGTGAATAATGTGTGTGTAGGAAGTCCCTGGACAGCCCGGCAAGCTGTTTCCTGATACAGACATCATACATTTCCTTGGACGCTGCTCTATCAAATTTATTTAGCATAAATTAAGGTAATTCATGACTACAATTTTGTCTTGGTTAATCCCAAATTGAAACGCAGGCATTGGATTAATTTATGAAACCTAATACTTCAATCGTATCAAATGATATTGTTAACACCAGAATTGTTACATATTCATAGTGACAATAGACCTCAATAGTAGCATCGTAATTTTTTCCTCCTGCGACGAGCCATAATAACAACATTCAAGCGTAAGAATGTCCGAATTCATGGTTCCGATTTGCCTTGTCGAACTTAGTTTACAAGGTATTAGGTTCAACTGAGGATTTACCCAATGTGCACTTTTGGATCGCGGCTGTGGAAGGGTTTACCCAGTTTGCACTTTCGGATCGCGGCTACGAATTTCCATATTATATATATATATATATATGTATATATAAAAGTGTAAAAATGTCCGAATTGTAATAGCAAATCATAAGAATACAGATTATTGTTGATTAGTTACAGGAACAACCGAATCACTATATTTAGGTGTTAGCTTGAGAAAGTAGTTATAACAAGTGAAGTAATTTTGTGGTCGAGACAATCCGAGTATAAGTATTGCAAAGATTGGTAAAACGGGAACAAAAAATGGCTAACATCAGCTATCCGGTGAAGAAAGATCTACCACGATCTTCAGTGATGACAATGCTACTGGTTACTCTCTAATGTGATCGAATGAGGAAAATTTTCAGAGTTTGTAGTACCTTTTAAGGGAACATTTGTATGAATTACTTCCTCATCGTGTGTGGATTTCATCTACACAAACTAACTATATATATACAGTGTGTGTCACTTTGCTTCGCATTCCATCTCATTGTCGAGCTTTTAACATACCAGAATTTCTCGTCTGCCTGTTAATATATATATATAGCTATGAGCTGGCACCGATGCAAGGCGAAGAATCTTGTTGCTTTATGGTGTCTGCAACATGAGCGACCACTTCCAACCCCACATTTTGAGGCCATACATTTTTCATCTGTTTCTCGAGAGATGAAAAAGGAAATCAAATAAGAAAACAATGATCATGAGAGATGATAGAATTGGGAATTTTGCAGCTACTCTCTTACCTGAATAGTGTTGTGTGCAAAGAGTGGCCAGAATGCCGTCTGAAAGCAGACATCGACTTTTATCCATCCTAATTGTTGTAAACCGCGTACCATTTCCTCTGTAACAAACAAGAATTTCCCTCAACTTCTGCACAGAGATATCCATCTTAAGAGGGTGAGAAGATTCAGTTAAAATACCTTCCATGATCTCATGATATTCTATGGTGTTGCGGGTGCTGGGCTCATTTTGAGCAACTTCCTTAGCTTTGGCGGCCCCTGGAGGGAACTGTGGATTCTCTGATACTACCGGGGGACATTCCTCAATCCCAACAATATGCTCGTAACCATCCAATGAGTGACCAGGGGGCTGCCGGTTCCAAGACCAGAAATCAGACAAGGAACAAGTTCGTAATAAGTTAGCAGATCAGAAATAGAAAGCAGAGAATGAAGGACACATTAATATGTACCAAAACCTCTGCTAGAAAAAACAACAATCATAATAAGTGGTGATCAATTACCTCAGCAAGTTCTGTTTCTCTTCGTATTGAAGATGTGCGCCAGCCAACCATATCTGGTTTTATGTTAGGAATCTAAACAACAAATGCAACGGTAGAGAAAAATAACAATGGGGGCATGCATTCTGAACCAACGGATGAGAGTGAATATTAGGATACGGTCGTAAGACACATTAGCATACACAACCCGACATTTGAAAGTTCCAAGTGCAGATCTGCAAGGAAATTTAGTAGTAATATAGCTTTTTTTAAACTGAACATCCGGCAATAATTCAAGTGGATTAGAGAACAGTTAAAGAACATCCAAATAGGTTTTCTGTTCTCACAAAAAATTTCCATCATCACAATCTGAGGCCATCCGTAATAAGAGAGGAGGTTTGTTAGGTTTGCCATCGGTGAGGAACAGCTGACTGCCGGTGTGACCAGTAAAAATTGGGGCAATGGGAGCAGCAAGTTTCTCCAAGAATTGCATACCCAGAAGGAAAGGAAGCTGAATCATTGTAGAAGATAAACTGTCTGGAGGTCAGATTTCAAAGAAACACTGAATATTACAGAAAATGGATTTTACTACAAGGGGACTTATCACAACCGAAACATTTGGTGATTTCCTCAATAAACATGAAGGGACAAATACAATGTTTGCACCTCTTCTTTTCTTATATAGAGAACTTCCCAATTAATCTATTTATTTTGTTTCTATAGAATGAGGACATCTGAGTAGAAACATGTGAAAGTTAAACACGTCGAAATATGAGTTGGTCTTGCATTGGTAAGACATACCTGCTTATTTCCTCTAACTCCTAGATGAGGTGTTGCCAGTGTGATAAAAGCAATTGCTTCCAATCCAGCAATCAAAGCAGAAGCTGAATAAGTTTCCAGTTTTGATGCAATAGAGGAATCTGTGTTTCCGGTACGTTCAGAAAAGACATTAGGTGTGTACAAAACAGCAACAGCGTATCTTGCAATTAATCCACCAAGTGAATGTGCCAAAAATGATATCTTTTCTAAGTTCTCGGTCTTCTTCACAATTTCCATCACCTGTTTGATCCAAAGATTTGGGTAAAAAGCTTTAACACGTCCAAGAATAAACCATTCAATAATCTCCAAGGACCAAACTTCACACTATGTGAAGGCAGAAAAAAAAAGGCACTCTGGAATGTACAGAAAATCAAATCATTAAACATTAGCACATTTAAAAAATGTTCATGATTGACACTATCTGAGGTATCGTGGCACATAATAAGACAAGCACAAGCCTGAAGCTTACTTCATCTGCCAATCGTTTACCAGCTCCATCAATGCCAGTGAAAGTTTTGGTGTACATATTACACGAACTTACTGCACAGAATATGAAAGAATTTAGTTGAGCTTAAACACGACTTAATCAGTGTACAAAAAGGATCAAAGGAACATAAAAATCATTGAACTGAAGGTCAGCATTCCAGGCAGTACTCCAACATACTCATTATTTTAAAAACAAAATATGATTATGCACACACGAGGCTCATCTAATAGAAGTTTGTATTTCGATAGTTGCATATTAGCTTACCATTCCAATGCAATGTTCCAACTTCCAAACCTTAATCAAACTCTTGATGATTAACCAAGAACTCTCGCCCTAGGCTCAATCAATGTTATATTAGTACCACAACCATCATTAATACTAGTTTGTTACATTGGTGATGCTGCTATGCTTATCGACTTCTTTACTGAGTTATCATGCTACTTTCGATCAACCATAACAAAATTCAGACCATGCCAATTAATCCTATCTAAGACATCATCTTATTTTGTTTGCCCAATATAGTATATTTACAGCTTGCTCTAGTTACATACCATATATCAAGAAGTTTTTACCCAATCGCTTCCTTAGCTCTGCTTCAAAACATGTCCAATCACTCGGGCTGCAACATTTGAAAACTTCGAAAAATCTCAATGAGGAATGCAATACAACAAACGCTGAATCAATGGAACCACATCTACCCTAAATGAACTGCAAACACACCGAAGGCTTCATTTCACAATAGCTACTTTAAACTCTTTATCTACACTGTGCTAAATTTAGGTTCGCCTTCATACTTCCTTGAGATGTTCGATTAAAGATTATGTATATTATAACGCAATATATAACATAATGTGCATACCTTCCCATAATGCCATGAACAAGAACCAGAAGATGGTTTGGCTTGTCCTCCTCATTACTCATATCTGTTCTAGATGAAAGATTTCCATGGGCTGTACTCATGACCTCGGCTTTGAGACTTAGGCGCTTCCAGAAATTTCTTACGCCTCCGCGGTGCAGGCAAACGATAACAGTGAAAATCAAGAACGTGTAAAAAACTAAACAGAAAAAGAACAGTAATTCACAATAGGTTTGCAGTTTCCAAAATCGAGCTTCGAATAATGATCCACACAAAGTCACAGCAACACAAAAATGTTTGATAATATGAATATTCTCATAGTTACTTCAAGATTAATAGCAGATAAAAGGGGCAATTGAGTTCAAGAATTCTAAAGAAACAAGATCCACACTTCAATTACCAAGAAGAGGAGGCAAAAGATTCCACAATTACGAAACAATTTTCCAAGATCGATGGAAATAAACGATTAATAGAGGTTTATCGCTAAGAAAGGAAAAAACTGAGAAAAAGACGAAGTACCAAGATCAAGAATTCTTCCTAAATCTCGTTCAGCAAACAGTGAAGGAAAAGCGAAACCGTTAAAAGAAAAAGGGAGAGCGAGAAATTACCGACGAAAGTCATGAAATTCCAGTTATGCCCCAGGCGATGATGACACAGGGAAAGGGAATTGGCATATGACAAAGAATACGGCGAAGGCGAGCAAGAACCCGAAGATGACGTCATGGTAGAGCTGGCGTTCCGGTGGCGAAAATTCCGAGGAGAAGAAATATAAAAGAGGGGTGGAGAGGACGCCATTTGTCAGCGGGGAAAGCTCAACGACATTTATAGAAGAACACACACGCTACATACCCAACAATCCAAAGGCAATGCAGCAGATTCTAGTAGCATAGGAGAAAGACGTCAGACCCGTTGCGGTTCTTGAACGTAAAAAAATGGCTACGTTAGCGTCGCCACACCTCATGCTTAGCTGTTTACTTCACGACCACATAACCCACCGTAGGGACACCCAGCCGCCATCAGAAAAAATTAATTTTGTGCACATATCCGTATGAGTAAGACTCTGACAAAGTACTCCCGCCAGGATTCCTTTTTGACAGAAATTATTGAGGCAGGAGTTGACCAGTGGAACTGATGGAACTCTGAGAGAACTTTTTGAAAGCCAAATCTTTGAATCTCACCCGCTATTGATTTGTCGTTTAGGGAAGGACAGGGAAAGACAAGAATACCCTTTCTTGAATTGCAGGACTGAGTTACAGAACTAACAATCTGATGTTATTAGCTAGACATGGAGGGAAAGAATGATGGGTAATGTTACTAGGGTTTGGATTAATACATTTATGGGCACAACAAAAATTCATCCACACTCCCATTATGCTACCATTGCAGTATGCAAATCCAGGATTTAGTTTGATCAGATGAACATATACCAAACATGAACTTGTAAAGTGCAAATTTTTTTTTGACAACTATATGAATATTGTCGACGAATCTCCAGCTGATGCATCAAACAAGCAGCCATCAGACAGCACCTTCATCACAGAGGCTTAAGGTAAAGAATAAGGTACTAAACATCACTCCAATTGCCGCCATCATCGTCTGCATCATCGCTTCCGACAGCCTGAATGGAGAACACAGTTAATTAAGATCAGAGAGAGCTGAGGTAGTTTGGTGCCTATATAGGAGTTAAGACCGACCTGGCGAATCAAATTAGCCTTGTTGAGAATTGCAGCGACATGGACATTGGCTGGGCTTGCTGATGGCGTCGCTGTTTCCTTTGTTACAGTTGGTCTGAGATTGAAGGACTGAACCCACAATCAAAAGGCGAAGAAGGTGCAAGATCAGGACCAACAGGGCTGTGATGATGACACAGTAACAAAAAGCTTTAAAGTATTTCGGTATGAGAAACTCACTTTTGATCTAATTAGTTGGAGAAAATCCCTATCATCTAAGCTCTTCCCTTTGTTAGCCTCTCTTTGTCCATCTGAATCCTGTCAGAGAAATTGTTGTATATGATCATAAACTTACATTGTATTAAATGAGTAAAGGGCTTGAAACAAGAAAGAACATTGAAATACACATGGTATGGACCTTCCTTCTCTGCTCAATTGTGGGAAAATCATGATCGAATGGAGCTGGCTTAGGTTGCTGAGAAGTAGTAGATGACAATTCATTGAGATTCAATGTATAATCCAAATTCGGCTTCATTCCGTGCCACTCAACAGGGGGTATTGATGAAGGATCTGGAGTACTCAGAATATCACAAGAATGAAAGGAATGAGAGCCCTGGATGTAGTTTCTATCAATAAGGCTAGTCCTTTCATTTTTCATTGTGGTTGAAACAGATTCCGAACAAGAGACTCTGCTGTAGAAGCTAAACAACTCAGTGTCTTTGTTAGCGGGAGATTCACCAGAGCCCCACTGCTCATAATATGATTCATAGTGATAACTGCGACAATTATCTAATGAAGAAGCAGATGATCGATACAATGTGTCATCATCTGAATCTGAACAACCATTTTGTTGAGCGATCAATAGCTCTGGGACCAACTGAAATGAAGGGAGAACAGCCCTGCAGCTTTCATCACCAGTGCTCCCATGTGGAAACTTAAGCTTCAGCTTCGAGGAATCTGAGTAATCTATTGGTTGAAATGAAATTTTGATCTGCCTCAAAGGAGGTGATGAAGGAGGTGAAGGTATTGACAGCTCATGTCTGAACAGATCTTTAGTTCGACCAGAGAGTGTTTGATACTCAGAATCATTTCGTTTGGTTGTATGCAGTCTAGTGCCCTGCTCAAATATTCGACAAGAATTCTTGCTATCTTCTGCATTCCTTTCTGCAGCATCAGTCGGAACACTTCCAGCTTGTGTTAAACTCACATCATTACTATGAAGCTTGAAGCCTAAATCAGTAGGAGAAATTTTACATTTCATCTTCCTAAACCATGAATTGCTTTCTTCACATCGCTGGTGTGCAGAGCTTTGCGTTATATCTGGTTCACCATGATTATTCGATAAACCAAAATCCATTGGTTTTGATGGCTGGAGTCCTACCAAACCACCATTATTCCGAAAAGAAGCTAAAGAAGCATTAGAAGTTTTGGTTGAAGGTCTTTGAGCAGATCCTGACCAATCAGTTCTTTCATCCAACGATACTGTGCGCAATGTGTTTTCTATGTATGCGCCATCATTCACATCCCAATTACTGTAAGAACCTACGCTGTGTGGTAGCAAAGACTTATCCACCGGAGATGCTGAATCACACAAGTCCTTGGCAGATACGCAACCAACACAAAAGAGAGCAGCAAATGATGATTTTAAGGACACTGGAAGGGGGTTATGTTTGAAACCACCGATGACAACTGAACTTCTGGCCAAACCACCGCATTCATAATATGGTGTTCGACATTCTAAATTTTGTTGCATCAGCTCTGCAGCTTTTCCCTCCAGCTTAGAATTTTTATTTCTGGTGTAGTTCATATCAGTTGTATCCTTCAGTTCCATGACATTACATGCATCCATGAATATATCGTTTTTATTTTCAAACTCATCAAAACTGATGTCAATATACTCAGATGTCGAGTGATCTTGATCACAACTTCGGATGCCCCTTTTGTCCACAGTTTCAAAGCTAACAACTGCATCATTCCGCGAAGCATCCATGTCCAATCTTGGTGAAAGCAGTCGCAGTCTAAAATCACCTTCAGTGTAATCTGATCTTAAGCTGCAATTCTTAAACATGTCTAGTTAAGCATTGTTTCCTTAAAATCACAACAAAATGTTCATGTCATTAACACAATCTGTATGTTTCATGGCTTCTCTGCTAATTTCTTTTAGCGTACCTGCCCCCAAGGTTGAACAAGGTTGCGCCGGGGGTTACTTCATTCCTTGGCTGAGACTGCAATTCCTGCTTAAAGTTGTCAGCAAAGCAGCAAACCATCGTGTTTTTACATTAGACATGTTTATAATCAAGTTAGTTATGACCTTGATCATGCTTCCTCTCTTATCATCTAAAACTTTACGGGAACTTGCTTTCTTAAAGAATGATGGATCTGAATACCTTTTAAAGCATGATCCCGGGCCACCAGGATCGAACCTAAAACAATAGTACAACCATCAAAATCACCGCAATAGATAAGTATTTTGACAGTAGCTACTATACCTATCAAGCAAGTGTAGCCGTGGAGGCTCACCGCAGTCTTCATAGGAATCCAAAATAAATCGAGGCAAATCGGTATGCTCAAACATATTCATTTCACAATTGCTTCGACCATGCAAATTAGAACCTGAAATTTTCTTCGGCTATTAGGCAAGAATTCTCCTGAAAAGTGCAGCCTAGCAATGGAGATTCTGTTAAATTGGGATAGTTTCAACCATACCTGCAACGTATGCAAGATGTAAATGGCTCCTTTGAGCTAATACAGCTTTCTCGAGAGGAGAAATAGCAGCTTCAATTCGTCGAACACGGTGCCACAAGTTACGGCTTCGGGAAGATGTCATCATCAGTTCTTCCTGCAATCCATGAAAAACTTCCGCTGCAAAGCTATCACATTCAAAGATCTTGCTACAGTTACAAAGTGTATGTGCGCAAAATTCTTAATGATGAAGATCACAGCACATCTTGCCATGAAACTTCCCAATTCGAACACACAATTGTATCAGCATAACTAGCATCGGAACTCGAGAATACCACTCCGAAACACAAAATAATTCCATAAATAAAAAAGAAACATACTCAACAAGATCAGCGAGCTGACGCAATATTCCGACAAGGCCGGCGACGGCAACTCCTCCGAGAATCTCCTCCGGCTCTTCCTTGCTGGCCTCGTTATATGTCTCAGGAGCTCCAAGTCTGTATGCATTCCTCACCTCCATCTCACCAACGGCATCGCTCAATTAAATTGACACAACCAAAAAGAATTCCAGCAAGCCCTAAAAACACAATTCTTAGCCAATCACGCAGAAACAGGAGCAGAAGCAGAGGATGAGTTGTTACATTATCAATGCAAAAAAATAATGTGCTCCGGAAATGATGTGTGTGGGCAATATTAGCAGAATGAGACGTTGCCTTGTTTGATTACAGTGAGATGACGTCGCGATGGAAGGACGGGAATCGGGCTGGATTTTGAAATAAAAGGGGCCCCATGGCCGAGAGGATTCCCTCTGCAGGAATCTGTGGCTCAAATTGCAATTGCAAACCACCATTGTAGGGCCAAGTACCTTTTACCTATAAGAAACAAATTTATCGAGGGAATTACTGCAGCAGCTACCATGATCGCGACAAAGCAGCAGCCACCGTCAGTCAGAGGCTATAATTGTAATAGAAACCTAAAATCACTTGCAGATGCAGGAAGAATGAGTTGAATGGCAGTTGGAATCCAATGATTGCCGCCAGGGCTCTTCAATATATGCATTGATTGAATGCAGAGGCAGCCCTGGCCAAACACGCATCTACACAAATATCGCGATCACCATCAGCGACGTCGTCACTGCAACTGGATAATCAAATTTTGTATTTTGTACACTATTTTCGTAACACTGAATACTCTTCTTCGAGGAAGGTAGGCGCATGCTCGTCCAGGACCTGGACTCCCGGATCCCCCTCCGGTGGCCACCGTACATACAGCCGCCGGTGGATTAATGATAAAATAATTAGGCTCGTTTTTTGTTTATATCGAATTAATATTTAATCATGGTAAATAGAAGAGAATTTGCTAGGACGTCGTCTTCATTACATTAATGGGCTGGGTTACCACAGAAGGCCCACTTTGAATGGGCCTTCGATTCTAGTAATTAATAGAAGCATATGGACCATGCCAAATGTTATTGAGATTAATTCGCAATAATAAATTATTATTTATAATAATAATAATAATAATAATTGTTTATTATTATGTGGGGCATAAATTATTGATAGCGCGCATAATGAATATTGAAATTTATTAAATCTACTGTGGGGGGTCATGCAAGTGGAGCACACTCAAAAACACAATTGAAGACAAGTCACGTGCAATCACGAGCCGTTTAAATATGACAATTAAAGCGCGACTTATATGGAAAAAAAAAAAAAGGGTAAAAGTAAAATGCGTCTTCTCCGTTAGTATTACCCAAATACAATGATAGAAACACGCTTTTTTTTCATAGTCATTTTCAGGAAAAAGAAAAAAGAATCCATTACTTAAAATCAATAATTATGCTGTAATAAGATATTTACCTGTCGAATGTTGTAGAGACTAACATCGACCGACGAATATGTCCAAAATATTAAAATAAAGAGAGCCGTACGGCAAAGGCATGCCTTTTCGGAAAATAAATAAATAAATAAATTCGGAGCACAATTTTGTTGGTTAGATTATGGACGTAAAAAATAATAATAATAATTAAAAATAAGGGGGGCTGTATTAACACTGCAGCTAAGTTTAGGGCAAATGATAAATAAAATTGTTTATAAATTTAATGAAAGTGACTCGATACCTAGGCTATGTCTGCTTATTAATAGAATCTTTATATAAAATTTTATTCTTTATAATACCAAATATGTTTTATTAAAGTATAATATTAAAAACATTTAAAATGTATTTTTAATTATTTATATATAATAAATTACTGTTTATAAATTGCAATCATAGGTTGTCTATTCATATATTTTTAGTTGTCTATTTAAATATTATTATTATATTTTTTATAATATTACATATTCCCAAAAGTGTGCATTGACTAGAATTTTACGGTTACACGTTCAATCTCACACCACGAGGCTAGCCATTGCTGGACTACTTTGTTTATCTACATAGAACGGAAAAAATAAATATTAGAGTCTGTTGATGTCTATAAATAATTATGAGAATTATTTTTATTTTAATCAATGATCAAATACAAATTGAATTCGAGATCATTCTAACTAGGGTTTTTAATTATAGAAGTTTCTTAATTTTTAATTGCATTCCAATTTCAATTTTAGTTAGGTTATAGGTTATTAGTTAACATAACATCGACAAAACAAGTCACATTATGGACGAATTCATCCCTGTACCATCAGATTATTTTACTAACAGTTTTCAGTCCTACGAATTCCACGGTCTAACTTGTTTTGTCAAATTTAATTTGCATATTATTATAAAAATAAATAAATAAATAAATAAAAAGACAAATATTAATATTATTTATTTTATTCGTCCGAAAAGAATATTAATTAAAATGAATATATGAAGAGGGCCCACTAATGGCATCATGGATTGTTTACACGCAATTGAGGATTAAGGGTTGGACCCACAAAGATCTCAAACAAATTTGCATTAGAGTAATGGCTGTGCTCTTTTCTAAATGAAACCAAAAACGTCGCCGTCTTGGGTGACACACAAATAAATAAATAAATAAATATATATATATTAAATTTAAATTTAAATTTAAATTCTCTCAAAAGTCAAATCGGATTGCATATATAATTAGTACCTAATGTTTAGTTAAGTTAATTTATCTCTCTCCATTCAATTACAAGTAATTAATGTGTCATTTCATTCAATTTTATTCCTTTTTTAAGAGGAAAATCTTGGTTTATGAATAGTATTAACTATTATAAGAATTCATTTCTTATTTAAATTTAATTAATAGTCCTTTGATTGTATATTATTAGCAGCATACATTTTATAAAAGAAATGGATTTGGCTCTTAAAAAAAATCAAATGTCATTAATATATATATATTCATGCAAATTAAACGGTCTAGAGCCACTGTTAGAATAGAAGTTCAAAATTACTTAACGATTTGATCGAACATTTTTGGTATACAATTCAACAATTTTTTTATACATAGTTTGTAAAGTATATTTGTAATGCCCAATAATACAATTATATGGATAATTTACTCTTTTTAGCAAAAATACATTTTAGTCCATCATCAAAGCTTGCCAATGATAGTCTGAAGCTATCTCGATACCAAGAAAAAATCATATTGAAAAATTTAGCCAGCTGCGAATAGAGATATCAACGGGGAGGGTTCACGACGGATTTTGCAGGCTTCGAGACTCGCCCCATCAGAAAATATTAGGATTCAATACCCGCCCAGTCCTTAGGATCCGTCCCGTTCGGAGCCAACCCGACAAACTTTTTTTTTATAAAAATAAAATAAAATAAAATAAATTTTTTAAAAATAACTTAATACTAAAGAAGCATGCGTCAAAATACCAAAAAATTATAGTTCTAAAAATAAAAACAATCAAATATTGACGATAGTCTGTAATGATGGCGGTTAGCAGTAGTCCCGACTATAAAGAGAATTGTAGGAAAAACAAATGTGAAGATAAATTTGATTCAGAATTAATGTTCTATTTTATATTTAAATTTTTTAAATAAATAAATAATCTAATTTATATTGTATAAAAATATAAATAAATTATCATAATTATTAAAATATCCGGGTTCGGGTTCGGGTCCGAGGTGGGACGAGTTTATAGTAAAACCCGTAACCCGCCCCGAACCCGGCTGGGGTCTAAAACTCAAAATTCACAACCCGTCTCGAACCAAATTTTTTAGATCCGAACACACCCCATTAAGACCAGACCCGGGCAGGGTCCGGGGCTAACCCGTACCATTTGACATCCCTAGTTGCGAAGATGTCATATTAGTACACATAATCTAAAAGTAAAAAAAAATGTCAATTATTATGAGATAGACAAAAATAAAAAATATATCAATTATTGTAGAACAGAGAAAGAGAATATTATTTTGTATACGTTTCTTATATATCACATTAAAAAAAATTTCTAATCAAAATATTAAATAATTGATTTTTTATAACATCTTTTTTTTTTTTTGGAAATCTCTAAAAATATTAAACTTTCCTTCTACAAAGTATATATTAGAGAATGATTACGGTGCTTATTCCAAAAATTTAGCATCAGCACCAATAATATAGACAAACAACATATGTTCTTGTTACACATAACATGTGTTGTGTATAATAAAAATATATATTGTTTGTTCATAATGATACATGTCTTGTATAAGAGTATGTCATATGCTAAAATCAATTATTGTGTGTGATGCATGTGACTACAACATGTATTGCTAGTTCATATATTGTATTTGCATTATATTAATATATAATGTATTCTGTGTAATAATACTGAGTGCTGCCAAACAACACACGATGTACTTTTCAGCATAGAATTCATCACTGTAATCACCGCCGTATATATTAACAACAAAACATTTTGAATGAATGCAAGGTAAATTTTTGACCAGCATACAAATTCAAAAGGTACTAGAAATTTGAATCTATAATCTTACTGTTACAAATTTACTCGTATCACCAACTCATTTCTTACTAATTTTTTTTACTAAACAAATACTTTGTGTGTGTGTGAGAGAGAGAGACGTAGAGAGAGAGAGAGAGAGAGGAGGACAAGAAGGATCATTAAAAGGAAAAACACTAGTACGAAATGTCATCTTTAGAGTTAAGTATCTAAGCATTTTATTTTTTTTCACATTTTTCTAATATTCTTTTCTCTCAATTCATAAATCCCACATTAATTGTTCCCCTAATTAACTGAATATTAATTAAAGATAAAGAATATAAGTGAACACTATTATGACACTAACAAATATACTTTCATCTACTCATCATGTTATTCACATTATTATAATATATTGAGGTAACGCAATATTCAATTCCCCATAATTAAAAATCTGAAAATTGAAAAGGCCCACCACAAATTAAAGTGACAAGGTGAAAACTCTCTTATCACTTATTCTCATTTATTATTTTTTTTTTGTCTGTACAAAATTCCACATTTTCACACTTACTTTATTATTATTATTATGTATTGATTTTAACCCATTCTCAATTTTTCAAACAGGATTTTCCATGGTACAATGGATCTGGATATATTGAACAATCTAAGCTTGCATGCAAATTCTCAATATTTTTTAATTGTAAGAATTTACATCAATAATTGGGGAAAATTCATTGCTGGTGGCCTAATTGTCAAATGGTTTTATTTTGGATATTCAAAGAAAAATTTATAAATGCTGAATTAAATCTGACCCTTCTTCATGTAAATTTGACCTTGGTTATAATCAAATAGATAAAATTTTATCTGTTTTACTATAATATTATTTTTTCCATATTATAGTAGAAGTAAAAACATATTAGTACCAAAATATTAGTAATTTTTACACACAAACATATTAATAGACATATATAATTATTTATGCATAAAATAGGAGAGATGAGGGGAGTATTATATTCAAATTTGTTTTCATTTTCAACATAGCATAGGCTATGTTTTCATATTAATTATTTAAATTTGATTACTAAAGAATTATCATATCATAATTTATTTGTTATTTAAAATATTACATTCCATACACATTTTTATCAAATTGACTACTTATGGACAATCCAAAATACCAAAATACTTCAAAATTATGGGGTGTATTTATTTGGTGTTTTAGTTTGAGTTATTATTATTATTATAATTTAAGATATGAAGAATTATGTCTAATATAAAAAAAAAATACTCCTTCCATCCAGCTACAAGTATATATATTTCTATTTTGTACGCCCAATTACAAAGTAACTATTTCATTAAATATCCTATTTTTTTTCACAAATATCTTAGGGGCTGTTTCGTTCGTGAATTTGGTGGGATTCTATGGAATTTGAATTTTAAAATTCTAATGAATCTATATTTGGTTATAAAATTGATGATGAAATTTTAAGTATATGGGATTTTAAATGCATGATTTTTCAATAACAGTGTACCCCATGTTACTTTAAAATCCCATGTAGTTTATTTACTATTATACCATCTCATAAAAAAAAATATATTTCTTTTTCTTTTTAATATTAAATGTATATAAATATATATTTACATTTAAATTATATTTTATTAGTTTTATAAAATATAATATTATATTTAAGCATAGTACTACAAATCATATATTTATTTATAATTATTAATGTTATTTATATTTAATTATTTTACTAATGATAATTTAAATAAATTAATAATTTAAAATATCAATTAATAATTTAAATTTATTTTACTATAGTGTATTAATTTTATATTTTTAGTTTAAAGTGCTTTTTTATATTAAATATGAAAAAGAATGTTGATAGCATAAAAAATAATTAAATTATCGTATTTTTTAGTGTATAGATTATATATTACAATATATATTTTGTATGAATATATATTATATTTTTTATTATTAATCGAAAATAATATTAAATTTTTTTTATTAGAATACACTAAATATAGTAAAAAGTAAAGTTTACGGAGAAAAAAATGAATGTAAAGTTTAATTTATTATAATAAATAAAACTCGTGAAGGATAATTACGCTCATTTAAAATATAAAAAATTAAAATTCTTGAACCAAACAGCTCCAACCAAACACATGATAGGATTTTAAATCCTAAATATAATAAATCCTATCGCATATAAATGTTACTGCAAAATTCCAATCCCATTAAAAAAAATTTTGAACCAAACAATCATTTACTTTACATCACATCATTACTATTATACCAAAATTATACCAAAAAATTAAGGATAAAAATATCATTATACAACTTTTACTTATCTACTGTAATTAAAATACTATTAGTTCTTAAATTTCGCGCAAAAAATAAATGTATATTTATTATTTGAACGAGAAAGTAATACTTTGGATTAATTATTATTTTTTTTAAAAAAATAAAATATATTATATATATTGGGAACGTATCAGAAAAAATTCTCAAAAGAATCCTATGTTCGTTTTTACTTATTTCGTGTAGTATTATTAATATTCAATTCTTTGTATTTTGTTATCGTTGTTTAATTTGCTTCTTTTATTTTTTTATTGTTGTTTTTTTTTTAAATAAATGTTAGATGTAATATTTTAAATATAAATTAATACAGTATAAAAATTTGAATGAAAAATTATTTATTAAATAATAAAAAGGATATATTATAATTTTGTTTACCTTATAACTATTTTCATTTTTTAAAACCATGAATATTCATTGATTTATATCAAAATAAATAGAATTTTTTTTAATAAAAAGATATATTTAAACTACTATTAAAAAAGAAAAAAATAAAAATAAAACATGCTAAGACACATGACTTGTTTGTCGGACCTAGTTTGCAGGGTATTAGGCTCGACAAAAAATTTACTCCGTGCGCATTTTCGGGTAGCGGCTGCGAATTCTCGCATCATTCAAAAAAAATAAAAATAAAAATAAAAAGTATAAGTAGACAAATCTCATTCCAAAACAAGCAATATAGCGTATTTATTCGAAAATACGAGGTTTCAGAAAATGATCAAAATACGTGTGTATATATAATATATATATATATGCATATATGTGTGCATTTTAAATGTGAAATAAAATAAAATCTATGGTGGCTTGTGACACTCTCAGGGTGTGTTTGTTTGGTGGATTTTCCTCTAAATACACTATTTATCTCATTTTTTTTTTCAAAACATAAAATTAAATACCTATTTTTTATATTATACAAAAAAAAAATAATTTTACATTCAAAATATCACATCAACACCTATTTATATCATATTATACAATTATTCAAATTCAAAAATTTTACTATTCAAATCTCAACTCAAAATTCAAACCCCAAACAAACACACCCTAAAGTATATAATATGAATTAGGTCAAGTCATGCTACTTGTTGGATCGAATTTTATTTTTTTTTGATGTCACGAGGAACCATAAGCTTAATGGCGGATGCAGTAATCATTATTATTATTATTATTATTATTATCATTATTATTATTATTACTCGATATTAAATAAACATATCACAGTAACTATATGCGATAAAAAGAAATTTGAAAATAATTATATAAATATATTTATGCAGTTAGTGCATTTTAAAAAAGTAAGGTTGAAAAAAAATAAATAAAGAAATGAATAAAAGGAGCAGAGTGGGCCCCAATTTATGTCTCGTCAAAAGACTATAATGGTAATAATAATATTAATTATTATTATTATTATTATTTAATAATATTATTATTATCTTTCTTCCTCACTCATTCCTATAATTTCGTCTACCCTTCGGTTCCCTTCAGCTCCGCCATCTCTCTCATCTTCCCAACACTCACAAAATATATATAAAAAAAAAAAAAGGAAAAATGAATTCTCCGGCGGCAATCATACCCACCGATTCCGGCGACGTCCATAACGGCTCCGCCAGCACCCACCCGCCGCCGCCGCAGCTGAGCCGATACGAGTCGCAGAAGAGGCGCGACTGGAACACCTTCGGACAATACCTCAAAAACCAGCGGCCGCCGGTGGCGCTGTCGCAGTGCAATTGCAACCACGTGCTGGAGTTCCTCCGGTACCTCGACCAGTTCGGCAAGACTAAGGTTCACCTGCATGGTTGCGCCTTCTTCGGGCAGCCGGATCCTCCGGCGCCGTGCACCTGCCCGCTCCGGCAAGCCTGGGGCAGCCTCGACGCCTTGATCGGACGCCTCAGAGCCGCCTACGAAGAGCACGGCGGCTCGCCGGAGACGAACCCCTTCGGCAACGGCGCGATTCGCGTGTTTCTCCGGGAAGTGAAGGACTGTCAGGCAAAGGCCAGAGGGATTCCTTATAAGAAGAAGAAGAAGAGGAAGATCAATCATCCAATCAACGGTCACGATCATCTCATCAAATCTTCCAAGCACTTGAATTGAAAAAACTACAGGTAATTAATTAATTAATTAATTAAATTTATTTCATAAAATATAGTACTATATATATACATACTCGTGATCGTCATCAACATCGTATAGTATTTCGAAAATTGAAGGTGCCAGAAAACCCTAACCCTAATTCTGATTTGGGAAATTAAGATTGGGGGGTACAATATTATAAGCATTTTTTTTCAAATATTCTTAAAGGGCATCACAGCTTCAATGAAAATCGACTGTTTCTTGGAATTTGAATAGGGAAATGGCATGATTAAGAATTTACATGTCGATCTTTTGTTTTCTCACTCTAAATCATGGAAGAACACTGTGGAGTGAGAGAATATATATATATATATATATTCCTGATTTCATTTTCCGACAAACCATCAATTTCCTTTGATCACTTGTGGTCGGATCTTCTGGGATCCATGACATGAATGACCTCATAAACAGTACGTACGTACGTATCAAATTAACGTCTATATATATTTCTTGTCCGTAGCTTTTGCATGAACTCTACATATAATCAAGATATATATACATATATATAGTGTTTAATGAAAAGTTAGCTATATAGGATTTGAAATTGTGCATAGTTTCAGGGCCCCATAGGCAAATCTGATCCACAGAAAAAGAATATAATCACTGTCTTAATTATTCAATTTTATATATGTGTGTTTGTGATTGTTGATATCATCATAGAAATTCTCTGTCATTAATTCATTACACCTTATTATTGAACCCACAAATTTTTTTATTCATCTTGCAAGTACGAATTAATTATTTTCACATTTTGTGTATATATAGTGATATAAGTAGATACTTATGCATTTTGACGACATGTTTAGCACCAATTGTTACTAGTTAGGAGCAATTTTGAAATTTTTACATGCATGCAGAAATCACTTCAATTTAAATTCTCATTTCATATAACTTTGATCATTCTCTAAATGACATATATAGTTTTACATTAGAGTAGATAATTATATATATAATTAATGTTCCTGTATATAGTATGATGATGATTGAGCTCATTAAGTGATAGTTTATGCAGATTTCCAAGGCTACATTACTGTTTATGAATTCATTAATAGGTTTTGTTCCATTCCTGTCAACCTTTTCACAGAATATTAAGTGTTCATTTGATTTTTTTTCTTCTATTATTTAATTTATACAATCTTTTTTGTAAAAATATAATTCTAGCTTACAAAAATATTGTATCCAAATCATATTACAAAAAAAAGAAAAGAAAAAAAGAACTACAAACTAAACATATATTTTAGCATAAACCATAGTATAATACAAAAACAAGACACCCACCCCCACCCCACCCTATTATAGTAGCATTGTCAGATTTTTTGTTATTAAATAGATTGTCTAGTGTAATCCTAACTCCATATATAATTAAGCTTATTACATATTTTTTTGTGTATGTTTTGTCATCCTAATCATTATGTCCTTAATAGAATCCTATGAAGTTGCTTGAATAAAATATCATCCACTGATGAATTACACAGACTTCTTTATTAGTTTGTCCAATAATGAGATCTTTCATGGAGTGGAAGGCAGGTACATGTTCTGATGATGAAGCCAGAATAGTTTCGGAAAAATTGATAATCTGCAGTGAAAGACACCCTGTGATTAATTATTTTGTATTTATTTCGATCTTCTGCAGGAGTATAATATACTAAACAAGATGCATGTAATGCATGGATGGAACAAGAAGCTAGGGTTGCCATGTTATTCATTCAAGAATATTCCGGGGCAAGCCAAGGGTTAGATACCTCCACCATTTCCTTTGCTGCAGCCATATATATAGATATATATATATATATATAGAGAGAGAGAGAGAGAGAGAGATACAATGTCCTATATATGTTAGAATTTTAGGTCTGTTGTAAGTGCCGCTGTAATAGACATGCATGAAACTTGTATAATTCGAGTCGATGAGGTTTATAACACTCTTTTCACAATTGAAATACTTTGTTATATTATAATCCCTCCAATTTTGAATATATTCATTTACTTTTCTTAGTAAATGAATGGATATTAATGTTTTATATATAGTTTGTGTTGGAAAATAGGGTTTGACCAAAACTCCTTCGAACACCGACAAAAGGCCAACTCTCCGAAGTGCCGTTAGTTAACAATAATAATAACACCTTGTCAACATAATAAATACTCTCTCTGTCTGATAAGTAGATATCCATTTGCTCTTTACACGTAGTTTTAGAAATATTATTATTATATTGGGACGTAGTAGGAATAAAGTTGAAATGACTAAAATAACTGTATTAGTATGTGTGATATAAAAGTAATGATATTTCTGTAATATATTGCAAGTTAAGGGTATTTGTAATGTTAAGTAGACAGTACAGTTACTTAAAAAAAGAAAATGAATACTTTGTTATTTGACAGACTAAAATTGAAAAAATTAGATACTTTGTTATGAGACAGAACGAGAGGGAGTATATAATTTCAAAGTAATAAATAAGACAAAGTATTTGATAACTCAGTTTGGTTATAAATCAGTCTATACCTGAGATCTCAATCCAAGAGAAGTTCTACTATAATCACATAACTAAAATAACCACAAACTCTTTCAACCCATCCTTCTACAATTGCTAATCTTGAAAAATACCTTCATAGACTTTGATTGTCACAAACGCATACGGACAGCCACATAATAAGATAGCTCATAACTTGGTTATCTCTTTTGGTTGAAATTCTGAATACTCCGATCTCCGACAATTTTTCCGACGGAATAAAGTGTTAAGCACACTTTCAAAACTTGAAGATAAGAAAGGGCAGAGGTGAGAGCTTTGAAGTATATATATTTTTTTTCTCAAGAATATACTCTCGTAATGTACTAATATTATGTTGTGCTATATATAAATATGTATTGTATGTCGAGTGGTCAAACATTGATTTGGTCAAATTAGCGAGCTCTAACCACCGTCAAGATAGTGATATGAGTGTAATTTTAGGTTAAAAAATTGTATTTATCATTCGCGTAGACCATATTTACTAGATTAGTAAATGAATATGTAGATAGAATGAATACATTACTTGTATATATACTGTGGGATACATGAGTAAACGGTCGTGTTTTAAGTACTAGACAATAGTCATATTTTCAAGTTTTAACATTTCAACGAGGAAGACATTTGTTTTAAGGCAATAGTCATATTTTTCAACTTTTAGATTTAATAAGACATATCATATGATGTGTTTAGTTGTATTTTAGATAATATGATTATCATTATTTTTATGAAACTCTCATTTCTTCGCAAGCATCGATATACTTTGTCCTCGCTTGCATATCCCTAAAATTCTTTGGATTTACTTAAACTCGTTCCACTTTTGGTTGCATCGTGAGTTTTTTCGATCTACTTAAACCCACTTCAACTTCATAAGTATTACAGGTTACTTTTAACACAATCTGTAACATCTACTTTATCTCTCTCCGTTAGCCGAATGTGTTGCTAGAGATCGTAGATTGACCCATAGGTCAATACAAGCCTTCTAATGTGTTGCTAGAGATTGTAGATTGACCCATAGGTCAATACAAGCCTTCTAGCATACTCGCCGAGAAGCTTATGAGAAGTCATCCATCCATAAATTATCCTTATGAGTGATCTTTTGAAATTTCTCATTATAGACCACACGTACACACAAAAAAACTTTCTTTCAAATAAACTCCTAAAAGGGAATGTGCAATATGAATATTAATGAATCTATTTAACTATCTCAACAACATATGTATCCTATATTATTATTATTTGAATGAAATTTTAGTACTTACATATAATCTTTATACTAAACTCCAACTAATAGAAGTTTTGAAATTTAAAATTTTTTGAAAATACACAGCAGACAAATATGATATGTTTGGTGGAAATAAATCATTTTAGTGTACATTGCAGAGTAGTACAACATAGGAAAATGCAATAAATTGCAAGAAATTGACAACCCCTGTTGACGTTTGTGTGCAACCGTGTTACTTATATCTTGAAACAAAGAAGGATCCAAAGAAGAAGAAACTAACACAATTGAAAGAAATAAGATCAATCAGCAGATGAAAAGAACAGTGTCGATGTTACCATAAGATCTGTACAACTTAGCATTGGCATTGTCCGAATGTGTATTCAGCCAATGCATATGTAAATTTGATAAGCAACTAAACCATCAACTTCACATAAAGAAGAAATATTGGATATTTAAACAGAGCCACAAATGCAAGTCAGCTCACGACGAAACCTTAAAAGATCGAACCTAGTTGTCTAAATATTTCTGCCACTGCAAATATAACGTAACAGCAGACAAGAAAGCAAGAGCTCTGGAGGCAATGAAATGAGTTTCTTGCCAACAGAACTGCTTTCCAATTTCCTTTCAGGTAAAATCTTCTTCAACTGTAGACCGGGAAAAATTGTGTTGTATGGTGAATGAAGTGCCCCGGTGCTGCTACCATTCTTCTAATACCTAATCTGAAGCATCCACATAGAAAAAGAAAAAACAATAAAAATACATAAGGGCATCGCAGAAACATATGAATTATGTAAGCATAAAAAAAATGGTGACTGACTGTACATGATTTCTGCAAACCATCAAAGATGAACCTTGAAGCAAACTTATGAGGATTGGTTAATCCTAGAATACAAAAAATACAAGCATTGTATATGGATTGCATACCACATGGATCTTCCTTCAATTGTTTATAATGCTAAAGACGAGCTCAATTGATTTTCCCCAAATATTGATATCATCACAAATGATCAAAGGTTTCAATGTCCACAGTCAATTACAAGTAGCAGAGGATCAATGCAGGGAAATCATCATGGATTTCAATGATGATTGAATGCATATGTCTTAGTTATAGCCTAAACAAAATCGAAGCAAAATCAAAACCCAACAATTCACATGATTTCGGCAGTATATAACACAATAGAACAATGCACAAAACATTTACATTCCAACACTACATATCGGGCTTGTTTGCTACACAGATAAATTCATGGATTCTTTCAAACTTTGTATCTAACTCTCCATTCCCAACTAAGGTTTGTATTGTTTGCTCTAATCAGAATTCAATATCAGAAGTTCAGAGTTAAGACTGCACAGATTTTTGGTTTCTTTTTTAAGCCAATACAGGTGCCAATGAATCCCCCAAAGTGAGTACTATTCGATGAACTAAAGGGCAAACATCGAAAGCTAAATGATACCAAATATATCACAAGACAGCACAATCATACCATCAGATGATCCGGATCGTTTGGCATGCTTCATCTTCTCTAGCTGAACCTGAGTATCCATAAACAATTGCATCCTCTGAACTTCCAAATCTTTGGTAAACTGCATCCTCTGCTTTTCCAATTCCACCATCTGTCGATACTTCATACCCTCAACTTTCTCAAAAATTTCTCCAAACCTCTCTATGGCCTTCGCCAATCTTCGCATCCCTTCCTCTCCCACCTCCCCATCCTCCTCCGAAACCCTAGTCTTGCTTCGCTTTGGAACACCCCGCTCCAATTCGTCGTCTTCTTCTTCCTCCTGCTCATCTTCCGCAGCAGCCATTGGAAAATAACTCTTCTTGAAGTGTGGACCGTCCACGGACGGCATCGGCGTCGGACGCTTCATCGGCAAAGTCACCGGAGATATAATCGCTGAATTAGCCGGTTTGCGGTAGGACAACGGCACGGCCATCGGAGGCATGGGGAGAGATAAGGACGGTGTAAATTGGGACGGGGGTAACGGAAAAGATGACGGCGTCAGTTTGTTCTGATGCTTGGTGAGACTAGACGGCCCAATTAAAAGCTCCATCTGAGAGAAAAACCGCCACGGCGACGTTAGGGTTCCGTTAGAGTCTAAGATCCTCGCCTTCTCCACCTTATACTTCTTCTTGAGAGTGTCGACCCGATTCTTACACTGGACATCAGTCCGGCGAGTCTTCTTGGTGTGGCCGTGCCGGGAATTGACGATATCAGCCACCTCCTGCCAATCCTTCTGGCGGAGATTCCCCCGATTAAGCTCCAAGTAGCGGCGGCCCCAGGCGTCGACAAGCGTCGACGTCGCGTCCTCCGTCCAGCAGTCCTCCCGGAAGGGGCCTTGCCTTGACGGCGGCGCCGGAGGGGTCGACGATTCCGTCAAATCATCCATGGATTGAACAGAACCCTAAAGATTCGATCAAATTGCAGAAGTGGGGCGATGGAAGGGTAGGCGGCGAATGTCGATTGGGGAAATGCGCTGGAGAAAAGTAGGGTAAGAGGGCATCGGCGGGGGGCGCGCGTGGGGCCGACGGCCACGCATTTTCGGCAGCATTGACATTGGTGACTGGATTACGTAACGTCGATGGTTAGGGATTTGGGTTCGTTGAATTAGGAAGGGAATTTTTGACGATTCCCCTAATTACAAAGTCGAATTGGTTCCCAAGAATTGGGCTTGGCGGAATCCCCAACGCGACGGGGGCCGATGATCGCGGAGACGGCCGGTGATCGCTCGCCGTCGGCCGGCTTGACTCGGCTCGGCTCAAACCATAAGGTACTCAACTGGGCCTCCCTCCCATCTCCAGGCCCATACCATTTACTTATTTTAATTCGGCCCATTTTGCTCCCAACAACATTTGACAGTCTTCAATTCTGAGTACGATGGTGTGTTTCTGTGTTGGCATTACGTCGTCGTCTTCAATTCATTAAATCATATCGACGAGATCTCTGCAGCATACATATATCTATCTATATATATATACACATTTTTGTACAACCAACGGCTGGCTTTAAGAAACACCCCACTTGCCTGGCTCCTACACACACATATTGTTTATGTATATACATCATTTTGTACTGTTGGGATTCTCCATCCGATTCGTTTACTTGAATTCGCTTTCAGACAAATCTTGAAAAATTCTGAAAGTTGTTTGAAAATTTGTTTTGGATTATTGTTTATATAAGTTACACTTCTTGAGCTCGTTTTTTAAGCAAGTAATTATAGCAATACACTTGTTATAATGATGTGGATTTACTCTTCTATCGATTTAGTGATTTTTCTATATATAAAGAAATTCTAAACGTATACATCACCAACCCTACAGCTCTAACATATTGTTGATTAATTATGACAATGATCCTAACCATGTTGTGGGGACAATGATCGTAATCCATCAACCTCAAACACGAACAATCAAATACATATATATATATATTTTTAATATATATATGAGATCACATTAGAACATAATGCGTGCACTCAAATGCATGTAATTAGTTAAAGTTGACACACATGCGTTTAGGCAGGATCCTTTTCGTTAATATTCATGTAATTTAATTAATATCCAGACAGCATTATTCCGTCAAAAAGTATATAAAAAATTTACTCACTTTCCACCATAGCCATAGGATTTTAAAGTAAATTTTTTTTTAATTATAATGGCGATGGAGCTAGCTGAATAATGAATGCAGCAGCACAGCAGCCATGGATTGCCGGGAAAGGACGAAGCCAAAGCCAGGAAACATGGAAACTGAAATCTCATCTTTCCACCATGAAATTATGGGGTTTGACACTTCCTTGCATTATATAATTATTATCCAACCAGTGGATGAATGGCCAGTGGGGACACACACACATATTCATATATATAAACATCGAATCGAAACTAAGACATCATCATCAACAGTTTTATAAAATTACAGATATGCACATTGCACTGCTCACCAACAGTAAAAGTGGGATCCTTTTCGATTCCAATTCTCTTGCATCTGCAACCACTCCCTTTGATCAATTCTCATTAATTTCTAATTTCTGGGAAAAAAACAAAAAAAATAAAATAACTAATGATATGGTTGATGAATCCAAACGTAACCAAATTCTTACTGGAAAATTATTGATTCCTTTGGCGAGGAATCTCAGACCAAATCGATGTGTATTTACAGAATGGAAGAGGGTAATAATAAAAATATCGAAGCAACAAGAAATGGGGCGTCGAAAACCTCATTCGCAGCAAATCAACACAAGATTTCTAATTTTAATTTTGAAACCCTAGTGAGAATCAGCCGACGAATTTTTGAAACCCTAGTGAATAATTACCTGATTGATAGAATTAAAAAAAAAAAACACAAAAAAAAAAAAAAAAGATGGGAGCTGATTGATCGATAAATTAGGCTTCGGATGGGGTCGTCGTCTCGGAGATGCTTTCCAAGTGGGGCCTCCAAATTCCGACGCGGCCGCGCCGGCGATCGCGGTGGGTGGAGACTTTCTCCGACAGGATTTCGCTCAAATAACGGTCAGAGATGAGCAAGTTTTCCACTGACGACGCATTTCCGGCGGCTTTTGCAGCGTGGCGGTGGTTATAATTATCCGACGAGGAGTCCTTCTTTCTCCTCTTACCCGATCTCGACGACCTATTATTCTCCGGCGCCGGCGGCAGCGGCATCAGAAAATAAATCTTGCCCCGCTGGAGCTCGGCGTCGGGAGGAACAATGACGATCTTCGGGCAGACCCCATCAGACGACGACGACGACGAAGAGGAAGGCTTCTTCAGCACGTGCTTGGGATGCAGCTTCATGATCTCTGCTGCTCTTACAGTGCCACTGATTTCCTCCACGCGGCCATTGCTGTGAACTATTCGGACAACATCGAGTGATCCGCACGGCAGAATGCAAGAAATGCAGCATCTGATGGCGTTTTTCATAGCTGCCAAGAACCCAACTTTTTTTTTTTTCCCTGCCCTCCTCCCTCTTCTATTTTTCTCTCATAGCTAGAGAGAGGAAAGAAAATCAAGGAATTTTTTAGGAGAGAGAAAGAGGGGGCCGAAGATGTAAGAGATCACATATTATATTATATATATTGTTATTATTGATTATCTTTTTCGAATAATCAATTCACACAATTGGAAGAGGAGGAATAAGGAATTGGAGATAAGAAAGGATGTTTTAATTATAGGCTTTTGGAGTTTGGGCCTAATTCCTTTCCCCCTAAGCTATATATGTTTGTTTCTTGATTAGCCATTTTCATTTTTTCCTCACTTGGTTGTGTTGGAAATTATATGTTCTTGTTAAGTCATTTATTAATATTTTCTTGTTCTTGTACTTTGCCTTTTGGATCCATCGCCCATTCCATGGCACCCCACCCCACCTCACCCCACCCCCAATTCAATAATTAGGGTTGGGGCTACGGTGACACATGTTTGTCCTTGCTTGATGTGGCCAAATCATCCTGATTAGGGACACTTGTTTCAATCACGATGTGACACGTACTTGTCGATGCAAGATTGATTAGGGTTAGCTAGAGTAGGTGTGGAGGCGATTAGTAGGGTCTTTGATGACAAGGATTGAGATTCACTACAAAATTAGATAAAAAGGATATGGAGAAATGAAGGATGGTGGGCAGCGGACTGAAATATTAGGGTTTTTTTCATGGAGCCTACAGTGTGAAGAAGAAGGGAAACAATTGGGGCACATACTCCATTTAATTTTCTTCTTTTCAATAGGGTTTTTCAAGAAAATGAAAAAGATGTTGTTCTTGAGAATATATGCAGTATTTATTACTTATGTAATATTGTGTGTGTGTGTGATCTTTTCAATATATATATAGATATATATATTTCCCCAAACAAGATCATGTGGGTTGTGGTTTTCATTAGAAAGTGAGGGAATACTGGTGATGATTGACTCTCTTTGGTCTTTTACTTGGTGGTGTCGATTGGATGGATGGATATAGGGCTTGTGAAGTGCTTTGACTTATGTGAACTTGCTTGTCTTATTATATTCCTTATAATAACTAGATTATTCATCCCCATACCCTATCCCATGTGTACAATTAATCAACCCAAGATTCATGAAATCTTGAATAAAGAAGATATATCAATAAAGCCAAATTACATTAGCAAGTTATCAGACACAGAGAGGGAGAGAGGAAGTATTGTATATATACATATGATATACTACTATGTGATATGAACATATAAGAGTGGCCTTGAATGAATTATCCCTACAACTAATTAAATTTAAAAAATAAAAATAAAAAATACTCTAATACCGATCAAAGCCCACCTGCAAAAAGTAGTTTCTAATGTTTTCTTGGACTGGTGCACCTGTGTTTTTATCTCCCTGCAATGGCCCTCCAACTAAACCTCAAATAAATAAATTCAAAAGGGAAGATGCAGATGCTGACACACAGAAAATGGCTCCTTTTTCTGACAGATATCCAAAGAATTAGTTAGCTCACTGATTTGATGTATATCAACCCTCTCTGGACCTCAGACTACAGATCATACAAAAGAAAAAATTAAGACAGCAAAAAAAGTTGGATTGCAAAACTTAGGAGCTCCAAGGACCTCAAAGTCCAAAGTGATCCACGCCGTTGATATGTGGATGAGATGAGATGATATAGATGGATCTTACCCAAGTAGTCAGTCAGTCCATGGTCCTCTCAACCACACAATAGGCTAATCTAATTAAACTGTAATGACTTGATTAACCTGGAAGTTAATATGCTGCGGTGTCTAATCAAAAAAAGACGACCCCAGATCATTTAATGGTTTGGATGTGGATGGATTTTAGTGGGCAACATGTGAAGGATTCAAGAAAAGGATCCATGTACTACTGGGGTCCTCTTATCATCTCCAAAACTATGCCCAAATCATGAAATCTTGGACTAACTATCAGCTTGATGATACTCAGAGAAGATAAAATTGTGTGCCTAAACTAATAAATAAAAAAGTAAGAAACTTGGAAGAGTGGTGGGAGCTGAAGGGATCGTGGGGTGTCTGATAAGTTCAATTATTGACAGACAACACAGAAACAGATGTGTATTTGGATTTACATTACATTACACACAGAATTGGGATCTGTTGAGATCGAGCAATCATCAGCAGGTTTGTAAGAAATGAAATTAATAGAGCTTTTTTACTGACTGACACTTCTTTCTTTGAACCAGATCAGATATTGACATCCTCTGACCTGCACTGCACTGCACAGCTTCAGTTTCTTTTTTCTTTGAGCTTTATATTTATTATATTCTTTTTTATGACTACTCAATGGTTGTGTTGGCCAAGTACAACAACCTACTTTGACCAAACATTGGATCTGATGCTGCTGTATACATTATAATATTCCAAGTATGTGCAGAATTAAAAAATTAATAAACGAAAAATGAGGAGGGATATTGAAGAAAATTGTAGTCAACTGTTTTATTATTGGGCCATTTTAAAGTTAAACCATAGCCCAAACCATAATAATTGGTAAAAATGATAATTGGGTTAAATAGAGCCCAATATTACGGCCCAATGAAAAATCGCGATTGTGTCTTGTTGATACAGTTCAAACTTGAGGAAATTGGAGGAATAGAAACCGCAGACGATGCTGAATTGACTTAACCGCTGCTCCGTCGCGCCTCTCGAGATAATCCAACAAACCACCACAAACCCCAATCGCCGGCGCCATCGCCACCGCCACCGCGACATGCCAGTCTTCAAGACGCCGTTCAACGGATATTCCGTCAAATTCAGCCCATTTTACGAGAATCAGGTCGCGGTCGCTACCTCCCAGAATTTCGGTATACTCGGGAATGGCAGAGTACACGTTCTCCAGCTCGGGCCGGCCATCACTGAGCGCGTCGCCTTCGACACCGCCGACGGGGTATACGACCTATGCTGGTCGGAATCGCACGATTCGCTCATCGTCGCAGCCATAGCTGATGGCTCTCTTAAGATCTACGACTTGTCCCTGCCCCCGACCGCCAACCCCATCCGATCGCTCCACGAGCACGGCCGCGAGTGTCACGGCGTCGACTTCAATACCGTCCGAAAGGACTCTTTCCTGAGCGCTTCATGGGATGATACTGTGAAATTGTGGACCGTGGATAGGCCAACCAGCGTAAGGACTTTCAAGGAGCACGCTTACTGCGTGTACTCCGTCGTCTGGAACCCTAGGCACGCCGATGTTTTCGCATCAGCTTCCGGCGATTGCACAGCTCGCATTTGGGATGTGCGCGAGCCAGGTCTGATAATCTCACCTCAATTTCGCGTTTATACTATTTGATCTTAAAATGCCTGATATGAATGATAAGTAGCTAGGGTTTTGCAAACCTGATTTGATTGATGAGTGCTTTAACCTTCATGAATAGATAACTCATGTTTATCAGTTCCTTTTGTTTTCTTTTGAATTGTTCATTGAATTTAGTGGAGCTTAGAGGTTTGAAGGAGAAATCTGAATCAATTTGTTGGATCACAGATAAATTTAGTTAATTCAATGCCAATATAAAAACTTGCAAAAAGGTGTTCTTTGCACTGAATGATGGATGATATGCTAATTTCCAGAGCATCATCTCCCTGGATTTAACTGGTTTTGATGTGTTCTACATATGTGATTTTGATGGTTTCGAATCATTTCTTCAGGGTCCACCATGATTCTTCCCGCCCATGAATTTGAAATTCTCTCATGTGACTGGAGCAAATACGACGATTGCATCATTGCAACCGCCTCTGTTGACAAATCAATCAAAGTGTGGGATGTCAGGAATTACAGAGTGCCGTTGGCTGTGCTCAACGGCCATGGTTATGCAGTGAGGAAGGTGAAGTTCTCTCCCCACAGGGGTAGCATGATGGCATCTTGCTCGTATGACATGACCGTACGTTTATGGGATTATATGGTCGAAGATGCCCTTATTGGAAGGTATGATCACCACACGGAATTTGCAGTTGGTGTCGACATGAGTGTGCTTGTTGAGGGTCTTTTGGCGAGCTGCGGATGGGACGAGCTAGTTTACGTCTGGCCACATGGAACAGACCCCAGAGCACCTTGATATTGGTTAGTTCCTGTTTCTTGTTGTTAATTGTATAAAAGACACAGGATCTTATTATCAGCATTTTGCAATCTTTTAGTACTATCTTTTAAACTGAAATAAAACATTGTACTCTTTACACTCCCATTTTCTGAGTCACAATTGAAAGTGCAATGAATCAATGCCAAATTTTAATCATATATGTCAAGTTTCCATGGCTGACCTTCAAGAAGTAGCTGTAGCAGATTGTTGTTTTAATATTTGTACCATTGTGGTGAATTTCTTGCTCCTTGTGCATAAGATTTATAATTGATTTGGTTTCATAAGTACATGTATTTTGCAAGGAAACTCATCATTACAGCTTTCATAGAACCAGGTTCATTCTCACCCCTAAGAATTGTGTCTGATGATTGTCTGTATATTTGCTAGAGAAACAGATACTGCTACAAAACTCCATCCAATTTCACCAGGGCTCATACTCAGTAATTATTCTCGTCACATCATTTGCAATATAAATGTAAGAAAGAAATCAGCGCGGCAAGGTCTCCTCGCATTCTTGTAGGCGCAAGTAAACCTCCTGGCAGCTCGGCCGGTTGTCTGGTTCTGCCCAGCAATCTGCCCACAAACAATGCCAATCAACTAAAGATTCTTACATCAGAAACAACACTGCATAGCCGCACTTCGTCTTTGATTACTTACCTGCAATAAGCTTTGCCAGAGGACCCTCCGGGATTTCGAGCCTCTGGCCATCATTACCGACAGCGTAAACTACCTGGCTCATGACAACACAGAAAAGAAGGAAAGAAAAAGAAGATGAATTTTAGCTCTTGTGGCTGATGAATTCCGACAAGGTTATGTCTGAAAAATCTTACCTGTGCCGAGGGCATCCCTTCCCACGGCCGGCTCAGCGTGCAGAACTCCCACATTATGACCCCAAAGCTGAAAATGTCACACTTCTCTGTGAAAGGCTCGTTGCGGATGAGCTCAGGTGCCATCCATTCAGGTGTTCCGGCCGAGGAAGAATCCTTCATTGGCCGGGTGGTCAGTTTCCGGGAAAGCCCAAAATCGCAAATCTTGACTGTCCAATGTTTGTTCACAAGACAATTCGCACTTTTCAGATCGCGATGGACAATGTTCATCCTATGTATGCTCATCAGTCCCCTGAATATTTTCGACAGCACGAAAGATTAGAAATAACGGCACGAGAACACAATGGAATCCAAGAAATACATCAACCAAATAAACCTCGGGGGCTCAAATTTCGTTACACAGTCATCTATGTCACAAATTCCATCCATTTGCATCGAATTTTCAAGATTAATTTTAGTTCTTACAGTTATTCCAATGTGCCGGTAGTCGTTAAATTTAGAGATTCAATAAATGCACCTGCATATATCACAAAGCATTTTGAGTCTCCGCTGCCAGCTCAGCTTCTTTTTCAGCCCGCTCGCATGGATCAAGTAATACAGCGATCCCATCTCCATGTACTCGGTAACTAGGGACAGGCGAGGGGGCTTTGTACAAGCGCCGAGGAATAAGATAACTGAACAAAACGACAACATGAACTTCCTCAAATATACATTGATAGATGGGACAGCGCATAGATTTGAGAGGAATAGATATATCAGTATTGATTTAGGACAATTTTAAGTAGGAAGACTACCATTTGGGTGTCGAAGGCGGCTGCAGCAGGGGGAACAAAAATAAATTGTTAGGAAACAGAAATGAGCTTTTCTCCATTTGAAAGATGAACTGTAGAATTTTGGACTAATTATGTATATACCTCAAGATTGAAATTTCGTTGCAAAAATCTTCAATATTCTCGACAGTCAGATCTTGTTCCAGAAACACTTTGATCCCGACCTCTAATCCATTCCAAGAGCCGCGAAAAACCTCCCCAAAGAATCCTGTCAACAGAGAAATAAACAGATGGATGGAGTATTTGATGTTAAATGCAAAACCTGCATTATATTTTATTGTACTCTACGAACTTGCACAAATCAACAATGTACACGGGTTTTTTTATAGAATATTATCCAGAAAAAGATCGTAACAGTTTAATTAAATGAATGCAACTCAATGTAACGATGCGCTTCACAAATAGAAAAGGGCATATGCAGGGGATGTATAGAAGTTCTTTAAAATGCTGAATCTTATTCAACATTCTAGATTTCGAGAAATATTTAACAAAGAGAGGCGATCAGGTCAATGATCCAGATTGACGAAAAGGAAACTGTACAGTGATCATGATTCTCTAATTATGAGACAAACTCATGTAAAAACATACCAATTCCTACGCGAGTTCCAATCGTAATCTCTGAAAAATCAATGTTCCATTCTTCATAGGGTAACAACGGCTTGCTCAAGATCTTTGATTCTTCGATCACTTTGTTGAAAGTCGACATCACATCAGAACTCGAAAAAATTTCTGTTTCCTTACTCATTAGAGATGATTGATTGGAAAAATGTTGAGGAGATGAAGGTAATGAAATTGCCTTGTGGGAGTTTATGCGTTTCAAGGGAAAATTGTATGTCGAAGATTTTTGGCCATATACTGGATCATGGCCATCTGTACTGGATCTTGACACCTGGAAATCATACACAAATGGACAAAGTAAAAAGAGAATCCAGAACAAGAGCGCCAGACACGTTATCGTTTTCATGCAAAAAGCAACAAGTGAGTAATTATATGAGAAATCGGGCAGTCGGTAAAGTAAATTGCTTTTACTTTGAATGGCAAACAAACAAATCCAATGATGCTTTGCAAAGTTCTCAACAAAAACAAAAGTTTGAAAACATTGAATCATTCAAACTATCAAAATCTCAACAGATCTTTAAAATGATTGTCATACTATGGAAGCACAAAGATACAACTATTACATAATTAAAGAATTAACGGATGCAACAAGGACGTACAGTGTCTGGAAGATCTAAGCTGTTATCCCTTTCACTAGTTGAACAACTGAGAATTGAATTTGCTTGTTCCTCTGGAGGACGATTTCTCTTGAGAGCTTCACCCATTTCTCGTACAGCCCTTAGGATTAATATCATAACCAAAAATTAACATACTTAACTCAAAAATAACAATTTCCATCCAGATAAAGATAAGTTAGTACAACTACCTAACATATTTGGGAAAAGAATATATCTGCAGTTTTTTACTATGAATGTCCTAAGCCTACAGAAAGCCTAGGGTAACTTCTCTGTCCAATCTCACACGAAAGGATCTCCAACCATCACCACCTCACATTATTCAAGTGAATAGCTAACAAAAGTTGTCCTTCATTAAAAAAAAATGGAAATGTGACACAAACAGACGTGCAAATGAGAGTATTGAAGCAGAAGTGTCAGCTCAGGAGACACTCAGGTGCACAGAAGTGCTGAAGTATGATAGTTTGTCCAAATTTTTCGAATGCATCAAAGAAAGCCCAAATAGGTGTGTAACCATCCTAACTGTGCATAACCAATGTAGTGCAAGATAAACATTAAAGATATTAGGTTACGTGTAGTTTCAGTTTGGGAAGCCATGACCCCAATTCCAGATATAAGAACCAGCTACCCTGGTTATTTCAGCAATATTGAACGAGAGATAAAGGAACAAATCCCACAAACATGGAGGATGAAGCAGCAAAATTGAACAGAAACAGTGGCCACCTTACGATATCATCGCCAATCTCTGGAACCATACTAATACAGCGTCGTCTTCGCCTACGGGATTCTACAGGAGATGCACCAGCAGACCTTCACATTTGAGTTAGGAGCATGAGAAACAAAAAATTGGTCCAAACATATTGCGCAACTTCCACAGAAAACAAAGATATCTAATATTTTGAAGGTTTAATGACACAACATATCTCGAAGGTTTATTTGTGTATATCTAATATTTGCCCAAAATAATATAAATCAAACCAAGATTTCAAGAACTCCCAGCCATTTATGCGTTGGAGAGATCCACACGCCAATAAATGTTTAGCATTATTACAATGCTGGACTGTGGAGTTCAAAAATTCAAGAATTCTTTTACAGTCAACAATCCTGAACAGATAAAGCAAACTGTATAGGTAACAACTAAAACAAATATTCACAACAAATGTTCCAAGAAAAGCACATTGAATTCTTCATGATCCAAATATTAAATGAAGATTTCCTAGCATCATATATATGCTGGCTAGACATTCTTGTAAAAAGATTTATTCAATGATATCAGCAAGCCACATTAAGAGTGATGAAATCTAAAAAGGAAAATCAAAACCTTGAGGCATTAACATCACTAAACTCCTTGAATGAGTGTGTGCGCCCTCCAAGCAAAGATCTTCCATGTCCACGAAATAAAGGGTGCTCAGGACTAAAAGAAGGATCAAAACAAATGGAAGTCAAAAGGGTAAGATTGGAAAATAAAATTCTGAAAATGTATGGAGAAAAGCAGTAAGGCACAATTTAATTTAGGTATACAGATCTCCAAGCAATTCAGATAATTTAAGAACTTGATACAACAGGCTTGACAGAAGAAAATATGGCAAGTTTCAGACCGAAAAAAAAAAAAAAAAAAAAATGAAGTGATGTTTATGACTATATGTTTGCTGCATCTTTATATCTTAAATGTACACTAAGATAAGTAGCTAAATTGAAGTCATTTAGAACCTTCAAAAATCAAAATGCATTGACATGGAAGTGGGAGCAAAAAGGCAAAAACTTTACCACAAAACTTGAGCAGAGAACGCTACAGGAAAGCTAAGAAATCGATTTGTAGTGGCATGGGGGAATAAAATGAACTAAAAGGCTCTCTTACATTAATTTTTAAACTGGTCTATAAGAAAATGGATAAACAATCAGCAAGATAGAGAGAATGAGAGTAAACCCTAAATCAAATATCTTGCAACGTATATGAGCAATAAGCACTTGCCAGACACTGATAGATGCAGACGCATATTCTACAACTCTGAAATTTTCACCAAAAAAAAAATGATATGCTCCCAATGAATCTAGTCAGTCAATTAGTCCTGCTAGAGATGGCATCACATTTGATCAAGAATAACATGTCAGAAAATAGTCTAGTGCAAAATTATGATTGCACATCAGGTTGAGTTCTTATATATATCAATGGCCATATGACGTGTGCCAAAATTGAAATTGAAAATGTAAATGTTATATATATCAATGCCCTAAAAGACGAAAAACTTGCTTTGATAGTCCCCCCATCCTTAACCAGACATTCACCATGAATATGTTATGTCAATGTAATCCTGCATTTATATGATAACTGTTAACAAGAAAAAAAGGAAAAAACCTTGAACTGGCTGTCCTTTGTTCAGATATGACTTTCTTCCTACTACGCCTCCAAAATGAGTTTGCTAAATTTGGTTCTGTGTGCGATAATCTGAAAAGAACAGTTTAGTCGCCTTCCCCAGAAAATTACAATAAACCAAAGGGTAGTAAAATACAGGGAAGCTTTGAGTAATGATACATAATTCATATTTTCCCTCTAAAAGAAAATAAAGTGTGGTACAAAGAACGATGGTAAGAACAGATAGAAGCTGTCCAAACACTTTCTCATAGGTCAAAGAACCTGGCAACGCTTGAAATGAGATTTGGCGTAGCATTTGATTATCATTTTTTCACAAAAGCCTTAGACCAAGTTAGGAGTACAGAAAACGAGTGCTATTTCACAAAATTGAATGTTATAAATATAAATGATAAACGTTCTTACCCTTCAATTTCTGTTCGATCTGAAGGGCCACACATTGGACTATTAGGCTCAATTGGTGAATCATATGAGTCATTTTCAGCAGAATCACTCTCACCAGCAGAGAGATGAGAGAGAAAGACCGCCTTTGCTGAGCATGGCACTAGCTTGCCAGGATTACGGGCAAGATCAACCAAAAGATCGACAGAATTCAAAACAACTATCACCGACACATGCTTATATGCATCTGATCGCTCCACTGCTTCTCCTCTAGGTAAACCCTGAAAAAAGAAGGTGAAAGAAAAGGGACAAACATGAAAATGAGACGCTTCAGACGGCTGTTTTATTTAGAAGCAAATATCAGTTATCACAAGCAGCCTTAGAAGAGGAACACCTGCTATATGATGTTATACATTAGAATTGAATATGTAAGTGTATTGATTATGGCACCTTACCACCATAAGTGTGCTTTCTAGGCCAACAGTATCTGCAAGAACTTTGAATAAAATCGCCCTGGCGTGGCAGGAACCATGCTTTATTTGACCCAACATATGGATACCTTGACTATCTAATGCATTAGAGACCTCCTCAAGTGCGCACTTTACATGATCTAATTCCAACTTTGGTCTTTTGAAGAAATCACAGACCTACAAATAGTACCATCAAATTAATAATATGAATATTGAGATGAATTTGTTATTTTACACCTAATAGTTTTGTAGACCTCCAATACTTGCATTCTTAAAACTACTCATTCCACACATTTTTAAGTCATAACTAAATCATTCCATATAAAAACAGGCTAAAATAATAAATGCATCTTCAAGAAATTTCGAAGCTGTTAGAAAAGAATGAGCATTCATATAAAAACATGCTGAAACAATGAATGCATTTTACAAAGGAATAAAAGTAAGGTTAGTAAGTGTTAAACCTAATCTAAACCGTCCGATAGCCATACTTCACTAGCCAGATAGGCAAAGCCCATTCAACAGAGACACAGGCAGGAAACATCATGGCCACAGAATACGTGAGATTTTCTGATGAGTTCCCAACATCATTCTGCTAAAGATTAAAAATCATTCTAAATCTCATTAGTCAAAATGCCACATGTTTCTCTTTCCCCAGGAAAAATGAAAGTGAGAAAAGAAGAGGGGGTAAGAAATAAATAGGTCCTATTTGACTGGGTACCCCACCGATGAGCCTTTATCGTCACATCTCACCTGGAGAATAATCTTTCAGAGATTTGTAGTTCTTTTGAGTAACTCATTGATGATATCAAACTAGTATCACTCAAGCCATCTAAAGTTCTAAGAACTTTGGATCAGAAATCAATTGTGTCACTATCCTTTTGACCAAAATAGATTATGTGCATGATGAATGTACCACATAATGTGAAAGATTTAATTTAAGGAATACAAGGAGTATGAGGATAACACACCAATCCAGCTAGCTTCTTGACCAACGCAGCAGGATTTGAATTTAAACCCTTCACCAAGGTACTAGCAAGCTGCTTTAACATGGAAAGCTTCTTATCTTTACGCGAATCAACAAGAATGATGCTGGGTTTGAGCCCCTCTGCATCCAAAGCTTGAAGCTCATCTATAGAGGGAATAGTATCAAAAAGCTCCTTAAATCTTCTTTCCTACAAAATATGAAACATTATACAACAACAGAATAGACCTCATATGAACTACACCATAAGTTTTCCACATTTTTAACTAATTTATTTCATCAACAGGAAACTTAGTACAAGTTTATGCCACCAAAAATAAAAGTAGTGCCTTATTTAAGAAAGAGAACAAATCATACGAGTCAGAAAGTTCTTTGTGGGAAATGCGAAACAATTCTTAAATGCTAATATGGAAAAAATAATGCTGTTACCCATCGTGCTGAACATTAACTATCCGAACTGTAATTGTTCACAAAGAGAGTGCACGGTTAACAATAGCTCATAGAACAATAAGCATACATATACTGCTTGGGTAGAAAGAAAATCGTCAGCTCTATGTGGGCAGTTTATTAAGCATAAGGAGCAGTGGAATCCTACAATAGAACCTTCAGTTTCAATATCTTGCTAACAGGGGAGGATTATTCTGAACTCTTAAAAATGTGACGATCAATTTTTAAGAAAGTACAATCAATTAATTCATAAGAAACAATATAATAGATGGTAATCACAAATCCCCAAAAGTTGAGTGGCAGTTCTAGAACTTCATTACTCAATGGGATCCTGCTGCAAAATTTCTGTGAACACACTTACTGGATTGACAAAATAAAAGCCATCAGGAATTGGTTCAGAGAGTTTTCCAGTTTCCCACAAAGTCTTTGATGCTCTTTGAAAATCCGGAATACCAAAGTCTTCTTGACCTCTTGATCTTTCAGAACACGAGGTTGCCTCGGAAGAAACCACAGAAATCAAACGCAGTTTCTCAATAAGACCTGGCCACCACTGTGTATCATGAGGCGGTGCTTCCGCCGCCCTAGTATCATCTCTTGTCTCCTCCATATCTCTTGAATACAAAAAATCAGGATCATGTTTGGCAACTTCTAACATGTATAACAGTCATATCCGAAACAAAACTCTTCGTCAAATTGGATGTTAAACAGCTCCACCTACAATCTGAATACAAAGCACAAAATCCCAAACTTAACAGAGATAGAAGAGTGAGCCTAATTGCAAATTGCAAATTTGCAATTAATGCTTAATTCATCAATATCATTTGTTTTGAAAATTCAAGAAATTGAGTGTATTTCTTTATTTCTCTTTGTTCTTCTTATTACCATAGCTCCCGAAAATCATAAAATACTGTAGAAAAACTCTTTTTAAGGTTTTCCCCAATTTTAACCTACCAATTGTTCAATGACAACGCCGACAAAAAAAACTCCATTCATATACCCAAAAAACAGTACTTCTTAATTTACTTAGAAAACCCGAAATGGCAAAAGCAGGTAGATATAAAACAAGGAGAAGTTACCAAAACAAACTCTTTCACTGGGCAAGTACTTATTCAACTTGTGCGTAATCCACTGGTTATCTGCGAAACAAGAAAACCAATTCAATTCGACTTCTTGATCAAGAATCATTGATTAACTAAGGACGAAAACAAGAATTAAAAGAGGATGGGAAATCCCACTAATTTCTCAAAAAGTCAAATCCCTCAAATCCAGTTCTCGTCGCCCGATTCAATCAGAACCCACCAAATAAAAACCACAAACAAGCAATCAAACAGCACTCATTCGAAAGATTTACCGTCAAGAAACACGAAAGCACTATCGAGAAACCATCCAGCGCGAGGACATGCTGTCATTGCCATTCAATCGAACATAGCATGCCCCAGAAGTAGAATTACCCGCAAGATCCTAAATCTGAGAACGGTTTGGCTCTTTGAAGATATTGCATCTGAATCTGAGTGGCATTACTCTAATTCCACGTTTGCGTCATTTGCATAACTATACAGTTGCTATCGCCAAATAATTATATACCTATATTTTTATTATATAAACGCCAACGACTTTCTTTATACGCGTAGATTCACACTTCTTCCATCACAGCTTTTTCTGTTTTTTTATATTAAATTATTAATTACTCCGAACCCATTTACAATTTCAAATCTTCTTCTTCTGTCTTTATTTTGCCCGAAGTTAGGCCATTGTAGATATTCTGCCATTCTTTTTTGGCCTAATCTCGAACGTTCAAACATTTACTTTGGTCACGTGGGTCATTGACTTTCTCTCTCCGAGGCTCCCTCTTGCCATATATAGTATAAAAAATAGATCTTGTCGCATTAATATGACTTGCAATTTATGAAAATTGGTGGACAAAAATGGTCGATTTCTTGCAATTGAGGATGGTAAATAATTAGATGGATTGGATTAGATTCGTGTTGCGCGTTACTTACGGCCCCATTCGTTCTTAATAACTCTCACATGATTTCGAACGAGTTGAAAAAGCAATTTGCTGTGTGTTCATCGATACGACGTCGTTTGGCCCGCTCTGTGACGTTCAAAACTTCATCGAAAACTGCACCATATCCTTGTGACAGTCAAATGGTCGCCGCCCCCCCGCTTCTCAGCGAGTTTGAATACGGCGGCGCCGGCGGAAGGGAAACTTAGGTGATTATATTGGGCCGGGCCTTCAATAATGGATTGCGTTTGTAGCCCATCAATTAACATACGTCATGGCCCATAATAGATTAATTTTTTTAATTTAAATTTGTACTCCCCGTCCCAAACACCTGCAACATTTCCTTTTTATAGGTCTCAAACATGTAATATTTTCAAAATAAAAAATAATTAATTATATATAATCTCTACTCCACACTTTATCCCCTCACATCATTCAAATAAAATAATAAAATATATATTTCTCTTTCTATCACATCACCTCATTTCTAAATTATCCTATTTAATACTACCCATCTAAAAATTGTGCCAAAAACAAATATTGCATCTTGTTTGAGACAGAGGGAGTAATAAATTATATATATATAAGAATTTGTAAAAATATTATTTAAATATTTATTTATATTATTTTTAGACGTCTTGTAAAATAAAACAATCCGTCTTGTCACCTGTTCAAAAAATAAATTTATTTTTTACATAAAGAAATTATATCACTTTTTATTTTTAAATTATTTTTTATTATAAAAAGCAAAATTACTTATCACATTTTACATGGTGGAGGAAGTATTGTATTATTTTTTTTTTTTTATAACATGAAATCCGCAGCCGTTACTCGAAAGTGCAAGTGCGCACTGAATATTGTATTTTTATTATGAATGCCGTGGTATTGGGAATTGAAATAAATTAAAATCAAGCATTTTTATCAATTTTTCAATTAATATATAAATGAATGTGATGTTTTGTATATATTTTATAGATTATTTTTTGTTGAATTTAAGATTTGAAAATTTCAAAATTATTTTAGTTATAATTTATTTTTCAATTTATTGAAGGTATTCTGTTTTTCTGAAAATTTAATATATGACAAGACAAAAAAAAAAAAACATAAAAAAAAGGACGTTAGAGGTAATATAAAGGATAATAGAAAATGAAAAAGTAACTATAGAAGTAATTTTTTTAAAAAAATGTTAATGTAATATGTCATTACATACACATTCAAAGTAAATAATATTTTTCCGTGTTAATTCAATAATCTTTTTTCATCATTTTTCTCCGTAAAATAATCATATCATTGCAAATTTTTTTATTTTTATTATTATTATACAAATATCATTAACTTCTATATTTAAAAAAAATCTATTAGAACAAAAAATAAAAAATAAAATTAATCTACTTTCTACCGACTATCAGTGTATTCTCAATATTTTTTAAATTTCGTATCTAATAAAATTAAACTATTAACAAAGAGAGCGTGTATATATATTTATATGCAAAAAATAAATTAGGATTTATTCTTCCACAATTTTTCAAAAATATATTTAAAAAAAAATTAAAATATTACCCATTTACTATTTTATTTTACTAAAAAAGTTATCATGTAAAAAATATATAATTATGAATCACCGATGTATTTATTTTATTTATTCCAAGTAAAAAGTAGATTTATTCAACTAATTCTTAATAAACAAAATATATTATTTAAAATATTATACTCCCTTCGTCATTTTATCATGTTAAAAATATTTTTATATTTGTATAATTTTGTGCACAAATGTGATTATATATAAGCATTATAAAATACTAATAGAATCATTTTTGCTATTTTCACTCCATTTGAATTATATTTTGATATACTAATTAATATTCAAAATTCAACCCGGTTTTAACTTTAGAGTAGACCCTTCGAGTATTAAAATACTATCAACCTCTTAATAAGATATATACTTCAAATGAAAAAATATTGTACTTTAATTTATTGATACTGTCAATCTCTTAAATTAATGGAATAATAATTGCACAATATAATGAAATCACTAAACAAATAGTGATTTTTATAAGTTGGTAACAAATCAAAAGCATTGAATTTCCTTAATTATCATATTATCATAATTCATTATGTGGTTGTCCATTGATTAATGCTTAGTTATATTCCATTACATATATTTTATAGAGATGTTCAATAAAATAATTACTAGTAAATTATTAAAAATAATTAAAAATTAGAATCACTCAGCTTTCAGATAATTGAACTGAATAAATAATATATATTATATTAATATATATATATATTTATATTTTTGAAATAATATTTATGAAGAATTATTACTTTAAAAATGTTGAATGAAACAAACTGGTTAATAGTAATAATAAGAATAGATGCTAAAGCTGTGTTTTTTTTGCCTTCAAATCGCAATTTTTTTTTTATTTTGCATTTTCAATATTATATTTATTTTCACAAATATTTATCTTATACTATTTTAATATCATATCTTAATAAAAAAATTTCAAATCAAATTAAAAAAACACATCGAAGAGATTTTATTTGCAGATAGAGCCATAATTAATTAAAAATATTTAAAGCAATTTTCCATCTCTTGGTTCGGATGACCTGAGAACAAAAAAAGAAAGTCGGAAGCTCCAGGGATCCGAACGTCCAATAGATCATCACCGTCCGTGAAAAGGACCCCACTATATGAACGGCAAAGATCGATCCTAACCAAACGCAATAAACGCGGCTGGATTTATAACGGTCGCCAAAGAACCAACTCTGCGTTTTCGTTTCCACATGGCGTAACAAATTGGAAGGAAAAATATTTGCAGGAGTATCAGAATGATGGCGAAATCAAGAATTGGCTCTACCTCAATCTCTAGAATCAGGCCAATCACGTTTCGAAATAATCGTGAGTTCATTCCCGAAGTGTTCGGTACTTCTCGCGACTTAAATTAAATACTACTTATTTACTCCACTCGTGGGAAGAAAAACATCCGAAATCAAACTGCTCAGAACTGCGCGTTTCTCAGGTGCTCGATGAAATGCCCTAATAAATTCGTGTCTGTGTTTTTCAGTTCAATGTTTTTGTGATTTTTGAATTGATGATTTACCTGCCTCCCGTCCATTGATTTCTAAGCAATGTTGTTCACGTTCTCTCTGAATTCAAGTCTGCCCTATATCATCTCAAGTTATTCGCGGTTATGTGTGCGATCAGATTGCTCTTATTGAACTGAAATTTTCTGGATTTCGCATATGACTTGCTCTCAATAGTGAGTGCTTGAAAAATCTGATTTTAGGGTTTTGATTGTTGCTGAAATGTGTTCGTAATCTTCTCATAACTATTCGTAAATATGTAAATATATAGTACTAATTTTACATAATTAAGAACACATTTTTAGCCCCATTAACAAAGAATAGATTCAACAATTCATAAGCATTTGCTGTTTTCAGTAAAGGAAACAAACAAAATAAAATCAGGCAGGCATAATGTTTCCGTTTCCGCTTTGATATCTTCAATTTCGAGACATAATATTCACTTGATTAAGTTTAGTAGAAAATTTTATTTACACTATATTATTGGGATCTTATTCAATTCCATGGTAAATATATAGAAAATGTATATAATCCTATTTATAAATCATAGTCAAGAATACAAACAATCCAATTATAAATTACAGCAAAACAAATACAATCACTTGCATCATATTTTCTCTTCATCTATATGTTGGGGTTGTCTGATTATGTGTGAACATCTTCTTCATCAAGTGTTCTTGGCGCATGTTTATAATTGTTGATTTTACAGTGATATTAGCCAAGGTATCCAATGGAGAGAAGGCAGTTGAATTTAGATGCTCCGATCATCTCTGCGAGGAGACAATCATCGCCAAAGCTCAGAGAGAAAGTGATGATGAAAGATTCATTTCCATGGAAGAAATCTCAAACAGAGAACGCCAAGGTGGTTGTTCCTGGGTCAGTTCCTTTCCATTGGGAGCATTCCCCTGGCAGGCCTAAAGGTCAAGTGGAAAATCCTGGCTACGTATCTGGTGACCATTTGGACAGAAATTTCGATGATCGCAACGACATGCCCTGGCTCCATACCGAGACAAGATTCTCAAGTGATTATGATCTTCTTTCCCAGAAATCCAATGAGAGTTTGAGTTGCAGAGATGTCCAGAATTCAGATGATGAATATTCCAATGGCGATTCAGGGGGCGTAAATTATTTCAGTTCAAGCGTGAAATCTTCTGGATCGTTTACAGCAGACGAACAAACAAGAGATTTAATGATGAGAAGGTTTTTACCTGCAGCCAAGGCTGCTGTTTTGGATGTGCCAGAACATGTTGCTAGGAAGCCACAATTGCAAGTGCTCGATGAACAACCAAAGGTAAGGAAAGAAATTTCCGAGGAGCCAGTGGATTTTCCGCACGAATATGGTCCTGAAAAACGAAGTTCAAGTTCTTATCCATATTCCAGCAAGCTCATAGATCATATGGAAAGCCAAGAAGCTGTGCAAAAATGTGTTGTTCCTTTTAAGAAGACATGGAAATCATGGGGAGCTATTTCTCAATTCGTTGCAAAGAAGTCATTCCGCCTTCTGAAACCACGACTCGGATTCAAACCAAAATCCTCTACTAGTGAAGCTAATGGTGGATTCACAAGGAAGGCGAAAAGCGGACCCCTTAACAAGGTAACGACATTCAAACCTTGTACCTTTCAATTTTTCTGCAGTTGTTTTTATATGCCATTGCTTGGATTATCCATTGCTGAGTGGTATATTTCCATTAATTGCCAATCCTTTGAATCCCTACAGAAGACATTTCCTCAATTTCTCAAGAGAGCTTTTCACTCTAGTTTGCAACCTGGAGAGGTGGTAGAAGTAGAGGATAAGATGAATAAAGAATCCAATCAGTTTTTGGACAGCCTTGATCGACCTATACGTGCCAGAACGTCTCCCCTGAGGCGGTACAGAAGTGGCCCTGTATATCCTCATCGAAATGATTCTCGAATATCTCTATCAAGCGGTTACCAAAGTGCCAATGAATCTCCTAACAGAAACGAGCCTCCAAAGCCTCTATCAAGGGGCTGTCGAAGTGCCAATGCATCTCCTCACCGAAGTGAACTTCCAAAATCTCTGTTAAGGGAATATCAAAGCGAATATGCAAGGTCTCAACTGGTACTACCAAAGTCTTTGCTAAGACCTTATAGAAGTGGCAACCTATCTCCTTCTCAAAATAATGAGCATCTTTGGAGGGCTGCCATATCCGAGGAAGCCGAGAACCAAAATGCTGACAAGATTGCTCAGCTGCAGGAACTGTATAAATCAGATGCATGGAGGAATCAGAGGTGCGAAAGACGACGAGTGTCATCAGTTCTGCTGGCTGATAATGCTAAGGAGAAAACACTTTATGTGGATACTATAAATCTTCCCATGCCAAAGTCTTATAGAAAGCCTGGTGGAAGCAGGACGATGAAACAGAAAAATGATGTCCAATACGACTCATCCCCGAATGTCTCAGACTCTGAAGAAGATGAAAAAATGGGCTTTCGATATAGACTCACAGACAGAGTTCTACTTTCTCCGCGTACTTTTCCCAGTCCCAGTCGGCCCTTCAGAACATTGGAATGCATTTCTGAAGAAAACCAAGCTTACCAGACTAAAAGGGACTTGGAAAGATACCACAGAGGAGCATCCAATGAAGATGATGATCATATCAAGGCTCATGCACCTCCACCATTGCCTAAAACACCTTCCCAATCTTGGCTATCTCGTGCCTCGCAGTCTGTAGCAAGCGGTAACGTCTCGCCTCTGTCGCGACGCACCATTTTCGCTAAGACGGAGCAGAAAGGTTCAGTCTTTTATCATCAATGGAATTCTGCAGTAACTTGATTTTAATTGCAATTGTCTTCACTCTATTGTTCGTTACTTGTCCTGTTTCTAATGCTTTCCAACATTTCCAGGAGCTGGCGACAGTGATACCAACACATCAACAAAATGAAGTGTAAATCTGGTGTAAGTTTATGATCAATCGATCCCCACAATGCCTGCCTGTCTGCATTTATTGAAGCTATGGATTTGCCTCTGGTTTCTTGTTTGTCATACAGAAAAGAACTGTTCTTGATGGACTATAATAACTTCGTTGCTTCATATAATACTTATGGACTCAAATCCTAAATAAGAATTTCTTGTATTTATAACTATATGGTGTTTCTTTGTTACAGTTACATGTCCACTTCATAATCAATTTTTGCAGATTGACGAAAGACCTGGGCTGGGAACAAGAATCTGCTCTTGTTGTCAGATCATCTCAGTATCAACGTAAGCCCAATACAGAAATCTTATATTTACATGAAATTTTAGTACAAAATTGTGAATCATGATGATGGCTTTTGTGGTATATTGGTCAGAGGTTAGGTAGTTGTCTTTACTTGTGCAGTCTTAATCACATTGAAAGCTCAATTAATCTTATTTATTTATGGGGTCAAGCTAATAATGATATATAATTGCAACACAATTATAAATTATAGATTGATGTGTAACCTTCCACCATTACTAAATTACTGATTTTCTTTTCATATGAAATCTAGCTATACGCATATGTGGTTGGATTAATTAAGATAATTTATGCATGCAGGTATACCTAACCACCCAACATATATCTCTATATTTTTTTGAACAGTAATAATAAGAAATGTTTTGTTAAATCGATCAGATTCCTTGAGCAAAAATACTGTAAGAATACTCTTAATTTTCATGCTTATATAGATATGGCATATATCAACTTGTCTGGAATATGTTTCTTGAATTTCTGCTTCTATTTGTTGCTTGTGAAATTGGCTAGTGTAGTTTATATGGCTCAAATTTGGGCTATGCTAATATTAATATATTTATATATGTATATGTGAACTAATATAAATCTGCATTACAACATAAATATATATAGATATTTAACTTATATTATTATATAGAATAAGTGAACATATATCAAATTCGGTGTGTTTAATCACACATCATTTCCATTTCTGGAAATATCATCATACCAAAAAGTAACCCTTAATTCTTCATCATCCTTACACTGGCTTAATCCACACAACACCACACACACACACACAAATATATATATTATATATATATATATATATCCAGTACGTATATATGAGTTCATATGTTAGCAAAAAAATTTGAATTGTCCTATATTTAATATGCACATGGCAAGCATGGGTTCAGCAAAAACCCCTTAACAAAACGCCAAACTGTCATGTGTGTATGTATATATGTATAGTATAAAATGCATAGCGTATATATACGTACAATGATCATTAACTGTGTGTATAATGTATGTAGTTAAAGAAGGTTTGTCTGTCTGTCTCTCTCTCTCTCCTAAAAGGGCTGAGTACTTACAAGATCTCACTCCTATGCTCTCAAGCATACACGGTCAGATCTCAAGTACTCAGCCTGCCTCCATCTCTGAAATTATATATATATATATAAATCTAATAATGTGTATGCCTGTGGTATCAATCACAGATTATAATTATATATATATATATACTGGTGTATGTAGAAAATATGGTAATTTGGTGGGGTAGGTGTCTGTCTAGGTTGCAGCTCCTGATGAATGTGGAGCACTCAAAGCAAGAGAAAGCTGTGTGTTGATGTCTGATTCCCCACCTTTGCTGCAGCATCCCTTCTGATAATGTTCATTGCCATTTAAGCTCAGGCTAAGCTGTAAATCATGACCAGAAAACCAGCTTTGTTCTTTACCCTGAATTTGGATGTTTCTCTTATCCTCATTCATCTGTATATATATATACATATATATATATATGTATGAGTATAATTATAAAAACATTTAGTACTTGAAAATTAAAAAAAGCATTAGAACCTGTAGCCTTAAGGAGTGGTCGAGATTGATCAGTGGCTTAGGGTTATTATGAGGTGTGATGCTGGATTTCATCATTGTTTGCTGGTTGGTGTCAATGGACATTCTCCAGCGAGACAAGTTCTGTGACCAAATGTTTGAGGTTTGGAATTCTCTTCGCTTAGGTAATTGGTTTTGTTGGATCATTGTTTGTCGCGGTGGCCACCGTCTTTCTTCAAGAAATTGGGCCGGCCTGACCGGATAGCCTTCTGGCATGGCGGCATTAGTAGTACGCATAGGATTGGACAGCTTCGCCATGGCTGAATGCGAAGTTAGCCCGGAATCAAGCCTCATTTTGGCTTCTTGATGAGGTGAAATTTTTTGCTGATATCTATATATAGACATATACATTTTATCAAAATCTAAATAGGTTAAATAGATTGTTGTTGTTGATGAAGAAATTAATTTACCTGGATAGTATAGATTTTGTGGAGTTGAATGGGGTTTGTGGGAAGTTGAGTGTCCGATCATCATGATTCGAATTCCTGGCCAAAACAATCCCACCATTTTCTACTCTTAGCTGATGAAAAGGGCTGCTGCATTTGCTGTGATGATGATGATGATGATGGTGATGATGAGCACTTCCATAAAGGTGGTTTCTCCCTTGGACATAAATCCTATTCCCTTGTCCTATTACTGCAATTAATACTTCTGATTTATGTCACATTGGAGTTATAAAAACATAGTATTATTTCTATATATATATGAATATATAACATAATTGTTCTTGAAACCAACAATGTGATTTACCTTTGCCAGATTCATCCAGTTTCTTACTTCTATACATCTGCACAAGGAGCAGATCATGTGAACCAAGAAAAGAAGAAAAGGAAAAGAAAACCCTAATCAAGAACCCTAATTTTTTCTGTACCTGTAAGTGACTTTTGACATGAGAAATGCTGAGTCCTCTAACATCCATGAGCTGAAGAACTGCTTTGGGAGTTGCTCCTGGGAAATGCACATCCATTTGACACACCATTACATTACTGAAATTAAATCAAATGTTGTAGTGATGATCATCAATTCATTACTTATATATCATTATTGCTTACTTTCTTGTCCACCTAATCTTTCAATGGCATGAACAAATGAAAGATGGAGATCAGGAGTCCACCTCAGCCTCGGCATTTTCGACCTGATATACTGTCTGACTGTGTTCTTCTTCTCCTGATTCCCTTGCTCTCCTGACTTTGAGCTATCCCCCGATCTCGTTAATTCGCCGTCGCCGGATGACATGTCATTATTGTTATTCATTGGATCACAAATCAAGTGATTGCTGTCTGCTTCTTCATTCAGATCAATCGATGAATTCTCTGAGGAATCATCTTGTAACATGTTGTCTGCACCTTCCTCTCCAATATAATTATGGCCTCCATTAATCATTTCTTCATCAGCCATTGCTTGTTTTGTTTATATGTGCTTTTAATGGTTGCTCTATGAATATGTTGTCTTATAGTCTCCCTTTGTAGTCATCACACAGTTTTGATTCTGGGAATTCCTGCAGGTCTCAATAAATAAAAGAATCAAATAAAATTCAAATCCAACGTTTAATATTATTCCTCACCACTTGATGAAATAGTAAAACTACAGAAATTCGGAGGAAGAAAACAGTAACAGTGACTGCTGAAACAGTATTTTAAAGGATATTGGTTGAGTTAACTAAACACATATATAAAAAGAATTAATGCCATCCACATAGAAAACATTGAATATCATTTAGGGGGATTTAAAAGAAAGCAAGTTATTTATTGTTAATTAAACTCAAAGTCCCAACCATTTTTAAACCACTGAATGTTCAAGAAATGCAGGTTTCAATTACTCTACGTGGGTTTCTGCAGTTGATCCTAAATAACTGACACCCCTTGCAAGCCATTATGATATATAAAAAGGTGATATTTTTTTTCTTTTTTTTTTTAAGAAAAAAGAAACATTGATTGTGTTGAAATCTGGCACCACATTCAAAGCTACTCCACGAATTGATTCAAGAACTCCCAATGGACAGATTTTGGGAGGGTAGATTTTGGGAGGGTATGAACAGCGTCATGAATTATGAATTGTAGACTTGACTTGGTGTAGACGAGGGTTTTTTTCCCCCTTTTTTTATGGGCAAAAATCAAAGAGGAACTTGATGAGAGAGATTGATTATTTTCACCTCAAAAAAGGCAAAAACAAACATGAAATTGTGGTAGAAAATTTAGGAGATATTATCAAGGAAAAAGATTGAAGGTTCTGTAACAAGATTATTTTGGTCTCAAAAAAAAAAAAAAAAAGGGAAAAGAGATCGACGAGTTGTGGAATTGTCATTTTTCGATTAATTAAAGTCAAAGAATTTTATGATACACGATTTTGGTTCCTAATTATGGCAATTATTTTCGCAAATAGTGAGATATAGCCAAAAGCTGCACGAAGAAAAACCCTAAAAAAAGATGATCAAAAGTGTACCAAAAAGGATGGCAGAAATCATGTACATGATCTGTTCATTTCGCATCCTAAAATATGAAATGATTAGCATACTTAGCTCTCAAAAGACATAAAAAGATTATCAAAAGTGTACCAAAAAGGGTCGAATTAAAAGCCTTTTGTGTTTCGAAAAAACTGGGAAAAAATAAATCAGGCCCAACTGCAGACCAGGCTACTTTCTGATCAATACAGCTTGAAGATCGATGATCGATTTAATCATCAGTAAAGAGTAGAATCAAAGTGGGAGCGAAATCCAAGTCTCAAGATCGTTTTAGTGTGAGTGAAATTCACTGAAAATTTCTTGAAAAAAACAAAGGGTTTTCATTTGTGTACAAAACAGCATAAAATTACTTCGGCAGAGATACAAACCCAGAGGATATATACTGATGAAGCTCTTCCAATATATTATTCTTGAAGCTCTCTTCAGATCTGATTCGATCAATCCTCAGATTCTAACATCTGTATGGGACGACGAGGATAGCTGTGTGCTGTTTCCTTGCAGCCTCTGATGATGATCGATCAAACTAATTAAAATCCGTTGATCATATGTATATATACTTTTCAAGAAATCGGTGATGGATGAAGAAATTCTGACAAAGTTAGACACAGAAGGAAGAAGAAAAAAAAAGCAGAAGAAGAAGAAGAAGAAGAAGAAGAAGAAGAAGAAAGAAGTGTTGAGTACTCTTATGGTTTGTGGATGTTGAGAGGTATAAGTTTCATTCAACAATGGAATTAAATTCCAAGAGGCGATTATTCGTCAGAATTTCTGGATTTTTACCGAGACTTTCATGCAACATGTTGTAATTAAATTTCTTTGTTGAGAGAAAATAAAATAAAATATTATTGTAAAAAAGAAAAGGGGGGACTATAGATGAAAAAATTGCAACGAGTCTCAGACAATATAATCGACTAGTTGTCTTGTGTAATATAATGCAATAATTCTTGCATTATAGATACAGATGAGGTCTGGCCCCATTGGCTGTTGAATATCATGTGACTTCCCTAAAACAATCCCCCCTTTTTCTCTTCTTTTAAAACCCCTCTTTCCCTTTGACAGTTGTCTCTCTCTCTCTCTCTCTCTCTCTCTCTCTCTCTCTCTCTCTCTCACATGTGATTATCTTAATTGTTGACTTAATTAGCTCGAACGAACACATTTTTATTTAACTTTTAATAATGGGTTTTCATGATTAGCTATCATATACAAATTTGTACATTTTTTTTTCTATGATTGTATTTGTATGTATGTATATATATATGTGGGTGTTTTTATTTCCAAGAAATGGTATTGAAAAGGGGTTCCCTGTCAACCTTCTTATCCTACCTAAACCAAGACTTTTTATTTGCTCTTCATTCACCATTCACCAATATTAAATAAATATATATATATATATATTCATCAATCCATCTATATATGTATATAATGTGAATTCGACTTGATTATTTTTCAGTTCGCCACGACTTTATTTACATTATGGTACTTAATTGTTGACAACTCAAAGTGCCACCAATTTTTCTGGTGTCATTTAATTTCAAGAATGAACTTTTATGTGTATATATATATGGGGAATTGAATTTCATCCATGCGTTGTGGATGGAATCTCAAGATTAATTAATTAATTGCATATATATATATATATATAAATATGTACTTGGTCAATTTTGGTGGGAATTTTTTGTTTTCAAATTTGGACCCGATCGAGATCGACTCGACCTTTTCTTGTACGTTAACTAATTGTCTTATTCTTGTGTATGTTGAACGAGTAATAATTAATTTTGTCCCAATATATACCAATCTTTTGATTATACATGCCACTCCCATTAGGGTTTCTCACACGTGTCAAAGAATTATAAGCCCAATAAAATTAATTAATACATTACAATAGGCAAAACTGCAAAAGGTGATGATCTCACAATCACATCAAGATGATGACAATATTCTTGAATATATATAAATATCATTGGACGAATTTCATTCACTGAATTAAAATTTTCATCTTTTGGAAGATGAAAGGTGAGTGTTATTATTCAAAGAAGTTGTTGACACTAAATGATACTCTCAACTGCCCCTTCTTGAGTTGTCATGCACGTACATATATATATATATATATATACTTAACTTACATATATATATATATAGAGAGAGAGAGAGAGAGGAGGTTGAAAGGGTTTAGGAGGAATGGGAGACAGACATCCACAAAACCCTTTTATTTTAATGGCAGAATTCAGACAGGATTCTGAAATTAGATGCTTGTCAGAATATATATATATATATATATATATATGTATTGATTGATTGATTGCCATAATAAGGCCTTTGTCTTCTCGTGTGCATGGAGAGTTGACATTCTTTAAGTTTTGGTCGTCCGTTCTCATATACTGATATTCTTATAAATTGTCAAGGATGTGGACATTCAACCTAGCACCCAAGAAAGATAAAAATATAAAACAAAAACACATTATTAAAAAAAATAATAATAATAATACTAATTATAAATACGAGAATTAGTTATATACTTGTATCATAGTATTCTTAATAAAGATGGTTAGGGTTCCCATTGATCATACTAAATCAAATCAATTTTGTGCTTATTAGCTTTCATCAGCACTTGATAATATTATTAATTTATATATCATATAGTTGAAATTAAAACTACCATCTACTATATACTACTACAGATTATTACATATCGTTTCTTAATTATTACCATATAGTGTTATATATTAATTTGCATGTTGTAGCGAGATCGATTAAATTATTAGAGTAATCAGCATTCTAACCGTCACCATTCTTAATATTTGCAAGTAATTACATGGTATTGTATCCATGGTTATGAAAGAATAATTGTGGTGTCTTTTCATACATATATATGAGAGTATGTATTCATCGATCATCAAGCTGCATGGCTAACAAGAAGGGGCATTAGTTACGATTATTGGTATTAGTTATTTGCATTATAATGTAATGATTGGTGGGAGAAAGCATGGAGCAATAATAGCAATGATTAATTAATTAATTAATTGGCTAAATTTTGACTTGAAGTCGAAAACTTAAATAATTGCAAGTGTGTTCATATTTCTATAAAGGAGGCCATTCAATTATTTGGACGTGGAAACCTGCACGACACTCACGACAAACTACCCTTTCTATGATACATAAATATATATATATATATATTATTTATTTATTTATTTATTATCATTATTATTATTATTATTATTATTATTATTATTAATTAATTAATTAATTAATAATACTCGTCCCAGCCCCTACTCTGCATGTTTTAATTCTACACTACAACATATACATACAAAATATATATATATATAGAGAGAGAGAGAGAGAGAGGAAGAGAGAGAGAATACTTTTAAGTAGTCAACATGCACCGGCCTACATACGGCATACGAATCCGTATGAAATATGTAGTTACTACTATTATTTAAATAAATAAATATATATATATATATATTTGAGTGTTAATATTAAAATGGCCTATTTCTTATGGCTCTAAATATATATAGGGCGATTCTCCAATCCAATTAATTATAATTTATAACATCTGTTGTCTAAATAATTTTTATTTTATTTTTTCAAATACAAATATCATATATTTTATTAAGAAATTGTGACGAATATACATAATAAGGAAATAAGTAAAAAAAAAAAAATTAAGTAAAGATAGTCACACTTCTTTAAAATTTTGCTAGGGAAAATATTCATAGTTTACTCCTATTTTTTAATTTAAAATTTATTATTTTTTAAAAAATAATTTAAATTTTTATTTAATACATTACAAAATAAACTATATGCGCAAGTGAGTGGACAAATGAACTTATATATATATATATATGTAAATTTATTATTTATAATATCTTATTCTTAATAAGACAAATTTATCAAATGGTTAATCAAATTTCAAATGTCGGTCTGCCCTTCATTTTCATCAATATTTTAATATATATATATATATATATATTACTTTGACCATTCTCAATCAATTGATAGATATACATTCAATACATATCATTCCTCTCCCTTCCCTCTTTATAATTGAGAAAATTGTTACTTTTGAGCAATATTTTAAGTTACAAACATTTTATATTTATTTTTTTCCAAAATCTTCGGCTCGGTTTAGTTATTTTTGAAATTTGAACAATTTTAAAATAGTAAAAATTTGAATATTTAATTTAATTTTTCACATTCAATATAATATTTTTAAAAAAATTATTGTTGATAAGTATTAATTATTTACTTCATGATTTGGTGCATAGATATATATATAAATAGTTACTAATGTATTCTTTTTATATTATTTTTACTAAAAATAAATAAATAAAATAATTTGACCAGCAAAATTGAAGAAGCATGTCATAAGTCGCATCAAGTAATTTGAACATCATGTTATAGCTTTCAAAATGTTGAAAATTTGTCTAGAGATACACATAATATTGAATAATATTACTATTGATTAAGATGGAGTACTATATATTTTCATTATTATCAAAATCAGATTATTTGAGTAATATGTCCAGAGGAATTAAATAATTAAATACTTTCTTTAAGTAATATTTTCTATTCACACCGATGATAGAAAATTGAAAATTACAAAATCAACGATAAATTTAAAATTTTGTGTTTATTTTAGGATTTTTAACTACAGTTGCGATTCTTCATTATTTATTTGGTTTTTTTTATTTATTTCAAGGGTCTATTAATTTGTGCAATTTAGTGGTTGATTTTTTTAATTTTTAGTTTTTCCTATAAGTTGATTGTTCACCTGCAACTATTATTGCTACATCAATTACAATAATGAGTTACTTTAATCAAAACGACAATGGCCAGTGTCGTAATGGGCCTCTAATTTTCTTTAAATATAACAGAGGCCCAATTAAAAACAGAAGCCCTAAATGTGAGCCCAAAAATGAGTCCATTAGCCCACTTGTGCAGGAAACGAGATTCAAATGGCGATCAGAGTCCGAAATGGAGGGATGGTGGGCGGGAAGGAGGGGAGGGAAGAAGTGAGAGAGGGAAGGAGTCTAGAATGGAAAAGTGCTTCCGAAAAGATAGGATGGGGAGAGGGCTGCGCCATCGATCGTTGGGGAAAGATTTACCGGCGGTTGACTCTTGTCGGTTTTTTTTTTTTTTTTTTTTACACTATCTTCGTCAGGCCGGAGACACCCGAACGAGGTTTTAGCACCATTTCATTCGTCCATTTTAGGACGATTACTTGAATCTTATTTTGAGAAAGAGGGCAAAATTATTACTGGAATGGAAATTATCGAGAAAGGAAAAAATTGTTTTGCAAGACGATGGTGGTGGAGCTTGAGGGTGTCAATGAGAGGGTGAAGGGGAAAACATTTTATTTTCTTAGAGAGAGAAAAAAACGAGGGGGGGAAGAGAGAGAGTGCGAGTTTTCTTTCCCCATTTTCCCTCTTTCAGAGAGAGGTGGTCGAGGAGAGTCTTAACCTCTGAGATCATCCTGAGAAGGGAAGTCAAGAAAAATGTCGCAGAAATTTTTCTGGGCTATTTCAACATATTAAAAATCATTGCTTTTATTTATTTAGTTTTTCATTTTTATATTAACAATCTTCTTATTTCGATCACCATTTTCCCACCTATCAATTCGTATTCTTGTTCAAAACCTTCGACTTTTTTCGGCCCTCTGCATTTTCTTTGAACCAGTCTGCATATACAATCTGTCGGAGGGTTGTGAATTCGCATTCTTTTCCTACATTGAGAAGGCAACTGAAGAATTCTTGTCCCTCCTTCAATTCTGGTGGGCTTTCTCTGCATGTCTTTATTTGCCCTTTTGCTTTTTCTTCGGTTCCTTGTTCCCAAGGTTATCCTTCAAGGACCTTTCCTTTTAAAAATGTAAAATAGAAGTTAATGCATTTCTTTTTGTCCTTTGAATTGGGGTTCTATAGAGGTTTGTGGAATAAGTTCGTTTTTTAGTTGCTTCGTTCCTGTTCAAAGATATGGTTCTTTGATTTTGTGTATACATGCGCCTAAATGTATTTGTAATTGATGTATCCCTTGTTTCATTTTTCAGCTCAAGGTGGAATCTTTTGGGATAATTGATTCAACCGGGTTGTGCAGTTTTCTGTAAGAAGGTTATAGCACTATTTAACCTGGTTGAAGATGAGATGTTCAAGATGCTAACATAGATTCTTTTACTTGCTATCTAATTTCTGCTTGGGAGGAGGTTTCTATATGTACAGTTGTATTAGTTTTGTGAGCTGAAGAGTTGGTGATGTGCTGGATCATTTGTATGTTTATTGAACAAGTCTTCATTTCTCGGAGGGGTGTTATTCGGTGAAAAACTGGCGAATGTATTATTCCTTTTATAGAGTCTGGTTGTTGGCAGAAACTGCCTCCACCACTCTGAGCAAGCAATGGGGGAGAAATGGACTGCTTATGGATTGCAGTTGTTTTGTTTAATGTTTTCGATACTAGTTTTTAAAGTTCATGGATGCTGCACGCTCAATTCTGAAGGTAATGTGGCTTTGTTAACCCTAAAAGTTCAGCTTTTAGTAAGTCTTTAACATGTTGTGGAAGCAGTTTACTTAATTGAAAAATAAATGTAGGATTGGCACTATTTCAATTTCGATCAAAGGTTGAGGCTGATCCATTTGGAGCTTTTGCCAATTGGAATCCGAATGACTGTGACCCTTGCATGTGGTCAGGCATTGAGTGCTTGGACGGCCAAGTGGTTACGCTGTATGTCTCCATTCTTTGATTTGTCTTGTCCAATTTCAAATAGGACAGCGCTTCTCTGCTTCCCCTAGTCCCATGGAAACCAAAACAACACAATTATCCTTCCTGTTTTTGAAAATGCTGGATCCCTTGCCTAAAGTGATGTTTGTGAAATGCTCCAATACTGATGAAGAAAGTCGTAAATTACTTGCTTCATAAGGTTTTATGTTTTACACAGAAATCAAAGTGGACTTGATTTAGAGGGAGTTTTGGCACCAGAACTTGGAAATCTTATGCATCTAAGAATTCTGTGAGTATCAGCTCTGTTTCTGTATAAGATTTAACTTAAAAAATATGGTAGTTCCTGCATCTGAGACTCGTCTTATTGAGACTAGAACTCATAGGGAAGAAGATCGATTTATGGATGGAATCAAATATGCAGTATTTACAGTCCCCTACTCGCCTTTCAAACTTGATTCACATTGACTTAGAAGATTATTATATTTTTGTCTCTAGTTATATGATTTCTTCAAACGTGTATATATACATGTATATTTTATGTTGTTTTGTAGCAACTTGTACTAAAACATCTAATTAGAAGAAGCTCTTAACGAGGAAGAAACCTTTTAACACTTTACTTGGTTTTTTCTGGACGAAACTCTTCTGTCTTCTCTATTTCTGAGGAGATAATTTCTCAAATAGTTGTGTCTTCTGATTATCTTAATGTTTGTATGCAGACGTCTATGTTTTAGTCTTATAAACAACTGAGTTTGCGCCCACATTTTTTTAATTGAGGCATTGACATATGATTTATATTTTTTGGTCTTTACAAGTTATATTTGCTGAATATGATATTTTTAACCTTCCTAATTCTACATCTGACTGGACTAGAATTATGACCTTGTACTGTAAATTATCCTTTTTATATTCCTTTTGCTTTTATATTTCTTTTGTAAATATGGTTGCTTAAAGTCTTATGATTATCTCATAAGGGACCTGTCAAAGAACCATCTTTCTGGAACCATACCTCCAGAGTTTGGACGCCTTTTGACACTGGAGGTTTTGGACTTGAGGGATAATTACCTGAGTGGAACCGTGCCTACTGAAATAGGAAGACTGCATTCGCTGAAGCGCTTGTAAGTGTTAGTATTTTGTGATTTTGGGGTAAGTTTATATAGCTGAATAATATAATATCTGCTGCACTAATTTTCTTCTCTAAATCTAGGCTGCTCTGCAATAACCAATTTGAAGGTAGCATTCCTGTGGAGGTTGGAAAGTTGAGTTTGCTATCTGATTTCCAGTTTGATGGCATCCTTTCAACTGCTTCTGCTGTTAGACTTCGCTTCTTCAATAGAAAATTTGGGCATTTGTAAGATACTCCTAACTTCACTATATATATATATATATTTCCTCCGCTAATTTGTGTCAAAATTATGCCGTTTATGATAATCCCCAGTTTTCTGTCACTGCTTGATGTTTTCAGTGATTAATTGGTCCTGTAGATGTATAAATTAATATGGCATGTGACCTCATATCAGTATATTGCTATATCAATGGATATGTCTTGTAGTTAAAAACCATATGGTACACTCACAATCGAGAGACTCTGGATTGGTTTTTCTTATATATCTCATCTCTCTTTTCTTAGTACCGGCTTTGTCCACAAAAAATCAATTTTTTTTTTTTGCTTTCATTTTAATAAATGTAGTTTTTCATGACTATGTTGCATCATACTTGTTCTCTGTACCTTTCTTTATGCTAATTATTCTTTTTCACATTTTGATCAGCACCTCATGTTTCAAGACTTGCTGAAAAGCACCAAGACATTTTCCATTTGTTGATTTTTTCTTGTTTTTGTACTTTGTTATATAATATGTGCAGCATCTGGCCGAGTTTTGTAAAACCATCGAAGAAAACAGATTCATTCAAGTCACTACTAACATGGAGGTTCACAGATTACCTTGATCTGCTCCCCAAGTAAGCAACGACTGTTTCATCCCTTTGTTGTGATGAGTGTTGTAATTGTATATTAGCCATGAAAGTGTACAACCTCTTCTAAAGGTTCATGCTGAGAAATGATTCTTCACAAGAATGTGCTGGTAATTGCTGCATCAATGAAGCAGGTTAGCCATCAAACTTGTGTTTACATATCTCAAATTCATGATCCCCGATGAAGTGAGACTTAGGCAAGCAAATGCAATTTTATTTATTTGGCTACATATGCCGGAGCCAGGTGCCAACACGTGTAAGGAGCAAGCAAATAATGTTCGTCGCGTGTTAGTTGAACAGCCTGCAAACCTTGCGGCTCTCCCTGCCAACCTTAAAGGGGCTCCAATCCCAAATGAAACTGCCCCTCCTCTTCCAAGCAGAAGCAGTGGTTCATTTCCTGCTATCCCAAATAAGAAGCTGGCTCCTGCCCCTGCACCCTCATCTACTTCTGGTCATGAGAGTAGCCTTCATGAGCCTCCTAGTCCAGCTGTTGCCAGCCAGTCGAATAATGAGGCATCACGTGGAAGCTCTGGCAGTTCACTGACGCTTATAATATTAATATCCATTGCAGTTTTGTTGCTCATTGTTGCAGCAGTTGTACTATTCGTCTGCAGAAGGAAAGCAAAAACCATTCGCCCTTGGAAGACTGGATTGAGCGGGCAACTGCAGAAGGCCTTTGTTACAGGTATACTTTGCATATGAAGTATGTCAAACACTGATGTTCATGAAATTCTGTTTACTTGAAAGAGATATATAGAAAAATCTGAATGTTGGATTTGGGAATTACCGTCAAGAATTTGAATTAAACTCAACCATCGTGAAAAAAGAAACACTGCCTTAAAATTTTGTTCTAGAAGTGTCTAAAAATCTGCTTATAAGTGAGTTGAATCTTTAAGCTTTGAATTGTTTCTCCTCTCCTTGTAAAATTATTTTATTTGTATGTGTGCTGCATACCTTTCTTATGATCTAATCTGTAGGCGTCCCGAAATTGAATCGATCTGAGCTAGAAACTGCATGTGAGGATTTCAGCAACATCGTGTATACTAAAGAGGGCGTGGCCACTTTGTTCAAGGGAACTCTATCAAGTGGAGTGGAGATTGCCGTTGGAACAACTGCCATAGCATCCAAAAACACATGGTCGAAGCGTGCTGAAATAGCATTCAGAAAAGAGGTTTGATGATTTTCTGTCACAGGAGGTTATCATTCTGTACCCTGTCAGAATCTCCAACTAATTTCAAAATTATTTGCTCACTCTCATTACCATCACAGATTGATAGTTTGTCCAGAGTGAATCATAAGAATTTTAGCAATCTCATCGGGTACTGCTGCGAAGATGAACCATTCACAAGGATGATGGTTTTCGAGTACGCTCCCAATGGCTCTCTATTTGAACGCTTGCATGGTAAGTTTTGTTCGGTACACCTTTTAAGGAAAAACTGCATCAATGTGAGTATTTTTGTGTTTGTCAGTTGTAGACATCGAACACCTCGACTGGAATGCAAGGATGAGGGTTATCATGGGAGTCGCCTATTGCCTTCAGCACTTGCATGGTCTTAATCCACCATTGGCACATCTCAACTTGAATTCCAATGAAGTATTTTTGACGGATGATCATGCAGCGAAAGTAAGTTTCTTTCTCCACACACGCCATCGAATACAGTTTACACCGAAATAGTTATTCCTTTCTGCAGATTGCAGATGTCAGTTTCTGGGAAAAACTCGTATCCACCTCGAAGAGTCACACAGAAAATGATACGGGCCACTCCGGATTGCCTCCACATTCCGATGTTGAAACAAACATCCACAGTTTCGGGATCTTGATGTTGGAGGTCATATCTGGAAGGCTGCCTTATTCAGAAGAACAAGGCAATATCTTAGATTGGGTATCTATTTTCTCTATGCTTCACCATGTTTTACTTTTACTGACATTCAAAAATTACCTATACAAAACATTTTGGCGAAAATTTTATAATTAAGATTGTACAAACCATTGTCAGGCGAATTCTTATATTCATGACAAGAAGATAATCAACCAGTTGATAGATCCAACATTGGAGTCATTCAACGACGACCAACTTGATGCTGTGTGCGAAGCAATCCGAGAATGTACTAAAAAGGATTTGAGGGAACGGCCTTGTATGAGTGAAGTTATTCTTAAATTGAAACAAGGTCTTGATATATCACCGGAGGTTGCATGTCCCCGACTTTCTCCCCTTTGGTGGGCTGAACTAGAGATTTTGTCTTCAGAAGCGACATGATGGCAAAATTCTATGCCCTTTGTACTAACATTTGGATCCAGACTTTCTTAATTTGCAATTACACATTACTTTTATTGTCGATCTTAGAGTTCATAAATGTATATATATATATGTATATGTATATATGCATGTGTGTTATGTGTGTTCTTGAGCGATGCTTTGTTGTGTCACAAAGGAGGCCAAACATGGACAGTCTTTGTAAGAATTGACTCTCATTTAATCTCTCCAATATGCTGTTGATATTTATTATCTCACATATCACAATAAACGATTTAATTATTATGCAGTTATTTTTTTTATTAGTAATATAATTTTTTTTTTTTTTTTTTTTAGACTTCATAACAAATCAATATTAGGTCACGTGATGGGAAAACTATAAGATAGATATAAATGATATTTGTTCAACTGGAAGTGTGTAGAAAAAATCAGTCCTTGTGGCTGACTGTGAGTACCACTGCCAACCAAAATACATGTATCTATCTATAATCAATTCCGATGCTAGTCACAATATTCGATGACGACCTCATCCTTGCATAACAAATGAAGTTGTCTGAAAGTGGAAAAATAATAGAAAAAAAAAAGATCAATCAATCTTAGCTATAATGCATGATTCATAAGAAGAAAACCTATTTCAAATTCAAGAAAATCCATTTACAGAATCATCAGATTTAACTGTGATTCATAATTAAGGAAAAAAAAAAAAAAAATACAACTTCAAGAAAATTCGTGTACAAATTATGTGCAGGATCATCAGTCTTACCTGTGATCCATAATTCTGAAAAAAAAAAAAAAAATAATCTATCTGCAGAATTCATTCATCCGCAGACAACTGCTACGTGGAATCTAAATGGCTATTCTCTTGACACCTCATCTATGAATGTAATATCATGCCCTTTCGTTTTCGCCAAAAGACAGCCGACTGATAGATTAACTCAGGAGTTCATCCACACCATACGAATAATTTCAACAACTAGAAGTCTAGAAAGTACTAACATATCGAAACCAATGTAGTTAATGAAGAAAATCACCATTGATAATTAAATTTTCATCATTGCTTTCTTAAAAACATCGTGTTAACCACTATTTTTTTTTTTAATTTTATTTATTAATGTCAATTTTTTTCTAAAAGTTTAAAGCTCTTAAAATTTTCTGATCTAAACAGAACCTTAAATTTGTTCAAAAAGTGTACGGAGATAGAAATTGAAGATGGTGACGTTAATTATTTTAGATGCGAATCTACGATATTCTCTGAAAGCGACATATAATATATAAAATTAAAATAATTAATACTATAATATAAATAATTATATGTTAAATAAAAGAATATTTAATAGTATAATAATTAAATGAAACAATATCGTATTAGGCTTCGCCTGTCGCTGCTCTCGTAAGCCCCTTTTTTGCGTGGCTTCCTCCCTCTTTCAACATCTGTTTCTTCTTCCTCTCTCCCCCCTACTATATATATATGTATGTATGTATGTATATTATGTACAGCTATAAACACACAACAGTTCTTATTTCTTAGCTCAATTACGATCATATCTGTGCGAAAATGGAAAGTCAAGATCGGGTGGATGAGTATTTCTCAAAGTTTTACGAGAAATGGATATCCCAATTGGAGCAACTGCTGAAGCTCCTACTAATGGTGTCGAGGGAGGCGTCGCCGGAGATCAGCTGCGAGGCGGCGGTGGAGAAGCTCACTGTCCACCACAGAGAGTACTTCTCCACCAAATGGGCGGCGACGGCGGCCCGCGACGACAACGTGCTGTCCTTCTTCGTCCCTTTATGGCTCACCCCTCTTGAGAACGCCTACCTCTGGATCACCGGCTGGAAGCCCTCCACCGTCTTCCGCCTCATCGACTCGCTCCGGAATTCCCAGCCGCCGGAGGGGAGCGTCGCCGGGATGACGGAGGAGCAGGTGGCGCAGATAGCGACGCTCCGGGCGCAGATTAAGGCGGAGGAGGAGAGGGTCGAGCGGGAGATGGAGCGGCTGCAGGTCGCCGTCGCCGACCGGAAAATGGTGGAGCTGGTCTGCGGGATGGACAGCGCCGCGCCGGAGGGGATGGTGGACGCCGCCGTCAAGGGTCTTCTCGCCGGCCTCGAGAAGGTTATGAAAATGGCGGACTGCGTCCGCCTGAAAGCGCTCAAAGGAGTTTTGGATCTCCTGACTCCGATGCAGTCCGTCGACTTCCTCGCCGCCACTTCCATGCTCCTGATCCATCTCCGTAAATGGGGGAAGAAGAGATCCACGCGCCACCACCACCACACCACCACCACCACCACCAGCTTTTCCGGCGACACCAACAATGCACCGCAGTGGCGTAGTTAACATATATAAAGAGAGCTACTCTATCTCTATCTGTAGTAATTAAATAAGGTTAATAATGTAATTAAGTCTGTGTGATGCTATATGGTAATGCTGTGTGTGCTGTTACAAGTAATGAATGTATTATACTATGTTTGTTTTAATTTTCTATAAATTTGGTCTCAGTTTATTGCTGCATTGCATCGTACGTATTTAAATGGTAATTTTTGAAAATGTGATTATGGCAATAATCAATTTTAAAAATATTTTAAGATTTTTTTTAAGAGTTAACAAATTAGTCAGAGTCGTTTTTGGGCCTGACTTTTTAGACTCAAGTAAATGGGCTGTGGTAGGCGGCCCAATAGTGACTTGAAATATGCCTTCAACGAAGCCCTTGCTTGACTCCAGATAAAAGTTTCTAAATTTGGGAAATTTGAGTTAGGGTTTTTGGAAGTGGTGATCCTGATTCAACCCGTAAATTTCTCCTTCGGAAATCTATTTATAACATATCGATATTCAAGATCTGTTTGAGCCAGTGCTGGCGAATCGAACAAGTAATCGCGGTATAAATTTGCTGCTTTGAAGCTAGCTAGGTTGGTTTGTAGAATTACGAGGAATTTTTATTGTCCATGTCTACATTTGCGTGGAGATTAGCATTTCCATGTATCTTAATGAAGAGCTTCAGTTCTGATTCTTTTTTTAAATTTTGGGTTCTCAAATGGATAGTGTCGATAATCTGATTCTCAGATTCATTGTAATCTAGTTCATATCATTTGTGTAGGTCAATAGTGGATCGTGTTTATGTTTCTGTTTTGTACTTGCACTGTTGTGTTTTATTTATTTACTTATTATGGCTGACGAATACCAAAAATTGTTCATCCTGTTCAATGTAGATGGACAAATGTTCTTCTTCTTCTTCTTCTTCTTCATGTCCTGAAAGAGATTACTCGGAAGCTGTAATAGCTAAAGAAGGCAAGCCAGCATACAAACAGATCACTGAATTGCCGGGCCAGCTACAGATTGACGATGAAAACAGAGTGAGTAATGATAATACAAATGTGATACAATGCCCTGGTGAGGGACAGGATGATGAAGATGACGATGATTTGTCCGAAGAAGAAGACTATTTGTCTGAAGAAGATTTGTTGGAACAGATGGGCTATGGCCAATGCAAACATCAAATGCCATATCCGGAGGAGGAGGAGGAGGATGAAGGGACGTCAGATTTTTCGCATAAATCCAATTTAGTTACTACATCAATGGCTGATTTGAAACTAGTTTCTGCTCTCAAAGGGAGTCGGGAGAAAGAAGGAAAGTCAAAAAAGAAATGCCGGGTTTCATGGTCGCCGGAGGTGTATGATCCATCTCCAACGGCCGAACATTATGCACTGAACGGCCCGGAGAGGCCTAAGAGTAGTCAAAATGTGAAAACCCGGAAAAAGGGCAGCGCCAAAGGGGCGGGGACAAGTGGGGGCCGAGGGAAGGCAGCTGGTAAAGATAAGAAACGGGGCAAGAAGCAAGGTGGCCGTGGCGGCAAGAATCCGGATTACAGTTAGGAAAGGTTTAATCTTTATATAGTTGGCAGCATGTTGTAATCTAACATCCTTAATTTCTTCAAACTCTTGTAAATATGCAAAATCCAACATTATCTGTAGTCTTCTACAACACATTATTAACATGTGGTTTAGCTTCAGAATGAAGAGCAATCAATATATCTTTCAAGATAACATCAATGCACTGTCTGAGAATTAGCTACCCAACAAAATGTCAATAAGTTAGGTGCCATACTGCCACCTCAGGGCTAGACATTTTCACATGTATATTTTGTGCAGGAAAAGAAATCCATTTGTATGTAGGGAAAAATTAGTGGTTCACATGATAAAGTGTCTTCATATGGCAATGAATTGGGTCCTCAAAAATTGGTATCAGAATTTCACCATTATAGAGAATAAAGACAAATCAGAATCATCATCTATTCCTTCCTACTTGAATGCAGTAACTTCCAAATCTTACCTTTAGATTTGTAACTGTCATTATGTCAAGAACTTCATTCTCCTCAGGAAAAGATTATATATGTTATAAGACAACATCATTCAATGTATATATGTGTATTTCACTAGAGTGAATTTACCAGTCTAGCTATGATTCCTTTCTATTCAACACCAACTGAAATCATCGATAGAGGATCTAACAAGCACGATGTAAGTATATAGAGGAAATCTTGAAAAGGGAAGATTAAAGAACACATATAAACATATATAGCAATTATATCAACAGAGCTAAGCAAGTGATGGGGAGAAAAGAAATCGATGGGCAAACTACGTACCCTTTTTCATCTATTCACTGTCCGAAGGATATGTAGGAAGAATCAGTTGTATTTCCTGTCAAAAGACTCTGCAATCCGGGTCTTAACTCGCAATTACAGAATTCCTCGTATTCTAGTCTATCCCCTCCTTTCTTCTTCACCTCAACAATTCTTAACGATGGTGTCAATTCATAGATCTCAGCTGCAACAGTTAATGGTCCCTTTGCACCGTCCCTCGACCCCTCCAGTTTCAATTTGCAATCCTTTTTTCTCACTGCAAAACTCACAACATTTGCAATTTCCTCCAACTTGGCTATGATGGTGGAAACAGGTGCCCCCGACACAAACCTTTCCCCCTCCTCAGCTCCATCATCAAACAGCCCTGACAAATCAAATCCTCGTGAGAATGAAATGATGTCGAATGCGTTCAAGCTAGCTGGTTTGGGAAGATCGGTGAGGCTCCGTCTTAGCACCAATTCGCGGTCTGATTCTGTCATATCAGACAATGTGTCGAGCTGATCAAGAACGTCATCAACATTGCATAATTTATCATCTTCGATGTAGAATTTCACGTGCTTGAATCCCTTGCTGAACCATTTGTTACTCATGACCTCCGGTGTGGTTATCCTGGTCTCAGGATTTGTGTCGAGTAAATGTGTAACTAATCTACACAAATCCGATGAAAACCACCTAGGGCATCGAAATTCCCCTTTGTAAATCTTCTTGTACATAACCATCAAGTTTTTATCATGGAAGGGTAAGTACCCTGCCATTAACACGAACAGTATGATTCCACAGCTCCAGATATCAACCTTTGCAGCATCGTATCCCTTTCGAGCCAACACCTCCGGTGCAACATACGCCGGCGTTCCACAGAAGGTGTGGAAAAGCCCGTCCTGCTTAATCTGCTCCGAAATTGCACTCAATCCAAAATCCGATACCTTGAGGTTCCCATCTTCGTCGAGCAATATGTTCTCCGGCTTCAAATCACGGTGGTAGACGCCGCGGACGTGACAGAACGCCACCGCGGAAATCAATTGCTGGAAATACCTCCTCGCAACTTCCTCCTTGAGCCTCCCCTTGGCAACCTTGCTGAACAGCTCGCCGCCTTTGACGTACTCCATCACGAAATAGATTTTCGATTTGGTCGCCATCACTTCGTACAACTGCACGATGTTCGGATGACGAACTCGCCGCAGAATCGAGATCTCGCGCTTGATGTGCCCAATCAACCCGACCTTCAAGATCTTCTCCTTATCAATAACCTTAATCGCCACGCTCTCCCCCGTCTTTACGCTCTTCGCGTAGTAAACCTTCGCGAATGTTCCATGCCCTAGGAGCTTCCCGACTTCGTATTTCCCCAATATTAGCCCTTTAATCTCCTTCTGCCTCCCGGGATTCGTCGCTGCGGCAGCCCCCGGAGAGCCCGACGCGGCGGCGGCTGCCATGGCTCGCGGCTAAAATCACGGAGAGAGAAAAAGAGGGAGAGAGAGGGAATTCGGAATTCAATCCCTCTCCTTATAATATAGTTGCGTAAAGCGTGAATTTTTCACCCACTTTCTTCCTTCCTCACCGCCATTCATTCACTGTGAGGTAAAAAAAAACACACCAGAAATAAAAAGAGTTATGCATATGAACCCGAAATTCCACTAATAAATTCCAAAAAATAAAAAATACATTAATTAACGGCTTTTTGAATAGATAGCATTTTTTACAGCTGGACCTTCAACGGCTATGGAGAAATTATCAGATGCGGACGCGTGCACGCTTGGACGTATCACCAACCAATGAATCTCCATCCGACGTGGCAGGATGTCGCATTGACAACGCACGATAGCCGTCTTCCGGTTTTGTAATACATTCTCCCCTTAAGTAACAAATTCCTTTAAAATCAAAATTTTATTCAAGCTTAATTAGATTAAAATCCCATTATATAAAAAAATAAATAAAAATGGCGTGTGTGGCTTGGCATTTGTGGACATGATTGGGTGCGAACAACGTTAAGAAATCATGATTATGGAGTAACATAAAAGGCAATGAGTAGTTACATTCAATTAATAGTCTGTCTCGTTCCCACTTAATAATATCTTCACTACAATAGCTACAAATACCTGATTAGTTCTACGAAATCATAAATTCATAATTATTAATTAGACATGGATTATTATTATTACAATTCCAATAATCTTGACAATAAGTTTTGTGGGTTTTTGGGCTGTTAAATGTTCGAATTTCAATTGGGCCGTGACAAAATAGCGTGCCCCGTCTATTATAATAATAATAATAATTATTATTATTATTATTATTATTATAATATGCAATAGTTGCTGATAGAATATTAGGTAAATCGACAATCCATCCAACCCACAAAAAAATGAAATTTTCATAGGCGATAATCACGTTAAGATGGGATGGATGGGATGACCAAATCCATTTGCTAAGTTCCAAATCCACATTCACTTTCTACTGAATCACTTTTTATTACATATAATATTATGTACGTATATATTTAATCGTAGAAAATTTGAATTTGAACTATTTGACAGCTCGGACAGATTATTTATTAGGATTCGAATGTTGTTAAATTTGTTTGTTCTTGTTGTAATAAAAATTATTTGGGGAATTTAGGAATATGATCTCGTCAATTGGATTAAGTACAAAAGTCTTATTAGTATAACCGTGTGATCTTACGTTGACCGAACATTCTCAGCCAAAATAAAATAGTCGTGTGTTTCGAATTTGATCGTTACTTATAAATAAATAAAATAAAATAAAAATCTCAGTAGTTCGCATCGACGGCTGCCACGGCGTGGGACCCACTCCCAGATGCATCTGCATCGTTAATAGTATAAATCATAGTCACAGAACAGAGCATCTAAGGTCCGGGTGCGTGGTCCCGGGACTTCCTAAAATCACCCGCGCATTGACTCTACTGACTAGTTGACGACTGATATAATACGCCGCTACCCTAAACATTCACATCTCTCTCCCTCTCTCTCTCCATCAAAATGAAGAGACCAAAAATTGTTGCAGATTTTCAAAATCATCTCGACGCCATGAAACTCTTCTTCTTCTTCTTCTCCTTCTCCTTCTTCTTCTTCCTGGGTGAGTCATCTTCTTCAACCTGCAACCACTCTGCAGAACACTCCTTCCTTTCTAGGGCATTCGCCTCGGTGTCCAATTTCGACATTTCCTGGGTCTCCCACCCCAACTGCACCTCCATCTCCAAAATTCACCTCCCGTCGAGAAACCTCTCCGGCACAGTCTCATGGAAGTTCCTCAGAAACATGCCGGAGCTCCGGAGCATAGATCTCTCCAACAACTCCCTTACCGGCTCAGTTTCGCCGTCGCTGTGGCTCCTTCCCCGCCTCGCCGAAATCGATCTTTCAAACAACCGGCTCGGCGGCGTCGCCGGTCCGTCTAAACCCGGTTCAGTCAACTCCTCGTCTCTCCGAAAGATTGATCTCTCTTCTAATAGGTTCAAGAATTTCGTCCATCTCTCGAGTTTTCCCAACATTAGCTTTCTCAATCTTTCCCACAACGATCTTCAATGGGTTTCGCCATTTTCGTTCACCAACTTAACGAACCTCGAGTACCTAGACATTTCTGGGTGTAATATTTCGGGGAATTTAAGGTCACTTTCTGGCCACCGGTTCCTGAAATATCTCGACATCTCTAGCAATCATTTCACTGGAGATTTCCCCAATGATTTCCCACCGTTGGATCACCTCCAGTTCTTGAACATTTCGTTCAATAACTTGTCGGGGTTTCTGGGGGCGAAGGAGGTCGGAAAGTTTGGTAAATCTGCGTTCATTCGCGCCGGCAATCTCGTACCAAGAAATAACACAATCAAGAAACCCGATTTACACATTAAGGCTCACCCACCTACCCCACTCCCCCGTAAAAAACCCCCTCGAGGTAAGGGGCGCGAAGTCCCCAGCCCGATCAGTGGAAAGAAACCAAAATCGAAGTCTCGAAAAGATTTGATCTTGGCTGTATCGTTGGCGTCTTCTTTCCTACTCATCCTGTCCGTCGGCGTTTTCGCATGTTGTCTGCGCAAGAGAAGGAAGATAGCTAGACAAAACAAGTGGTCCATCTCGAACCCGATCCAAATCCCGTTCCGGGTAGAGAAGTCCGGCCCGTTTTCGTTCGGAACCGAATCCGGGTCGTCGTGGATGGCTGACATCAAGGAGCCGACGTCAGCTCCGGTGGTGATGTTCGAGAAGCCGTTGATGAATCTCACCTTCAAGGACCTGATCGCTGCCACGTCACACTTCGGCAAGGAGTCCCTCCTGTCCGATGGAAGGTCCGGGCCCCTCTACCGAGCTGTGCTCCCGGGCGACCTCCATGTCGCCATCAAGGTCCTCGAAAATGCTCGCGGTCTGAACCACGACGATGCTGCGGCCATGTTTGAAGACCTTTCGAAGCTCAAACACCCAAATTTGCTACCGATTTATGGCTACTGCATTGCAGGTGCGTATGCTTGTCCTTTCCCTCCTTCATCATTATCATCAATTATTACATCCTTCAGCTACCATTATTTATTGTGTTCACGTGAGATGCTTTTGCAATCAAAAATCAGAAAACCACCCACCCAACCCCATCACACAGATTTCACATTACCATTATTTATCACATTTAGTAAATAGGTTTCCGTGCCCTAACGCTTGGAAACAGTGCAAGATTCAATTTTGAACTTCTGTAAGAAAAAAAAGTCAAGTCTAGTGTATGTTTGGTGTGTGCTTCTGTGTAAGAATTAATTCCTATGCAGAGACGTTGTCTGTACTGTACATGAGCATGTCAGGTTTGATACGTCTCATTAATGGCAGAAATTTACGATGGTTAGATATAATGGAGTAAGCAGTAGTCTAATTGAATGGCAAATCAATGAAAGCTTTTTTAATTTGATTGTTCCCATGTTTGCAGGGAAAGAAAAGCTTGTCCTGTCCGAATTTATGGCCAACGGCGACCTCCACCGGTGGCTGCATGAGCTCCCTACCGGCGCCCCGAACGTCGAGGACTGGAGCGGCGACACGTGGGAGGTCCAGAACGGGCCGTCGTCGCAGGCGACGTCTCCGGAGAAAATGGAGTGGCGGACGCGCCACCGCATTGCCGTGGGGGTCGCAAGGGGGCTTGCCTATCTCCACCACGCGGGGTCTAAGCCGGTGGTGCACGGCCACCTGGTGCCGGCGAACATCTTATTGGCGGACGACTTCGAGCCACGGATCACCGATTTTGCGCTGAGTCAGAGTGGACTAGGAGGCTCGACCGAGGATGACGTGTACTCCTTCGGGGTTGTGTTGGTCGAGCTGTTGACCGGTCAACCTAGCACAAGCGAGACCATTGACCTGGTCCGGAAGTTGGTCAAAGGTGGCGAAGCCGCGAGTGCGTTGGACTCGAGGCTAAAAAATGGCGGCAGCGACTTGGTGAGCGGGATGGTGGAGTGTCTTCGGATAGGATATTTGTGTACGACGGAGACGGCGGCCAAAAGGCCGACAATGCAACAAGTGTTGGGTTTGTTAAAAGACATTAATCCTTCGCCTTTAGAGCTAATCTAATTCTGACACGATGGACGGACGATGGAAAGATTAGCTGCGATTAAGAATTTATAGACATGGTTATCGATAAACGGTAGTGCATACAAGCTCCCGAGATCCCAGCTCCCGGGTGAATCTGTACCATGAGCTGTTCCGGCCAACGGTGTAGATTCCACCAGGATCTGAGATCCAGGGAGCGATCATGTTTTTGAGTTAAAAGTCCATGGATGAAATCAAGGTGTCGATTGTACGGGGATCAGACAAGGGACGTGCCAGAAATTCCAAATGTGGTTACTACTGTATTATATTATTACAAGATCTGGAAACTGCTTTACGCCTCTTTGCTTCCTTTATTAATTTCTTTTGCTTTTTATTTTTCATCTTTGTTTTCTTTGTGGAGATGAGTCCTCAGCTTTTGTTTGTTTGCTCTTTTTTGGTCTTATTATATACACACAACTTTAGTAGGTTGGATTTATATAATAATAATGTACATATATATTATATATATATATATTCCCTGTGGTAAATGAAAGCTGGATGGACAACAGTGATATTCCACTACAGCCCCATAAAAGTGCATATGGACAACCTTTTACCATTGGTATTTTGAGTCAGTCATGTGGCTGTTTTATTTCCATGTTTTGTTTTACTAGTGTCTTTAATTCAGCCTTTTGTTGTCTCCCTCTTTTTATATTTTGTACATTATCAACATATTGTGGTAAAGCTTCAAAGCCAGCCCCCACCAAAATTATTTGAAACTTCATCTCTGATCATTATTATACAAAAAAAATATTGAATCATACGTTAATCAGCCATCACACGAGCAACAAATCTTCGGACACATACAACGTAGGTAAATAGGGAACAAGCACACACGATTTTGCCGGTATCGGGACAACATTGTTTGGTCGTGTCACCAAAGTACCGAGCACGCAATGAGCGTCATTTCTTTATCGCATAGGATTGCATCCATCAGATCGATCATTCGATCGAATTGTCTGCAAAAAAAATCAAGAACTTGCAAGAAACGCTATGGTTGTCTGCACATGCACTCCTTACATCTCGGCTGTCGATAAATGCTCCGGCCATAGCTCCTTGCATGCACTCGTTGGCCTTCCTCGATCATCTTCCTCACTCTGCTCGCAAAATTGCGCCAAGTGATTGTGCTGTTTTCTTGCAAGATTGCTGCCAGCCTCTTCTTACTTGGCCTCAGGATTGGAGCATTTCCTCCGCCGTAGTATGTCCTAAATCCAGACACCAAGGATGAAAGCTGGCTCCCGGAATCCGTCATTGCGAAAACATCCGAAGCAGCACATGCAATAAAGTCCAATGCCGCAAGCTGAGAAGAAAAGTTCTGAAAAGGTGCGAGCTCATCCAGCGAGAGGAGATCTTCTTTCGTCACCAGATTCGGATAGAGACCACTTATAGGGAAGATTCTTGATTTTCCTCCGTAAATTTGGGATCCGGCAAGATAGATGTAAGTTCCTCGATTAAACCCGAGTCCAGCGAGAACAAGTGCCGCTTCTTCGGGTGTCAAGGGGCATCTTCCCATCTTTCGCAATTCTATAGGAGAAATGGGCCTGCCAATAAAATCGATCGATGAGATACCGAGCACGGAAATATTTTGCAAAAGACGAGAATTAATAAGGTCGATCGAAGCAGGGACTGTACTTTGTCTTCTTCAAGCGCTCGAGAAGTAATGGGAAATGCTCTTCCCTGTAAGCCTCGAGTTCCCTTCTTTCATTATCTCCGCCGCCAAAATCACACATGGAATAGGCCACCATGTCGACTTCGAACCTCAAATGTAATGCGAGGTATTTGGCAGAGCTTTCTGCGGCGAAATGCTGTTCGGAAGGAGCGCTAGAGACGAAGCTTCCAATCAGCTGCTTGTCGAGCACGCTCATGGCTGTATCGTGTTTTCTTATCCTCTTCAACAATAAGGATCCGGTTTTCTGAATTTTCGGGACAAATTTTAAGGCATGGAAGTTGCATTTGCATCGAAGCCTCTGCAAAACAAGTATATAAGTTAACATTCGAATTCGAAGGAGGAACGACTAATGAAATGATAGGATACTTGATGCGCTCAGCCAGCCCTTCACCTGAAGTTCCGCAGGCAATGGATCAAACCCAAGTCGATTGCCAAATCCGAGGAAATGAACAACACCATTACGCAATAATATAGGAAGTATGTTCTTGATATATTCGTCAGGTGTCGCTTCCTTCGCTAGGTCAGCATCCGTTACCTTAAAAAATTATGCGACACCTCAGACGTAGTTCTGCTGGAATAGTTTATTTACTAAAAGGACTAGACGACTTACAAGACTACCGACTAACTCCAGATTTATTAATTTCAGGCGAGATGGAAGCTCCTTTACGATATTTATGTCGTGCTTCAATGTATTCCTGAATGTATCCTCTTGATAAATGTCACCAAACTGGCTGCAATTTGCGAAGAATTGAAAAATAAGATCTTTCGTATATCAGTTAACACAAGTACACAGAGACCGTATGAAGGTTGTGATCACCTTGGATCCTTCCAAACGTTGCTGTATAGAAATTTAGGAATCACTAACGTCGCATTTAGCAGATATGCTACAGCAACAGCATTGCATACCTAATTTATAGCATCATCGGAAGCATCTCAAATTAGAAGAGCTTTTAAGCTCATTGAATACAACCGAATCAAACTTATGGAAGGGAGAAAGACATGATAATACGATGGAAACAAAAATTAGAAGAAAACTCACAGCGACGCGTTGTTGATTCAATCCTCCATTTGCACTAACCATGATAAAACCAGTGTGGTTGTTCACTGTCCCTGCCCTGACAACTATAAATGGTAAGAAAGGTCACCAAGAATCACTTGCTGTTAACAAACCAGACGAAATGAAATGTAAGCATGCAATGAGGAGGATATTCGATGTAATGAAATAAATTGTACCTTTTGGCACTTGCATCCGCACAAGGCTTCCATTTGGCGGCCTGAGGGTACGGTTCATTCCAAAATTTGGATATTTTAGGGTCCAGCTCTTGCTGAGGAGGTCCATCAATGTTGTATTAGTACTAATGCTATAAGTGTTGAGCCATACATTCTAGGTTAAGAATCAAACCTCGGCAAGTGAAACAGAAGCCATATTTAACAGCTGAGGGTACATCACCGGCCCTTTGTCTTGGTTGACGTATTCAGTGTCTATCTCCTACACGCAGCAAGGACAAATTAGGACAAGTTTTTCAGTAGATTCATCATCAAAAGAATACGCCAATTTCTATATCAGGAAACATAAAATGAACTGAATCTTGAATTTGAATTATAAGCGTATAACTTCAGGGAGCATAAGATTTGATGTTATTTTTCGAATGGAATCACCATTGACGAAGAAACCATCTACTGAAGATATTCATACCTATCATACACAAATTGTACCTTAGGTTCATCGTAAGAGTTTCTTGAAGTCAAACTATTTTCAACCAACGTGGGATCGAAGATGGAGTACAATAAGGAATCCAACAGATAAAGGAAGCTCATGAGGATTAAGGTGAATAGAGTGGATCTAATATGCCTAAGGAACCACCATTTTTGCTTTTTACCAGACCAAGCTGCTTTACAAGTGCTATACTTCAATCCTTTGATCGATATTCCCTTGTCGCAAATATGGCCTCCCCCGGCAATCCTCCTACCGATAGATGGATCACCATTTTGGAGCAATTCAGCCCATCTTAACTGAGATTCGTTCAACCCAAATGATGCATCGAAATTCAAAGAACTAGGATGGGAACTTTTGGGAGACCCCTGCCTTCCCATCTTCTAAAGAAAATTGGTGTTTCTTTTCTAAATTTCGGCGGCTAATCCTCACCAAAGCACTTTTTTTTTTCAAAGGAATCAGCCCTGAAATCAACAACTACTTACAAAACTCCATATGGCATGAACACTCTTAGCCTTATTTCAGACAACTATCTATATTCTCTTTGCATTCTTTTGTCTGTGCCCATGTTGTGACAGTATCCTCATAATGTCATATTCCCTCAAGGCTCAAAAAACTGGGGGAATCGAATGGGAGTTTGTTGGGAAAGTAGGTCGAGAAATTAGATAAACAAGATACATCAAAGTGCAGTCAACTTGGATTGCAGGGGAAGCTAAAGTTAGCGAGTTCCACATTATATCGAAAATACAGAATTCAACGATGAAATGAACCAACTGACATTGAAAATGCAACCAACATACCTTAGCCTAAAATTGCGGATAGTAGTATTATATCGTATAATACAGATGCTGAATCACATCGGCAACAACCACCCCTCACCAAACAGGGTTTTTTGTGCTTTCTGGTCAAGAAATCAGATGGGCCTGATAGATGACATCGGGGAGAGACGAAAACCCTTGAGCTTGAAGCGTCCATGGAAAAGGGGAGGGTGCAATGTTTGTTGACAGGGCCGTTCTATCCACCGAACCAAGTTTTCTTAATTTTGTTTCCTCTTTCTACTGGAAACCAAGAATCCCCTTTTCACCGTTCCCTTGCGCAGACAGCAATCTGAAGATAAAAATGATTTTCTTTGTGTATTATTGGAAATTTATCGGGGGACAACATCGTATCAAGATTCAGCGATTGGGAAACGATGAAATAAGACAGGCAAGTGTAATACTGATAGAAGTGAATTAGCTTAAATAGGACCAGAGAAAAACTAGAATTTATTGATCAAGAACTGTTGCCATTTAGAATAAAGAAAGTAGTAGCAACTACATCCCACAATTCCATTATCAAGCAGTATGACAATCACCAAGTCAGCATTTCTCTAAAATTCTCTCTTCTTCTTGGAAACAAAATGCAGAATTTCTTGAGCCAGCACTTATCATCTCGAAAAGAAAGTCGGAGCAATTCCAAATGGCATGACTATATTATCTGTCAAAATACAGTAATGAAATGACCGAACAAAAATGAGTAGTTTTTTGCTTAACAATCACCAAGTACAAGTAATTCCAAATCATTCTTACTTCGAGTTTCCAGGGTGCTGCAGCATAAGCTTAGCTTTGATTTTGGTTAATTCCGCAACAACATCTTTCATGCTTATCCTCTCTCCCGGAGAATCTGCAGAGCATTTCAGAGCTAACTCCATCACAGATGATGCACAACACAACTTCTCATTAATATTTGTTTCATTGGGGCTTATCAAACTTGCATCAATAACACTACTTAGTGCATTGGGCAGTGACTCTTTCACCCAATTCCTGAGGGTCATTTCTCCATGGAACATCTCATCAGAGGGCCGTCTTGCAGTGAGGGTCTCCAATAGCATGATTCCGTAACTGTACACATCACATTTTTTGGAGACTCTTCCCTCCATTCCATACTCTGAAAAAAAATAAAAAATAAAAATATGATCATCGCCTTCAAAGAGAGAAATGAATAGAGTCAAGGTACCTGGAGCCATGTAGCCGAGTGTTGCAAGAGTCCTAGTATGAGTGGTGCTCTCTTGTTCACTCAAAAATTTTATGATGCCGAAATCACTTAAATGGGCAACCATGTTGTCATCCAAGAGTACATTGCTAGGCTTTACATCGCAATGAACCACAGATGTCGAGTAGCCATGGTGAAGATATTCCAGCGCGTTAGCCACGTCCCACATTGTGTTCAATCTCTGAATGATATCCAGAAATTGGTTGTCTGAGTACAGCCACTTCTCCAAACTTCCATTAGGCATGTACTCTAGCACTATGGCCTTGAAATCTTCATTTGCACAGCTGCCAACTACTTTAATGAGATTTCTGTGACGGAGATTACGAAATGCATCACATTCAGCCTCAAAGCTCTTGGATGCTACTTCTTGCAGCATGTCAAAAACTTTTATAGCCAAAATGGTCCCATCTTCAAGGATGCCTTTGTACACAGAGCCAAAACTTCCCCTTCCGAGCAAATTGCCTTCATCGCATCCCTTAGTTGCCTTCATAAGCTCGTAATAAGACATTCTTTGAGGCCTTGTTGTGTCAGGCATGTCTCTTACAATGGTTGGCCTCTTTCTCTTGTTATACTGGACCATTAAATAGGCCATGCTGCATAGAAACACCAACACTGCAACTCCTAGAATAATGAATACAACTCGAAGTATTATCTTTTTCTTTAATCGGCGCGGTGGTACTTGGCAGCGTGTAACCTGCAATCTAGGAGGACCACACAGTGCAGAATTATGTTCAAAGGATTGGCTTGTGAAATTTTCAAAAGGGCCATTGGTAGGAATCTCTCCAGAGAGTTCATTGAAAGAAACATTAAAGTACTTAAGCTGTGTTAGGGACTCCAAAGACTTGGGAATTGCTCCAGAAAGCATATTATACGACAGATCTAGTGAATCCAAACTCAACATGCTGCCCAAAGTATCAGGAATGTGACCATGAAATCTATTATGTGCCAGAGAAAGATAAGACACACTTTGTAAACTTGTGAAGGTGTTGGGAATGTCATTTGAGAACTGATTCATTGACAGATCGATGATTGTAGCTGCCTTCATATTTCCAATTTGGGGAGATAGAGTGCCAGTGAAGTAATTTGAGGAAATATTTAATTGCAAGAGATCTTGCAGACTCCAGATGCTAGCAGGCACAACAGAGGTCAAGTTATTGGAATTGAGCAGTATATACCTTAAAGAGGACACATTTCCCAAGCAATTTGGAATGGAACCTATTAGCTGATTATAGCCTAAAGACAGGCCTCCCAAAGACTTCAATTTGCAGAGCTCATTTGGAATAATTCCGGTCAGTCGATTATTGTCAAGAACCAACACCTGAAGATTAGATGCTGCAAGTGCACTTGGAATCACTCCTGTCATATCATTTGTATCAAGATACAATCTCACTAACCCACTCAGATTACCGATTTCAGTAGGGATGTAACCCTTTATCATGCATCCCGATGCATAAAAATCTTGTAGGGAATGAGAGAGATTCCCAACAGTTGTAGGAAGAATCCCATTTAATGGATTACCGCTGACGTCCAATTGTTTCAAAAACCTAGAATTTGTCAGGGAAGTGATGAATTTCAACTCAGATAATGAAGATGAGAGATTGTTCCTCAACAACAGAACAGTTTCTAAGAACGTTAAGTCACCCAAAGAGGTGGGAATTGACCCAGTGAGTTGATTCCCCCCCAGGTCTAGAATCCTGAGTTGGGTAGAATTTGAAATAGAGTTTGGTATAACTCCTTTCAGATTATTAGATCCAAGGAGGAGTTTTTCAAGATTGGGTAGATAAGTACCTAAATTTGTTGGAAGATTGCCTGATAACCTATTTTTTGAAAAAGAAATAATTCTCAATGTTGAGATGTTGAATATAGAGGAAGGCAAAGGGCCAGTTAATCTATTTAACTCCATGACTAATATCTCCAGTTCATTCAGTTTATGGAACACTTGAGGTATCACACCTACATAATGCAAATATAAAAACAATTATTCAGCAAAGGTGAGACTCATTGTGGTTAGAAAGAAAGGTTTGAGTTAATGGCATCCGAACCTGTGAAACTATTTTCGGCTAAAATAAGGGAATTTAGCTTGGTCAGGTTCCCAAAACTTTCAGCTAACGATCCACTCAAATTGTTGTGATACAAGCTCAACTGTTGTAGAATCGAGAGATTGAACATGGTTGATGGTATGGCTCCGGTGAACAAGTTGCGTTCCAAATAAAGGGACTGAAGATTGTGAAGTTTGCCAATATCTGGTGGGATTGCACCTGTTCATTGTAAATCCATATTATTATCTGTATGTGTATCTGACTTTATGAACAATAAGAGTGATGACATGGAAATAAATCAGAAATTGTGCTCTTTTAAGTTAAGAGCACCTTTTTATGATCAAGTCACTCCAAAAGAAAATAACATTGCACCTGATAACATGTTGCTGCCGAGAAACACCATTTGAAGCATGCTTAACCTTCCAATATCTTCTGGTATACGCCCAGTAATCATGTTTTTTGCCAGTGATAGCTTCTGAAGCTGATGGCATGAAGATAAATTTGATGGAATTTGCCCACTAATTTCATTGTCCGCCAGTTGGAGCGCTGTCAGCATTGGAAGTTGAAGGCTCGTAGGAAGAGTACCTGATAAACTATTATTGGCTAAAGACAGTACTTCCAGCATCGACATGTTGAAGATGCTTAATGGTATAGAACCATTGAATTTGTTGTTTTGCAGGTTCAACCATTTCAACTTGTGAAGCTTGCTAAAGATTTCTTCTGGTATCATTCCTTGAAGTAGATTGTCGGAAAGTTCCAAAGTCTCTAGATTCGTCAAGTTCATGATTGAGGGAGGAAGGAACCCTGAAAATCTATTGCCTTGCATCATAAGCCCTTTAAGGCTAACAAGATTGCCTATGGACTTTGGAATTTCTCCTTGAAAAAGATTGGATGACACATCCAGACCAGTAAGCTTTGATTGATTTATGGAGGAGAGAAGAAATGAATTCAAGCTAGTAAAGTTATTGTTCCAAATAGATAACAATTGAAGCTGAGAGAAGGATGCAAACCAGGAAGGAACATCCCCAGTGAACCTGTTTTGACTGATCCCAATGTATCTCAATCTTCGCAGGCGAGCCAAATCTTCGGGCAAAGCTCCACTGAAGTTGTTGTTACTAATTTCGAATGCAGTAAGGAATGAAAGGTTTCCAATTTCAGGAGGGATGCTTCCAGTGAGACCCATGTTGGAAATATTCAATGCAGTTACTCGATGATGGCGAGCACCACAGGTGACTCCAATCCAATTGCAAATCGAAGATGGCACCGTCCAGTTTGCCATGAGTCCATAAGGGTCTGAAATGATGTAAGTTTTCAGGGCCAAAAGAGCAGATTGGTCCGTGGTGATGTTGGTTTCAGCAGTGGAAGAACTAACCAATAAACAGTGGATGATCAACACTGTGACAAGGTGACTGAAATGGGGAGTTGCTACATCCATGGCTAGTTTGAGATTTGATGATTTAGTAACTATGAGATGAACCCAATTTTATACTGAAATACATGGCATTCTCAAGTGGCAGGAGCATTGATGATTCAAATGGAGAGAGTTTTTTCCAGCTGGAATGAGTTCTGTCAGAAACTGATATTAATGGCACAGCTAATTCTCTGAAAATAGTCCAAAATTACTTGGATATGTGTAGAAACAGATGAACAGGCTAACTTCTGTAAAATTTATTGAATCTTGAAGCAGGACTACTTCTGAGCTCAACCCCACTCTCTTAAATTGGCAGCAAGTGATTGGCAGCAAGTGGACTTTTTGTGTGAATCAAAAGTGCATCTGCCATTGACTTCAAAGACTGAAAATAGTCTCCGTTAGTCTTTATCTGGCGGGATCTGCATTTATTTTTCTTTTCTGAATTGGTCCTGAAAGACTTGGCCAAGGTCTACATCGTTCCAAGTTTGCATTGTCATTTAATGTCAGCAGTACCAGTTAACTGAGTTTTTTTCTTTATTTGTTCATAAGTGAAAGTGGAAACAAGTGAAGGAACTGTCTGAAAAACTCGGGATAGTTCCTGCAAAACCCGTGTTGGAAATATTCAATCCAGTGGAAAAATCAAGATTGCGATGCGATCAATGAAGCACGGAGCGCTTATATTGGATATAAGATTTGATTCATGCAGTTTAGTTCTGATTCATGCAGTTTGATAATTTATTTCCCCAAATTATGTGTCCCAGAAGATCAAATAAGATATTACAACCAAAATATGCGAAGTACAAATACCAAACTCGATTATAGTAATGTCCAACAACAAATTATCAGGAGTTGAAGGAACACACTGTAGATAAAATTGGATTGGAACATGAATTGAAAAAGGTCTAGTTTAATCACAGAATTCTTTCCAAGCTTTCTTCAGAAAGTTACTCGCTATCAGGATTGGAGAAATTTCTTGCATCTTCTGACATCTGCGAATATATTATGAAAATGACAGGTTAAATAGATGAGTCTTTCTGCATAAGATCGACAACATGGTAACCAATTCTTACCGTGTATGAGATTCATGCATATTGCCGCATGAACTCAACTTTGATTTTCTTCAGTTCTGCCACTACATCTTCCATATTCATTCTCTCCGTAGGAGAATCTGTTGAGCAACTCAGAGCTATCTCCAATACAGATGATATGCAAGACAGCTTTTTATCAAAATTCCTTTCCTCCGGGCGTAGCAGACTAGCATCAATAATATGAATTAGTGCATCAGGCAGTGAATATGATACCCAATTCTTGATGCTCATGTCTCCAGAAAACATTTCATCAGAGGGTCTTTTACTAATGAAAGTCTCCAGTAGCAAGATTCCGTAACTGTACACATCACATCTTGTGGAAATTATGCCTTGTGATCCATACTCTGGAACAATTTTAATACCAATAACAAAAACCTGTCAGCTTGAAAGTAAATACTAAACAAATTTTGAGGAGAAAAGTATTAAAAACTAGCGTATTTACCTGGAGCCATGTAGCCGAGCGTCGCAAGGGTCCTAGTATGAGTAATGCTTTCTTCTTCACCCAAGAATCTGGTGATACCAAAATCACTCACATGAGCAATCATATTTTCATCCAAAAGGACATTGCTAGGCTTTAAATCACAATGAATGACAGGTGTAGAATAACCATGGTGGAGATATTCTAATGCACTAGCAACATCGATCATTATATTTAATCTTTGAATGCTATCCAAAACTAGGTTGCTTTCATACAACCACTTCTCCAGGCTTCCATTAGGCATGTATTCCAGTATTAAGGCTTTGAAATCCTCATTTGAGCAACTGCTGATGACTTTAATGAGATTTCTATGGCGAAGATTTCGGAATACTTCACATTCAGCATCAAAAGTCTTCGATCTAGCTTCCTGCAACATATTGAAAACTTTTATAGCCAAAACGGTTCCATCTTGAAGGACACCTTTGTAAACCGAGCCAAAACTTCCCTTGCCCAATAAGCTGTTGTCATTGAACCCATTAGTCGCCTGTAATAGCTGATAGTATGAGATACTAGAAAGCTTTAACATAGAAGAATGATCAGATATGGTTGGTGATTTCAGCTTTCTACAATATTTAACCATTATAAAAGCCATGGTTCCTATAAATATCAACAAAACAATTCCAAGACTAATGAATATAGCTCGGAGAATCTTCTTTCTCTTTGACCTGTGCTCTGATTCAGGGCAAGATGAAACCTGAAGCGTCGGAGGACCACACAATGCAGTATTGAACAGAAATGATTGACTCGTGAAATTTCTGAAAGGACCATTCATAGGAATCTTTCCAGATAATCCATTGAAAGAAACATTGAAGTATTCAAGATGTTTCAGTGTCTCTAAAGACTTCGGGATTGTTCCAGAAAGCTTATTATGAGACAAATCAAGAGAAATTATATCCAACATACCACCCATGGATTCTGGTATGGGACCATGAAATCTGTTATGTGCTATAGAGAGATTGAGCAGGCTTTGCAAATCTCCAAAATTGTTGGGTATATTGCTTGAGAACTGATTCATTGACAGATCAATGAGTGTGGCTGCCTTAAGCCCTTCGATTTGAGGAGATAGAGAGCCAGTGAAGGAATTTGAAGAGAGATCAAGTTCTAATAGATCCTGCAAAGTCCAAATGCTAGCAGGTATTCCTGAAGTTAAGTTATTGGAATCAAGGTGTATATACCTTAGAGAAGATGCATTTCCCAAGCATTCTGGAATGGAACCTGTGAGCTGATTTTTGCCCAAAACCATCACTCCCAAACTTTTCATGCTGCAAATTCTGTTCGGAATAAATCCAGTTAGCTGATTTTTGCCAAGCGAAAAGCGTTGAAGATTTGATAACTTACTTAGTGTACTTGGAATTGTTCCAGTTAGATCATTTCCATAAAGATATAATGATATCAGTCCACTTAAATTACCAATTCCATCTGGAATATATCCCTTAAGCTGGCATTCTGACGCACGAAAAGTTTGCAGGGAAGATGAAAGATTTGCAATAGTTGCAGGGAGAGTGCCTTTCAATGGATTATAACTGAGTGACAGCTCTGTCAAGTACTTGGAACTTGTGAGGGAAGTGATGAAGCTTAACTCAGATGATGGTGATTCACTTGTGAAGTTGTTTCCTTCCAAGTTCAAGCTTTGTAAGAACAACAGTTCCCCAAGGGAGTCGGGTATTGAACCAATCAAATGGTTGTGAGAAAGGTCCAGATCCATAAGATTAGAAAAAATTGTGATAGAGTATGGAAAAGTTCCAACAAGATTAGATTCTCCAATGTCGAGCTGTTCAAGATTAGGCAGAAATAAACCTACATCCGAAAAAGGAAGAGTGCCTGAAAAACTATTGCTTGAAAGTGAAAGCACTTCCAGTGTTGAGATGTTGAAGATATATGGAGGTATAGGACCACTGAATCTATTCACTCCCAAGGATAAAAGTCTGAGCTCATGAAATTGATCAAACACTTTGGGAATCACACCTGCAAAATCAGTAATAAGAAAAGGGAGCAATTACTGTATGCAAGGCTTTCTTAATTATTAGGCCAGGTCTAGCAAAACGTTGTAAATTGATATGCATACCGGTGAAATTGTTGTCGCTTAGATAAAGCTCCTCGAGCATAGTTAAATTTGAAAAGTGATCTGTTAAGACCCCAGTGAACATATTGTCTTGCAGCGACAGACGGCGCAGAAATGACATATTGAATATAGCTAATGGTATGGATCCTGTTAGCAAGTTCCTTTCCAAACCCAAGAACTGAAGATTATGAAGTTTTCCAAATTCTCTTGGAATTTGACCTGATGAGTAAAAATTACTCAGCATATCATGAGAGGATGAAATAATACTGTTGTTTGCACTCAAATTCAAAAGGCAGTAGGAGTAATGTAACAGATATCCCTTTGTTTCTGATATCACATATCTGGAACAATATTATAATCTTCTTAAAAAATCTGAAAGTTTCTGCAATGTAAAGCTTAATTGTTTGCTCATGTCCCTACTACCAGATATAGTTAAATAAGTTTGAAAACGTAGATGTATAAAGATTTTTACCGTTCAAATTGTTGAATCCAAGATACAGTGTTCCAAGCATCTCCAAGCTCCCAATTTCTTGTGGTATGCTTCCAGAAAATCTGTTGTTTGACAAGGAAGCCATCTGAAGCTGAGGACATGAGGAAAAACTTGATGGAAGTTGTCCATCTATCTCATTGCCAGATAGATAAAGGGCTTTAAGTATCGGAAGTCCAAGGCACATCTCGTCCGGAAGAGAGCCAGATAAGTTGTTGTTAGACAAAGATAATAGTTCTAGCGACGAGATGTTAAAGATGACCGATGGGATAGAACCAGTAACCAAGTTGCTGTTAATGTCCAACCAATTCAGATTATGAAGATGCCCAATAACTTCAGGTATTGTTCCTTGGAAGGAATTTTGTGCCAGAACCAAAGTCTGTAAATTCGACATGTTGGTGATTGAAGAAGGGATAGGACCCGAAATCATGTTAGCTGCCATGGACAGTTCTTTGAGATTACGAAGATTTCCTATAGATTCTGGGATTTCACCTCGAAAAGAGTTGAATGACAAGTCCAAAGTACCAAGCTTTGATTCATTTGTGGAAGAGCTGAGAAATGAATTCAAGCTAGTGAAATTGTTGCTCCTGAGAGACAATACCTGAAGCTGAGGCAACGAAGATAACCATGAAGGGACGTCACCCGTGAAGTTATTGTAACCAAACCTGAAGATTCTCAACCTTCTAAGGCGAGCCAAATCTTCAGGCAAAGCCCCGCCAAAGCTGTTGTTTTTTATGTCAATCGAAACAAGGAATGAAAGGTTTCCAAACTCAGGTGGGATGCTCCCGGATAGCTCCATATTGGAAATATTCAGCTGTGCCACTCTTTGATGATGTCTTCCACAAGTGACTCCAATCCAGTTGCATGCTGAAGATGTGGAATTCCAGTTTTCTAGGATTCCTAAAGGGTCTGAAACAACATGAGTTTTCAGGGACAAAAGAGCAGATTGATCTGTCATGAAGTCGGCTCTGGTAACTGATAAACCTGCTAAAAGACACAGCAGGAATAGCACTCTAACCAGATGAATGAAGAAGGAACTTTTCAAATCCATGATAGGAGGACGTCTGATGAACATTGTGTGATTACTGAACATAAGCATTGTAATGCAATATTACATGATAATGTTGAAGATTTACACATTCGATTCACTGATGCAGTTGCTTTCTAGAATCAAGTCAATCCATGTATTAACAATGACGGGACAGGTCAACCAGGGGTTCAACTTGAACGTGGAAGACCCAGGCCATGAGTCTCCCAACTCCTTTTCCATCCACAAACCACAGTGGAAATCCAAATTCCATGGCAACTGAACTTATGTCCATAAATACCTGGAAACATATGTGAAAAGTCATTCCATAACTTATAGTGTATAAAGCAATTATTAGAAACCAACTGAAAGCAGAGCCCACTAACTAAAAGCCACAGCTGTGTAGTGGAGATGATAGACTTTTTCTACCTTCGTCCCCATGACAAAGCTAAGTCTTCCAAGTCAATGGCGAAAAAAAACTATCAATGAAATGGGAAACGGGTTAGGAAACCAAAGAATTTTACTAGAAGAAACAATAATGGTTGGATGTGCTCATTTCCTCCACAAGATATAATTTGTAGTGATTACACATATCCCTCAACTGACATTTGGCCTTACTTTGTAGACTAATATTAAGATTGCACTTAGAAATCCAATCTCATGGAAGACAGCCAAGTTTAGAGTGCCAAGTTAATTTGTAGCTGTTTTTTAGCATTCACATTTTGAAAAAATAAAAAAAAAAAAAACCATGAAATTTAATTAAGCCTCAGGTTGACTTGCTCATGTTTCTACAATACATACACACAGAGAGATATACATATATATAACATCACATATAGTACGGAAAAAAGTCATGGATTAATGATTGAAATGAAATATACGCACAAGAAGATAATAGTTTAGGAAATGAGGTGAAATTACCTGAAAATCACAAATATCCGAATCAGACAGCTCCCCCCAGCTGTGCAACAACGTCTTCCTCGTTTTCCTTTCCTTGGACAAAAATACGGTATGGCAGGGGGGTAGGCAGTCCCTAATAGGCTTAACTAGACCTGTTGATTCCTTAACTAGAAAGAATTTGGGCTGGAGCTACACGTAAAGCAATAAGCTTAATAGAATGGGTGATTAAATTTATTAGTTTTGTTACATTCTCCAAATTTAGTTATCAATCACACTGGAATACATTTCATTTTCAGCAAGATTATTCAAGATAAGCAAGTGTTTCAGAAACCAGAAAATTGAAAATCTGAGCACAGAACAGTAGGAACCTAATACAACGAGATCTTAGATAAACTACTAACAAATATGGATAACACGATGGACGTAGTGACACGGCACCGTGTATAATTATGCTCAAAATAATTTTTTTAGCTACAAAGTTCAATAGAACCAATGGTTTGGAATATATGTGAAGGGAGGATAATGAAAAAAGGATAGTTAAGATAATGTGATTTAATGGATGATAACTAACCAATAAGTCTTGGATCTAAAATCAAAACCATAGATTAAACACAAATAATAAACTAAATTCCAAAGGATTGTAAGCCACATCCCATCACTCTAAATATCCAATTTGAAATATCTAAGTGGAAAGAAAGCACATCCCATCACTAAATATTGAAAAGAAACAATAAAGAAATTTTATTTAAAATTCAACAAGGAAACCTATAATAAGGTAATAAAAGAAAACAAAGTAAAAGGAAACTTTAAATATGAAATAAGGAAACGAGAATATATAATAAGGTAACTTTGAAATTCTTCCATAATTATTTTTTTTTGTCTTAGTCTTGAAATCCAGTCGGCTGGGTAACTTTTGAGTCGGATACAAAAGAATAGTAATGTCTAGCAAGTCCATCTTCAATAATTCTTTTTCTGAGCTTGGACGGCTGTATCACGTAGCATGGCAGATTGGCTGTCACCTGCATATATTCGCAAAGAATAATCTGAATTAGAGTGTACTTTAGAAACAGGGTAGAACATTTTCATACAGCTTAGCATAATCTAGTTAAGCTGTACTTAGGCTTCCGGAATGTTAATTGTGTGTAAAATGTATGGAACAAAATGAGGGAAGTACTCACTTGTTTGAGTGAAGAATTTCCCATCATAGGAAAAATATTCCATAATTCTCATTAAGATAAGAGTGTCCTATCAGTTATCACGACTTACCGCCTCTCTCGTCCAGTATGGGGTTGCATAAAGTTGAGTTTGATTTTCTTCAATTCTGCCAAGGTATCTTTCATGTTCATCCTTTCCCCTGGAGAATCCTCTGAGCATCTCATAGCTAATTCCAACACTGTTGATATGCAAGACAATATTGTACTGGGATTTGTCTCCTCAGTGCTTATCAAACTGGGATCGATAACCTGGATCAGCACATCGGGATGTGAAACTTTTACCAAACTTCTGAGGTTCATGTCACCAGAAAACATTTCATCGCAAGGCTTTTTTCTTGTGAACATTTCCAGCATGATGATTCCGTAACTGTAGACATCACAGCTTGTGGAAATCCTGCCTTCCGATCCGTATTCTGAAACAATTCTACTATCAATGATGTAAACTCTAATCAACAAACAGGAAAAAGAAACTAAAATTTAAGCACAAACCTGGAGCCATGTAGCCCAGTGTTGCAAGAGTCCTGGTGTGAGTTACACTTCCTTCTTCACCCAAAAATTTTGTGATACCGAAATCACTTACACGGGCAACCATTTTCTCATCCATGAGAATATTACTAGGCTTTAAATCACAGTGAACAACAGGTGTCGAATAGCCATGGTGGAGATATTCGACTGCACAAGCCACATCTATCAATATGTTCAATCTCTGTATGACATCCAAATTGTAGTTAGAGTACAACCATTTCTCCAAGCTTCCATTGGGCATGTACTCCAGTAATAAGGCCTTGAAATCCTGATTTGAGCAACTTCCAACAACTTTAATAAGGTTTCTATGACGAAGATTCCGTAAGGCCTCACATTCAGCATCAAAAGACTTTGATTCATGATCCATTTGTGTTTTGAAAACTTTTATAGCCAAAACAGTCCCATCTTCCAAAACACCCTTGTAAACTGAGCCAAAGCTTCCGCTGCCTAGCAAATTTTCTTCGCTAAATTCATTTGTTGCTTGCAGAAGCTTGTAATAAGAAACTCTTACCGGTCTTTTTGTGGCAAATATATCTGATACAATTGGAGATTCCTTTTTCCGGTAATATCTAATAATGAAAAAGATCATGCTCCCAATAAAAAATAATGCCACTATTCCCAGAACAATGAAAGCAATTCGAAGCTTTTTCTTTCTGTTTGACCTTTGCCTTACTTTGCAGGATGAAACCAGAAACCTGTTAGAACCGCACAATGCAGTGTTGAATTCAAAGGATCGGCTTGTAAAATTTTTGAAAGGGCCCTCTGTCGGAATCTCTCCTGATAATTTATTGAAAGAAACATTGAAGGACTTGAGTTGTGTTAGAGACTCCAATGACTTGGGAATTGTACCAGAAAGCATATTGTGTGATAGATCTAGAGCATTCAAACTCAGCATTCTTCCAATGGAATCAGGAATGGGACCCTGAAATCTATTATTTGCCAGAGAAAGAGTAATCACACTCTGTAGATCTCCAAAAGTGTTGGGGATATCATTTGACAACAGATTCATTGACAAGTCAATGAATTTGGCTGCCTTCAAGTTTCCAATTTGAGGAGATAGAGAACCATTGATAAAATTGGAGGAGATATTAAGATCCAGGAGATCTTGCAAGCTCCAGATGCTTGTAGGTATTGTAGAAGACAAATTATTGGAATTGAGATCTATGTACCTTAGAGAGGATACATTTCCCAAGCATTCTGGAAGTGAAGCTGTTAGTCGATTTTGGCCCAATTCCAGGCGTCCCAAACGTTTTAATTTGCAGATATCATTGGGAATAAATCCAGTCAGGCTGTTGTTTCCAAGATCCAATTCTTGAAGATTAGACAGTTTACTGAATTCACTTGGAATAGTTCCTGTCAAATCATTTCCCTGGAGATTTAATCTCACCAATCCACTTAAATTTCCAATTTCATTTGGAATGAATCCCTTAATACTGCATCCTGATGCTCTAAAATGTTTTAGGGAAGAAGAAAGATTCCCAGAAAATGTAGGGAAAATGCCATTTAGTGGATTATTATTGAGTTCTAAGAATGTCAAGGACGTGGAACTCATCAGAGAAGTGAAAAACTTCAGCTCAGGCGAAGCAGATTCACTTCTTAAATTGTTGGCCGCTAGACCTAGCATTTCCAAGGATTTTACATACCCCAAGGTGTCAGGAATTGAACCAGTGAAGTCGTTGTAAGAAATATCTAGAATCTTGAGGTGAGAAAAATTTGAGAACGAGTTTGGTATAACACCATCCAGATGGTTGCCAGCAAGAAAGAGTTGTTCAAGATTTGGAAGAGAAGAACTTAGTTTTTCAGGAACATGGCCTATAAAATCATTTCCTAAAAGTGAAATCACCTTCAGTGTAGAGAGGTTGAATATGTATGAAGGTATTTGGCCACTTATGCTATTCATCCCCATCTCCAGGATCTCTAATTGATTTAGTTTATCATACACTGGCGGAATCTCACCTGAAAGATACAAAAATAAGCAATCATGGGGTTGAATTCAAGTTGCTTTTTGTGGGCTTTCTTGAACAAGTTAAAGAGCATTCATACCTGTGAAGTTATTTTCACCTAGATAGAGATCCGTGAGCATGGTTAGGTTCCCAATTTCATCAATCAAGAATCCGTGGAGTCTATTCCTTTTGAAAGATAGATAATTAAGATATGACATATTGGACATGGTTGATGGTATAGTTCCAGTTAGCAGGTTGTCCCCCAGACTTAAGAACCGGAGATTGTGAAGCCTTCCAATCTCTGGTGGAATTAGACCTATCAAATGCAGAAAAGAATTGGCACAGAGAGTTTTTGAACCTATTCGTATTGAAATAAAATATTGAACTCTGTAAGAAGGCATTATTAATGTTTATTTCATTTTAAAATCGCATAGCTATAATGTCAGCATATCTTCAATCTGTGTATATTCTTTTCATATACCTACGTACAAGTGCAGAATATGTTCTAAATCCATGCTTCATTTACTTTTCTAGACCTCTCTACTTGTAAAGGTACTTAAACTAATATTACAGAAAGCTAAATGACTCTAAACTAGACAAAATACCTGTTAATATGTTGCTGCGAAGATACAATGTTTGAAGCATCTCCAAGCTCCCAATTTCTTTTGGTATACTTCCAGTAAGATCATTATGTGGCACTGAGAAAAACTGAAGTTGAGTACATGAGGAAATACTTGATGGAATGTGTCCATGTATCATGTTGTCAGATGCATAAAGCCTTTTCAGCAATGGAACTCCACGGCACATATCACCAGGAAGAGTACCGGATAATTGATTACTGGAAAAGCTTAAGCTTTCTAGAGTCGAAATGTTGAAGATGATTAATGGTATAGAACCATCAAGTTGATTCCCTTCCAAGTTCAACCATTTTAACCTGTCAAGATTTCCCATGGCTTCTGGCATTCCTTGAATCAAATTTTCTGACAATTCCAAAGTCTCTAAACCTGATATGTTCATGATGGAGGCAGGGATGAACCCTGAAAATCCGTTGCCTTCCATGAGAAGCTCCTTGAGATTATGAAGATTTCCTATAGATTTTGGAATTTCTCCATGAAAAGGATTGAAAGACACTGTCAAAGTAGCAAGCTTTGTTTGGTTTATGGTCGAGAGGAGAAACGAGTTTATGCTAGAAAAACTATTGTTTCTGAGAGTCAAGTTCTCAAGTTGAGGTAAAGATGAAAGCCAAGAAGGAACCTCGCCGGAGAAGTTGTTGTAGCTGAGACTGAAAAATCTCAATCTTCGCAGGCGAGCCAAATCTTCAGGCAAAGCTCCACTGAAGTTGTTGGTACTAATGTCAAATGAAGCAAGGAATGACAGGTTTCCAATTTCAGGAGGGATGCTTCCAGTGAGATCCATGTTGGAAATATTCAATGCAGTTACTCTATGATGGCGTGCACCGCAGGTGACTCCAATCCAATTGCAAATCGAAGATGGCACTGTCCAATTTTCCATGAGGCCATAAGGGTCTGAAATGATGTAAGTTTTCAGGGCCAAAAGGGCAGACTGGTCTGTGACAATGCTGGTTTCAGCAGTGTAAGAACTAACCAATAAACAGTGGATGATCAACACTGTGACAAGGTGACTGAAATGGGGAGTTGCTACATCCATGGCTAGTTTGAGATTTGATGATTTAGTAAATATGAGATGAACGCAATTTTATGCTGAAATACATGCCATGCGCAAGTGGATGGAGAACTGATGATTCAAATGGGGATAGTTGTTTCCAGATTGAATGATTTTGGTCAGAAACTTAATGTTAATTCCACAACTAATTCTTTGAAAAATTGCCCAAAATGAAGAGAGTAACTTCTGTATAATTTATTGAATCTTGAAGCAGGTATGGATCAATGTGAGCCCTGAAAATACTCTTCAGCAGTCTTTATCTAGCTGGATCTGCATTTATTTTCCTTTGCTGAATTGGCCATGAAAGACTTGGCCACGGTTCCTTGTTCCAAGTTTGCATTGTCATTTAATGTCAGCAATACCAGAAATATTATTTATTTATTTATTTTCCTTTTCTTGTTCATAAGTGAAAGTGAAAAGTCCTATTGGAACTGTCTGCAAAACTGGGGACAGTTCCGGAAAAACCCATGTTGGAAATATACTATCCAGTTACTCTATAATGGCGCAAGCCACAGGCACAGGTGACTCCAATCCAGTTTTTTTTAGGACATCGAAACGGTCTGGAACAACATGAGTTTTCAGGGACAAAAGAGCAGATTGATCTGTTGTGAAGCCAGCTCTGGAAACTGATAAACCTGCTAAAAACACATCAGGATTAGCACTCTAACCAGATGAATAAAGAAGGAACTTTTCAAATTCATGACAGGAGGACGTCTGATGAACATTGTGTGATTACTGAACCAGAACTTTGTAATGCAATATTACATGGTAATGTTGAAGTTGCACATATTCGATTCACTGATGGAGTTGCATTCTAGGATCAAGGCAGTCCATGTATTAACAATGCTGGGATAGGTCAACCAGTCTGCCAAGTTGGAATGAATCTCCCAACTCCTTTTCCCATCCACAATGGTGGAAACTGAACTTATGTCCATAAATACCTGGAAACATATGTGAAAAGTCATTCCATAAATTATACTGTAGAAAGCAATTATTAGAAACCAATTGAAAGCAGGGCCCCCCAACTAAAAGCCACAGCTGTGTAGTGGGGATGGTAGACTTTTTCTACCTTCTTCCCCATTACAAAGCTAAGTCTTCCAAGTCAATGGCGAAAATAAGCTATCAATGAAATGGGGAGCGGGTTAGGAAACCAAAGAATTTTATTAGAAGAAACGATAATGGTTGGATTGCTCATTTCCTCCACAAGATATTATTTGAAGTGATTACACATATCCCTCAATTGACTTTCCGGCCTTACTTTGTAGACTAATATTAAGATTCCACTTAGAAAAACAAAAATCATGAAATTTAGTAAAGCCTCAGTTTAACTTGCTCATTTTCTACAATAGGTACAACACATATATAGATTCAACATCACACATAGTATAGAAAGAGTCAAGGTTAATGATTGAACTGAAATATGTGAACAAAGTTTAGGAAATGAATATGAATTTGCCTGAGATAACAAAGATCAGAATCAGACAGATTCCCCCCAGCTGTGCAAAACATCTTCCTGGTTTCCCTTTCTGGGACAAAAACACGGTGGGTAGGAGGATAGGCAAGTCCCTAATAGGCTTAATTAGACCTGTCGATACCTTAACTAGAAAAATTTGGGTTGGAGCTATACCCAAAGCAATAAGCTTATTATAATAGGAGATTAACTTTATTAGTTTTGTTACATTCTCCAAATTTAGTTATTAATCACACTGGAATACATTAATTTTCAGAAAGATTATTCAAGATAAATAAGTACATTCAATGAGATCTTAGATAAAGTATTAACAAATATGGATAACTCGGATGGGTAGCATGGCAGATTGTTTGTCACCTGCATATATTCACAAACAAAAATCTGAATTAGAGTGTACTTTAGAGAAGGGGTAGAACAGTTTTCATAGCGCTTAGCATAATCTAGTTATGCTGTACTTAGGTTTCCGGATTATTTATTGTGCGTAAAATGTGTGGAACAGAACGAGGGAAGTACTCACTTGTTAGAGTGAAAATTTTCCTTCAAACATCATCGGACAAATATTCCATATTTCTCATTAAGGTAAGACTGCTATGTTAGTAATTACTACTCACCGCGTCTCTGGTCCAGCATAGTGTTGCATAAAGTTGAGTTTGATTTTCTTTAATTCTGCCAAAGTATCTGTCATGTTCATCCTTTCGCTGGGAGCATCCTCCGAGCATCTCATAGCCAATTCCAACACAGATGATATGCAAGGCAATACTGTACTGGCATTCATTTCCTCAATGCTTATCAAACTGGGGTCGGTAACCTGGATCAGAACATCAGGATGTGAAACTTTTACCCAACTCCTGAGGTTCATGCCACCAGAAAACATTTCATCGCAAGGACTTTTTCTTGTGAACATTTCCAGCATGATGATGCCGTAACTGTAGACATCACAGCTTGTGGAAATCCTGCCTTCCGATCCATATTCTGAAACAATTTTAGTATTTTACTATCAATGATGTGAACTCTAGTCAAGAAACACAAAATATATTAAATTTTAAGAACAAACCTGGAGCCATGTAGCCAAGTGTTGCAAGAGTCCTGGTGTGAGTGACACTCCCTTCTTCGCCCAAAAATTTTGTGATGCCGAAATCACTTACATGGGCAACCATGTTCTCATCCATGAGGATATTACTAGGCTTTAAATCACAATGAACAACAGGTGTCGAATAGCCATGGTGGAGATATTCGACTGCACAAGCCACATCTATCAATATGTTCAATCTCTGTATGACATCCAAATTGTAGTTAGAGTACAACCACTTCTCCAAGCTTCCATTGGGCATGTACTCCAGTAATAAGGCCTTGAAATCTTTATTTGAGCAACTTCCAACAACTTTAATAAGGTTTCTATGACGAAGATTCCGTAGGGCTTCACATTCAGCATCAAAAGACTTTGATTCATGCTCCATTTGTGTTTTGAAAACTTTTATAGCCAAAACAGTCCCATCCTTCAAAACACCTTTGTAAACTGAGCCAAAGCTTCCGCTGCCTAGCAAATTGTCTTCACTAAATTCATTCGTTGCTTGTAAAAGCTCGTAATAAGAAACTCTTATAGGTTTCTTTGTAGCAAATATATCTGACACAATTGGATACTCTTTTTTCCTGTAGTATCTAGTAATTAAAAAGATCATGCTCCCAGTCAAAATTAATGCCACTATTCCCAGAACAACGAAAACAATCTGAAGCTCTTTCTTTCTGTTTGACCTTCGCGTTGCTTTGCAGGATGAAACCAGAAACCTCTTAGAACCGCACAATGCAGTATTGAATGCAAAGGATCGGCTTGTAAGATTTTTGAAAGGGCCCTCTGTCGGAATCTCTCCTGATAATTTATTGAAAGAAACATTGAAGGACTTGAGTTGTGTTAGAGACTCCAAGGACTTGGGAATTGTACCAGAAAGCATATTGTGTGATAGATCTAGAGAATTCAAACTCAGCATTTTGCCAATGGAATCAGGAATGGGACCCTGAAATTTATTATACGCTAGAGAAAGAGTTATCACATTTTCTAAACCTCCAAAGGTGTTGGGGATATCATTTGACAACTGGTTCATTGACAAGTCAATGGTATTGGCTGCCTTCAAGTTTCCTATTTCAGGAGATATAGAACCATTGATAGAATTTGAGGAGATATCAAGATCTGAGAGATCTTTCAAGCTCCAAATGCTTGGAGGTATTTCAGAAGACAGGTTATTGGAATTGAGATCTATGTACCTTAGAGAGGATACACTTCCCAAGCATTCCGGAAGTGAACCTGTTAGACGATTTTGGCCCAATGCCAGGCGTCCCAAACGTTCTAATTTGCAGATATCAGTGGGAATAAATCCAGTCAGGCTGTTGTTTCCAAGATCCAATTCTTGAAGATTAGACAGTTTACTGAGTTCACTTGGAATGGTTCCAGTCAAATCATTTCCCTGAAGATTTAATCTCACCAATCCACTTAATTTTCCAATTTCATTTGGAATGAATCCCCTAATACTGCATCCTGATGCACTAAAAGATTGTAGGGAAGAAGAAAGATTCCCAGCAAATGTAGGAAAAGTGCCATTTAGTGGATTATCATTGACTGCCAAGAATGTTAAGGACCTGGAACTCATCAGAGAAGTGAAAAACTTCAGCTCAGGCGAAACAGATTCACTTATTAAATTGTTCCCCACTAAGTTTAGCACTTCCAAGGATCTTACATACCCCAAGTTGTCGGGAATTGAACCAGTTAACTCATTGTAAGTAAGATCTAGAATCTTGAGATGAGAAAAATTTGAGAACGAGTTTGGTATAACACCATTCAGATGGTTGACACCAAGAAAGAGTTGTTCAAGATTTGGAAGAGAAGAACTTAGTTTTTCAGGAACATTGCCTATAAAATCATTTCCTAAAAGTGAAATCACCTTCAGTGTAGACAGGTTGAATATGTATGAAGGTATATGGCCACTTAAGCTATTCATCCCCATCTCCAAGACCTCTAATTGAGTTAGTCTATCATACACTTGCGGAATCACACCTGAAATATACAAAAATAAGCAATTACAGGGTAGAAATCTGGTTGTTTTCTTGCGGCCTTTCTAGAAAAATTTAAAGAGCATTCATACCTGTGAAATTATTTTCACCGAGATAAAGTTCCGTGAGCATGGTTAGGTTCCCAATTTCATCAATCAAGAATCCGTGGAGCCTATTCCTTTTGAAAGATAGATAATTTAGATATGACATATTGGACATAGTTGATGGTATAGTTCCAGTTAGAAAGTTGTCCCCCAGACTTAAGAACTGGAGATTGTGAAGGTTTCCAATCTCTGATGGAATTAGACCTATCAAATGCAGAAAAGAATTGGCACATCAAGTTAGTGAACCTAAAAACGTTGAAATAAAATATTGACGTCGATTTAAGAAGGCATTATGATTGCTTATCTCATTTCTAACATCACAAGCTATAATTTTATCACATCATCAATCTGTGTATATTCTTTTCATATACCCCCATACAAGTCTGAAATGTGTTCCAAAATTGTGCTTTGGTTACTTTGCTAGAACTCTCTACTTCTAAGGGTACTTAAATTTATATTGCAGAGAAATCTAAATGACTCCAAAATGCACAAACATACCTGTTAACATGTTGCTGCGAAGATACAATGTCTGAAGCATCTCCAAGCTCCCAATTTCTTTTGGTATACTTCCTGTAAGAACATTATGTGGCATCGAGAAAAACTGAAGTTGAGTACACGAGGAAATACTTGATGGTATGTGTCCATGTATCATGTTATCAGATAGATAAAGCCTTTTCAGCAATGGAACTCCACGGCACATGTCACCAGGAAGAGTACCCGATAATTGATTTCTTGAAAAGCTTAAGTTTTCTAGAGTTGAAATGTTGAAGACAATTAGTGGTATAGAACCATCAAGTCGATTCCCTTGCAAGTTCAACCATTTCAACATGTGAAGATTTCCTATGGCTTCTGGCATCCCTTGAATCAAATTTTCTGACAATTCCAAAGTCTCTAAACCTGATATGTTTACAATGGAGGTAGGAATGGACCCTGAAAATCCATTGCCTACCATGTAAAGCTTCTTGAGGCTTCGAAGATTGCCTATAGATTTCGGAATTTCTCCCTGAAAAGGATTGTAGGAAACCGTCAAAGTATCAAGCTTTGTTTGGTTTGATGTTGAGACAAGAAATGAATTTATGCTAGAAAAACTATTGTTCCTGAGAGACAAGTTCTCAAGCTGAGGTAAGGATGAAATCCAAGAAGGAACCTCGCCGGTGAAGTTGTTGTAGCTGAAACTCACAAATCTCAATCTCTGCAGCCGAACTAAATCTTCAGGCAAGGTACTTTCAAAGCCATTTTTACTAATGTCAATCGAAACAAGGAATGAAAGGTTTCCAAGCTCCGGTGGGATGCTTCCGGCAAGACCCATATTAGAAATATTCAATCCAATCACTCTATTGTGGCGTTTGCCGCAGGTGACACCAATCCAATTGCAAACTGAAGATGGAACTGTCCAGTTTTCCATGACTTCATAAGGATCTGAAACGGTGCGACTTTTCAGGGACAGAAGTGCAGATTGATCTGTGGTAATGTTGTTGGCTCCAGCAGTGGATGAACTGGTCAACAAACTGTGCATGAATAAAACTGCAGCCAAACGAATACAGAGAGGACAATCTACATCCATGGCAATTGGGAATTGGATGAACCTTCTGAATTCTGAACCTAACTTATACAGAATCACAGCAACATTTGAAGCTGTATGTATGATCTTCAGCGTGTGATGAAGCAGATGGTAGGGACAACAGACGTGGTCCATAATGGCTACTCCTATTCTATAAAAAATTAGAATAAAAGAAAAAACAAAAAGTAGTGCCCGCAACATCATGTTTCCCAAAATGGATGTTTTTAGACTGTAGCAAGGAACTATCCATTAGCTTTGTGGTTGACGTCAAGCGTCAGAAATGGGCGACGGAATGTGATCCTGAGGCCTGTAATAATTGCAGTCAGATTTTCAAGTTGTTTAAGGCACGAATGTCAACAGAAAGGGGCCCATATGTCCCACTATAAAAGAAAGTCAGCCTTGACGTCACGAAGCTGACTATTAATTGAGAAAAATAGTCAATTTTGCTTCTTTAAATAAATAAAACCCCATAATAAAAGTTTTCACTGAATTGGAGAATGGGGAAGCTGATACATAAAGAACAAGAAGAAGATAAAGTTTCCACACATAGAGAAACAGATTCATTAATAAAGGAAACTGTAGTGACACTGTATATTGCATCTATAAACAAGGATTTTCGAAACATGGATATTTTGGCAATGAAGGATTCTTCCCCATATGTGCTCCTTTCACATAAGAAAATCGAGGACATTCATGTGGTCGAATAATCGAGCGAAATCCTTGACAAACCAAGGCGTATGGAACGATGAATAAAGATTTAGACGAGGGAAGTGGAAGCATTTCATGGAGTATTGCTATTTACAGACTGCGTTAGGAGGTCTATGAGCTCACTCTTTTTAAGTTTTGAATAACCCCTGAGCCCTTTAGATTTCGCAATCTCTTTTAACCGAGCAAGATTCATGTTCTTGAACTCCTCTACGAGTTCATGCTCGTTGCTATTATCTGTTGCTGGCAATGCTTGAGGTGTTTGCAGAAACTCCTCTCCTGGGATTGATGGAGCAGACATGGCGTGCAATGCTTCATCTTCTGGCTCGGATTTTTCTCTTCGGCTCAATAGAGTAGCTGTCGGAGATTTCCTAATGAAATTTGACGGAGGTCTTGTTGATTTAAAGCTCAAAGTTGGTGAGTGCACTGCTCTCTCATCTTCTCCCTGTGATTCTTTTCTAGCATGTGGTGATTTACTAACCTTCTTCACTGAATTTCTCCTCCCTGTCAGAATGGAAAAATCATGTTTCGGATTAAGAAACTATCAGAAAACTAGATGATGTGCAATAGTAAGCAGTATACAGAATTACAGGCACCATCAACATCAACGTATGAAGTTCATTCTCTCCAAAAAAACGGAAGGAAGAAAAGTGTTGTCTAACCTTTTCCTTGTGTTCTTGACTGGTGAAGAACTCCCAATATTGCCTCAGCTGAGGATTTCTCGTCATCAAACTTCTTTAAACCCTGATTCTTGGAATACAGGGTATCATCTTTGGAAATGGAAGCCTGTATTCGTTTAAAAAGGGCTATAATTTTTTCCTTATTAGGAGATAAGGATGATCTTCGATCATCTAATGGAGGGCCCTCCTCCAGCTCTTCGGCTTCAGGGGCCCTTGCGGAAGGATTGTTTTTACGCCATTTTCCATTTCCTTCTGCTCTTATGCTTGCAAAGGAGGGCCAATCTGCTATTTCTGCCAAATTGAACAAGCTGCATCAAGAAATGATACCTCAGTTCGAGATTTGTCCAATTTTACAAGAATCCAGATTACGAAAACTACATTCACTTAGATAAACGGAATGCATTTCCCCTTTGTAGGGGATTTTTACTGTGGTTAATTGACAGTGTCTGCTCATGTAAAATCGCTATACCAAATTTTCAAGATTGGATATTTCCATTTGACTGCAAAATGTCATCCCTAATGAAAGGAATATCTTCCCTTCCCCCAAACAAACACTACAAGTCACTCCTGCTATTCCTATTTTATCGAAATTAATCAAATTATGAATCATTTCAACGACCTGCCAATGCAAATCGACAAGCTTAATTACGTACAAGCCAACTCTAAATCATAATAAAATCCTTTCCCAGAATTACCAATCACAAAACAAAACCATCAATGCCATCAACAATGTTGTAGACGATCAAAATTAATAAAACCTAGATAAATCAAATAAATGGCCAGCAAAAGCATCTTCTTTTACCTTTTGGCGGAAAAAAAGGTTTAGGGTTTCCGAATTTCAGTCTGCTCGAGGGCAAATGAAAATGAAGAACAGAACGCGGACAGAGTACTGAGCCTCCTCCTCCTACTACCATATTCATCTACAAAATGGTTCAGATGGTATGGCTTTGTGGTATAATCGACAAAAGTAAACACTCCCTAAACCTTCAAAATACGTACACCAGATCGGAAGTCGATGGGCACCACTCGTTAACATACAAATCTACGTGGCTTTAATGGGCTTTTAATCTATTGGGCCAAAGGCCCATTAACTATATGGTTTTTAATCTATTGGGTCGAAGGCCCATTAATCATATCGAACAACTCGTTCAAGTGCTAGATAGCTTTTGATTGAATCATTGTGTAGCTTAGAGTACAAACAACAAGAAGTTTATGCAAATCGATTAACTACCAAATACGATCATCAATCATCTTCTTGCACAATCAAACTTAATCACGTCCAAAAAAACCAGACTTTTAACAATCAATGGAGATGCAGCTTTGAGCAAGTGTGGAGGAATCATCAACACTAACGAAGGGGTTGATCTTGACCCAGACGAGCGAGAAAACCGAGGCCAAGAGCACAGACCAGAGGATAACAATGGTGGGAGTCCTGTTCTGTTTGCCCATCAGCCCTTTAAGGAATGGGTAGAGATGGAGGATGACCCAGAAGGCGAAGAATACCTTGCCGAACAAAGGCCCCCATGCCTCGTACCCACTGTTCAGCGCGTCTGAAAATCCGGCCACCACTCCGACGAGGTTGATGATCAGAATGGTGGTCGGAGGGATCAGAACCGTCGTCCACTTGAACACATACAGCTCCCCGAACTCTGTATCGTCTGTTGCCTTAGCCGTCACCGTAAAATTGGTGTCCAGACCCGCCAGCATTTTCAGGATCCCCTGGAAAACGGCGAACAGATGCGCCGACACGCCGCCGATCACCCAGAACTGCTCGTTCCGCCACAGCGCCTCCACGCTGACGCCGCTCCACCTCAATTCCAGGACGCTGGTGACGATGATGGAGAGGAAGAGCCCCAGAAACAGGACGCTTGCCAGATTCGACAGCTGAATCAGCAAGAGAGAGAGATCACTTAATAAGATTTAGGATTTTGAATTTACAGGCTATGTACAGTCAAGCAGGTTACCGTAGGGATGATGAATTTTCCGGTGAGGAGGCAGATCGCCGGCAGAATGCAGTAGGCAACGAGTGGGAGGGACGTGAAAGGGTAGACGATGGTGTTGATATACGCAAGCCGTTGGAGCCATTTCAGGCGGCCGCCGCCAAATCCATACCACAAAGGACAATGTCGACTGAGAAAAATTTCCACCGATCCCAGCGCCCATCGGAGCACCTGGTGCAGCCTGTCGGAAAGGTTGATCGGAGCCGATCCCTTGAACGCCGGCCTTAAAGGCATACAGTAAATCGACCTCCATCCACGGCAATGCATTTTGAATCCAGTCAGGATATCTTCAGTGACCGAGCCGTATATCCAACCGATCTGAAAATTGCAGAGCTTGGTGAAGCTTTGAGTAATTAATCGAATCAAATATCTGAATTCGGATTGGAATCATTAGAGCAGATGGAATTCCTGACCTCTTTACCCCAGGCCGTCTTTTCTTCGTAGCCACAGCTGATGACATGAATTGCTTCTTTTATCAGCGTAGATGGATTTGCAGATTCGGCAACTCCTCCATTCTCCATTAGTGTAGATTCGATGAAGACTGTGGACAAGCCGAAGGTTTTCTCGAAGCTCATTTGGGAGATGAGTAATGACCTTTCGTGCTCGTCATAGTCTGCAGACACAGGTGGTTTTTAGGCCGGGCAATTTGATGCAATTTGAATTTGGTGTCGAGGAAAGAACTTACTGTCGATTTCCCTGAGGTTGAAGATGGCAGCGTTGAGGTCTTCCCTTTTAGCGTCACGGTAAACCTCGGCAAGATCCTTTTCTTTCGCATGCTTCTTTGGAAGACAGCAGCAACAACAGCTACTGCAGCATGAGCCCGATGATGATCTCTTAGGTATGCTCGGCAAGGATGCCGGTCCATATCCATAAAGTGCTTGTCTGTTGAAGACACAGCCTGTCCCAACATAGACTGGACCTTGAATGCCGTCTAAGCCTTTCATGTTAACCTGTCATTGGCATCGAACATTAGCCATGTTCATGAACTAATACAGAGACTTGATGCAACGAAGAAAAGGTGTACTGATCAGTGAATCTTACATCGAAGAAAACTGTGTTGCGATTAGCATATCGATCGCTCTTATCAATCCCATCGAACCTTTGGGGGAACTGCACGTAACAAACATCCCGACCCACTTGAGGATCCATTAAGAAACACATAGCCTCGCGAATCGCCTTGCTGTTGTTGACGTAGTGATCGCAGTCAAGATTGAGAATAAACGGCGCGTTTGTGAGCACGGCAGATACTCTTACCTGAAAGAAATCAGTGAACACTTTTATCTTCAAAGCTCATGATGCAGATTCTTCGAAGATTATCTAACAGTCATGCATACCAGAGCATTTTCAGCACCAGCCTTTTTGTGATGCTGATAGCCAGGCCTCTTCTCTCTGGAGACATAAACCAACCTAGGAAGCTCGTTCCCGTCTATATCCTGCGCGCCAGTATTGCCTAAAAACACCTGAAAAATGAACCGGAGAAGGCGATCACTATTTTGTACTTCACAATTGAATTAGAACATTTTCGAAGAATAAAGGTGGAAGAACCTGAATCATGCCAGGATGATCGCGAGTGTTGTTTCCGGGCCATTGTGTCCCATCTGCCATCGTCCAGCCTTCGTCTGGTGTTTTCTGCGCCTTCGCTACCAGAGCGTTTATCCGTACTTTATACTCTTCATAGTCCCTCTATGCAAATGTAAGAGTAAATTATTTATACTCAGCTACGATATGATCTTTCCGTAATGAATGTCAAAGGATATACTTACTTTCATGGCTCTTCGTTCCTTGACGAAGGAAGGCTGTATTTTATCCTTTAGGTAATCGATTCTCTGCGAGAAGTAAAACTCAGGGGCACGTGGCTCAATGGAGAACTTCTTGCAAAAGGGCACCCATTTCCTCGCAAAATCAGCTGTCTCAACAAGAGACTCGAAGGTAAGCATAGCTGCGCCATCGTCCGACACATAGCAAGAGACTTTATCAACAGGATAATCCACCGCGAGGATTGATAGAACAGTGTTTGCAGTTATCAGGGGAGGTTCTTTCAGGGGATCAACGGTACTGACAAAAAAATCCACGGCTGCGAGCTCTGATGGTTCACCTTCGCGCTCATACCTTTCATGTCATGTAAGGTAGTCAAGTTAGAGCATATTTGAGATCTTGCTTATGGCTTCTTGAGGAATTTCAGTCAATAAAATGCATACCTTGCCGATAATCTGTTGACATAAGTCTCCCTATTTACAGGAGTCCACTTGGGGAACTGATCGAGCACCCATGAAAATGCAAACCAGATTTCGCAAATGACTGAAGTGAGCCATAGACCGAAGGCACTATCGACAGGATGCGTCACACGGTAATGGAAGAAAAAGGCGAGGATAATCAACCGCAAAATGATCACTGTTCTGTATGTTGTAAGCTGAGTTTTTGGTAAGGGAAATACTCTGGAAAGTGGAAGTGCGGCGTCTGCAGACCTGCATAGATGAACTTCTTGAAGATTTAATTGTGTAGACTAATAAAAACGATGAAGATCTTGAATATATTTAGCTCCTTGGACTTGTAAGCGTTATTATATTGAATTGTTCATATGAAGATCAATGAGCTCACTGTGGTTTTTCTTCCATCTGCTGCTCAGCTGGTATTTGTGCTTCTTTTTTATCCTTTTTTGCAGCCTTCTTCTTCTTGTTCTTCTTTTCTTTCCAACTTTCCACTCTGTTCTTCCATATCGGATTCCCAGAGTCATCCAAATACTCTACGGAAAGATCACATCGATTCAGAGCTAAGTGTTATGGATTATTAGTATTAGATGAGGTAAGTGAGCTCACCACTGTCCACTGTGGAAACAGTACTGACATTTCTAGCATGAATTCCCATATCCTGAGCGTTGTTTGCAGCAGCAGGAACAGGATTTGGAGCTTCAGCTGAAACTTCAGGCCCTGACATGGATCAATTCATTCATATATATCAAATTCAGGCACGAGTGATTGGCAAGAGATGGAACAATAAACAGTGCTAATGAAGTTGAAGATTTATTTGTTTGTTACCATGGCCATAAGAGGTTCCGCATCGAGCACAGGCGTTACGGCCTTCCTTTGCTTCATAGTCACGGCAGTGTTGGCAGATGGCGTAATTGCATTCATGGCAGGCCACGAACACTTCCCCTTTCGAGTTCAATCCGATCTCCTCGCCACAAATGTGGCACATGGGAACCCCAGACTCCATCATCTTTGCTTGTCACCCCAGAAATTCTTGGTCTGCTGCAGTATATATGTATGGATGCTAGTGTAATGGAGAAGATAAACCTACAAAGAAGACAAGACCATTTCTTAATGAAGACTCAATAGAAACTATACGTATATATAAATTACAGAGAAGAGAAGAAAGGTTGTTGAAGAACATGTGGGTTGCAGAGATTGGTGTGGTGAGCTTTCAAGAAGATAGAAGAAGAGGAGAGGTCATTTTCTGGGTGGAAAGATTCAATTGCGGGAAGCTGAAGACAGAATGGTTGGGCTCTACACATCCCTCAACTGACACAACCAACGTTGCTTAACCAGAAAACCCATTTTTATCACACTACCAAACTACTGTAGCTACCCAATTTTCATTTTAGTATAATGGCAATAAAATATTAGTATAATGCAATACTAACCTGTTCGATGGTGCTTTTTTTCTTCACCTCCAAATTCTAGACAATAAATTCCATTGCTGACATTTGATGAGCATGGAGCCAAATCAATAATAAAAGCCACATAAAATTTGAATCTATGAAAATAAATGTGCGATGTTCAACAAGTCGCCGATAGGATCAGAACATCGGTTGATTAATGTGAATAAAAGTTGCAGTTATTTCAAGGAAAGATCAAATGTAGGTAGGTGTGTTTTCTCTAGCTATAGAAGCACAGTCAAATCAAGGTAATATCAAACACACTCAATGAGGAATTCATCTATTATCAATGGAACTACCATCCAGGATGACGTCCCTGGTCCAGCAGTAACTAGTAAGCCGACGGTTCAGCCACAATTTAGCCTATAGAATAAACTTTCACTACTTTGAAAGTGCCACAGATAACTAGATTTTCTGAATCGGAGGGGGTTGTGCAAAATGCAAAAATTATGCTCTGCAAGTTGATCCGGAGGCGATTTTCTGAATCTAGATTAACTTTCCGAACATAGAGAGAGTCCTGTTTTGGATATTTTGAATATGATCAGGTAGATAATGCAAAAATTATGCTATGCAAGTTGATCCAGTTGTAATGCTTAAACTTGTAAGTGGTATTATATTGAATTGCTCGATGAATGAGCTCACTGGTTTTTCTTCCATCTGCTGCTCGGCTGGTATTTCTGCTTCTTTTTAATCCTTTTTTGCAGCTTTCGTCTTCTTGTTCTTCTTGTTCTTTCCAACTTTCCAATCTGTTCTTCCATATCGGATTCCTCTACGAAAAGATCACATCAATTCAGAGCTAAGTTTTGATGAATTATTATTATTAGATGAGGGAAGTGAACTCACCACTGTCCACTGTGGAAACAGTAGTGACATTTCTAGCATGAATGCCCATATCCTGATTACTTTACTAAAGAAATTGAGCTTATAATTAACTTGTTCTTTTAAAATGTTAAAACAACAAAAAAAAAGCCCTTAATCGGCCACTACAAAGACTGCTAAAAAAATGTAGTATCATGCATCTGTACACTGTCAAAGGAACTAAAAAAGAGCTAATAAATAATACCAGAATGGACTATTTTTCTACCCATTCCTCCATGTTCCTATGTTGTACTCCAACAACGACATTTCTCACCTATTCACAATTGCACATCATCAAATTAGGCTGCTGGTTTTTTTCTTTTTGTTTTTTTAAAGATGTAATGTAGTGAAAATGATAGAGGATATATATCATGAACAATGCCAAAACTCACCAGATTGCCGTTCTCATCAACAGTAGTTGGGTTCTGAACAACAACTGTATGGTTCTGATAATAGCCACTCCCCTGCAGTGCATCAAGCAGTTTAAATGAATAAATGCCAAAAACAAAATCTCTGTAAGCATAGCTGCGAGGAAGAGACTGACCGATGAAGTAGAAGGCATCGATGAATGCATAGTACCTCCAGCTGGGGCATTCGAAGGCATAGGGAGCATACTATCGACAATCTGCATTACAAGAAACAACCAAAGATGAGTTTCAACTTGCAAGTCCAGGAATCCATCAATATCATTTAATACCACTTGCCCGAAGCTATAAAGATTAATGTAATTCCCCCATCATTTAATTACTGAAGTTTTCTAAGTATGTAGCAGAGAGAAGTTACGAAAAAAGAAAGCAGAAAGATTCTAAATGCATAAATTGTTTACCCATGATGTAATATGAGTTTGGAAATTTCTAAAGAAATGGGAGATGGGAACTATCCCTTTCATTTCAAGCTATAAAGCCTAAGTAAAATCACATAAGATAGTTGCTCAAGCATTGTATTCTGTTTCTTGTTAGATTGGTCAATGTGGAGTGAGAACAATAGAAAAACCGCATAAAGCAGTGTTACTAACATTTGTGATGAAGCTGCAAACGGCACATTTAACAAATGGAACTCCAGCTGGATATATCAGCATTGTATGGCAGCTTGGACAGTTGATATGGCCAACATTATTAGGTGCCGGAGCTGAGGGGGCTGCTGCATATTCATCACTCATCAAAGATCACATTAAAAAGTGTGTATGCGGACAAAAAATCGGAAGCGAAAAAGGAAACAACAATAAAGACTTTCATTTTCATTATAACTTCCAAGTACTACTTAATATAGGTATAAGTTAATGTCGCAAACGTATACCTTGCACAAAATTTAACGTCTGGCAACAGGAGCATCGGACAATGGTCTCTCCCAAGGTATGCGCTATGATCATATGGCAACCACCGCATATCGATTGAGTCACCTCTACCTCTGCATGTACCAATAAGTTGATAATGTAACACCCCTAGTCGCATAGACAGCTGAACCACGCCGATTGTATGCTTAATTACCAACAATAAACTGCTAACAGAAGACAAAGAATGGTGCCTAGTCTGCCTACCCTCCAAGTCCCAAGCCATTCTATTTACATCAATTTTTACTCAAAGCAAGTAAATTGTTTACATCATTCAGGACATACAGGAAAGTAATTGTGTTATTTCTTATGTTTTACTAAACATTTTTGTATACAACATCCTCAACAGGGAAAACCAGCAAATTTATGTATACAATGCCCCACATTTACCAATGATTCAAAAACGCTTTCTAAGGAATGCAGAGAAACTTCAGCTTAGTGCGCCTCTGAATTTCGTTTGCTATTTTTCGTTTAACCATTCAACAAAAGGAAATGAATGCATGGATCCCAAACGATGAACAACAATAATATTACGAACAAAAAATAAAAATCACGCACGACGTTTTCATTGAGAAAATAACACCTCGCTCTTAAGAAAATGAGTATCGGCCATTACCTGCCAGTGCGGGAAGCGCATGAGTCATTACATTGCATAGCACGCAGCAAATGTGACCAGATCCGCTAGGACGAAGGAGGAGCGTCCTGCACCCGCTACAAAATATTTTTGACTTTGCGTATCTGAATGTTTGGATGAATTTCATGCACGCTTTAGAACGCAATCCAGCCACTCACGATAATATATAACAAATAACAATAGCAAATCAAATTGGAACTCTTTCGCAGGAAAATAAAAGCAACCAAAATAATAATATAAAAACAAAATCATAGGAAACAACGAAAAAATCTTCCAAAAGGATTACGAGAAGCACCAGCAATACACGAGAATGCGGAGAGGAACTGAATCTAGCCAAAGAAACCCTCTCACCAAATCCAGACAAATAAAATGGCCTGAAAATGCCCCAATCATCGAAACTCCTAGGATACCAGCAAATTTCCTAACTACTAATGTTTGCAGCAGCAGGAATAGGATTTGGAGCTTCAGCTGGAACTTCAGGCCCTGCCATGGGCACCCCTGACTCAATCATTCGAGCCCAACCCAACGAAACCTAACCCGGCCCTTTGTAAAATAACTTCCACCCCGCGAGCTATATATGCAGTTATTTGATTCCCGCGGTTTCCATTTCAGCGCTTCATTCTTCTCCAATCCACCGCTGCTGCTGCTCCTCTTCAATCGTCGCTGCTTCCGCTCACGTAAGCATTTTGTTTTTTTAACATTGATTCCTTATTCGCGTACGTGCTTTCTCTCCATTCCAACAGACGACAACATATTTCACGACGAGAATTTTGATGAAGATGAAAATTTCAACGTTGACGATGAGGCTGATGCCGAGGATGCTCCGCCGGAGGTTGATGATTACGGTGTACGATACATGGACAACCGGCATTCTCAGAATTATATTTTTTGTCAAGGCATTCCACGACCCTTTTGCACTCTTTATTTTGCAATTATAAAGAGGAGAGGAGAGTTAGAAAGACTATCATGTAGTCTCCTTGTGCCCACAATGCATAATTCGCATGCATGCTTCTGCTGATCCGCATTGGGCTCTTGGGTGATTGGGCAAACTCAATCACAGTCAAGTAGAAGAACATCTTCTCCCGCCACATCTTAAAGTCCACTCCTGAAATGGCTGTGGAACTTGTACACGAGGCATCATCCGTGGGCTCAACAGTTTGGGCCGTGAATGAAGCAGAAGGTGCGGCCACAAACACAGGAAATCCTCCTTATCCCCCAAGCGCAAATCCAGAAAACAAATGGCTGCCCATAAAGGAAACTGGCCCAAGTGAAGGAGTCGACTACCTTGTTTGCGGTTCCAGCGACTCCTCCGGCGATTCCTCCGGCAATGGCTCCGGCGACTCCTCCGGCGGAGATTCCGGCGATGGCTCCGGCGGCGACTTCGACAGGAGTTGACATTCTCGCGCAAAGTACTATCTAATTTTCGATTGTTGGAATATATGAGTATTGCGAGAATACACGTGAAACCGAGTCGTGGATGAATCTTCTTTCCGAAAATTAGATACGCCTCGGTAGTGCCTCCGGTGGATGGCGTTCTAATCCAAAGATAAAATGGTTTCCGTCTCCCATGAGAGTGGCACCTCTAATCGTTGGAGCTCCGGCGAACAAAAACGAGAGAGGAACTGAGTTGGGAAAGCTGCCGAAAAGCTAGAAAAGAAGAGAGAATGACGAGAGGACTATTTGTTGTTGGTGATTAGAATGAAGGGGAGGCCCTTTGTATAGGCTTCTCCGCTCTGTCAAAATGGCAGGGGTTACGATCATAATTACGACCTTAATTATCTGTAATTAGGATTATTTGTTTTTAATGCTCAGTATTATTTTTGAAAATGATATCGAAAATGTAAGTATGATTTGACCTTAAT